TGTTATATTATCTAAATAATATGGATCTATTAACTATTTTTGTACAAAATAGCTACATATTCCTCCTGCTATAGCACCTAAACCTCCTCCAAGAACAATAGCTCCTCCAAGAGCAATAGCTCCTGCTGCTGCAGGTGATATTAATGCTGCAATAGTTACTCCTAGTATACTACCTACTGTTGGTATAATACTAGAGCTAGCTGATCTTAAACTTATAATTTTTGTTTTGTTTTCAATTTCTTAAATTTGTTTAGAAGATAAATCCCTATTAACTTATTACACAAAGTTATTTTAATATTAATTAAAATGTTATTTAAAAGTATTTAATTGCCCTTTGTATTTAGATTTATAATTTTCATTAATATTTGTGAACATATTCACACATTTTTCAGCTATTAAATATTAATAATATCCATATTTTAAATAGTCTTCATTTTATATAAGAAGCAATTAGTTATCTAATTCAGAGAGAATTTAATATATTTAGTCTGTCTGTTGTGATTCTTCTTGTAAAAGATCATCCAAACTAATTAAGAGGATATTTATGTTTTACATCTTTAATCTTATTTATTTATTTTTATTTTTATATTTCTTTTTTTTTAATGAAATTATTATCTTTATTTTGATTGTCCTAAAGTGATAAAAAGACCTATAATTACTAAATTGTTTATTAATATTTTAAATTATTTAAAATAGATACTTTTATTTTTAAAAGATTTATCAATAAAAGAATTTAATTGAAATAGTTTATCAATCAAATTTAAAAGAATAAAATAAAAATACTTTTATTTTTAAATTAATTTATAATTCAGAGTATTTTTTATTAAATAATATTTCATTTTTAAAATTAATTAAGGACCAAATTTTTCAAAATGCTGATTTTTTTTACTTTGAAATTTATGATATAAATAAGATATTTATCTTTATTATTTGTTGATGCGAAAGCCTATTTATAGTTAAATAAAATAAAATAATTACCAATAAATATATTTAATAAAAGCAATTTGAAAAAATATATTTATTAAAAGTGTTTTTAAAAATTAGTTTAAATATAAAGTAGAGATTAATTTAAATTAATTAATAATAATTAACTTTTGTTTATAATTGAATATTCTAATAACCTTCAAAAAGCTATAAAATAATTATTAATAAAAGTGTTTTTAAAAAATAGTTTAAATTTAAAGTAAAGACCAATTAGATTTAATAATAATTCACTTTTGTTAAATATTCTAATAACCTTCAAAAAAATTATTTATAGAAAAAACAAATAATTATAAATAAATCTATTAATAAAAGTGTTTTGAAAAAATATATTTATTAAAAGTGTTTTTAAAAATTAGTTTATATTTAAAGTAAAGATCGATTTTAAATAAAATAATCATAATTCACTTTATTATTTACTTAATAATTTAATAACCTTTAAAAAAAAAATTATTATTGATAGATAAAAGTATTATCAAAAAATCTATTTTATTAAAAGTGTTTTGAAAAAAATATATTTATTGAAATTGTTCTTAAAAATTAGTTTAGATATAAAGTAAAAATTGATTTTAAATTAATTAATCATAATTCACTTTTTTTATAATTAAATTATATATTAAACTTTTTAAAAAAATAAAAATTGAATAATTATTTACAGAAAATGGATAATATGTATCTTAATGGGCAAAATATGAAAGAGCAATAATCTAAAAAGTAAATTAATTATTAACTAATATATTTAATTACCAACTGAAGTTAGATAAAATTTTAAGTTATATATAAAATAGTTTAAAATACTTAAAAATGTTAATAAATTATAGTAAATAAAAAATTTTTTTTATAGAGAAATGGACAGTTATCATGAAGATTAGTTTAATTAAAATAATTTATAATTAATATGTTCTTAATCAATACCTCTTGAATCTGAAAAATAAAACAAATACACTTTTTCTGATATTGTAAAGTATTGTATTGTAGGAGCGATGATAGGAGCTTTAATTCAAGAAATATTTTACTTGCTAATCAAATAAAAATTTGAGTTAGTAATATTAGGACCTGTAGTAGGAAGTTTTGCTCCTTTAATAGTGATGGCTTTGAAACACTATTATTAGAATTAACAATAAAATAGGCTAAGTGATTATGAAAAATTAGTTGGAATTAATTACTTCAAAGAAGTAAATGGAAGAGATTACACAAAAGAAGAGTTTGATAAAAAGTTTAATAGGTCTCTCTTATTTGAAGATCCTAATAAATAACCAACTAAGGCTTTGGCGCAGAATGCACTTTTAAGATAAACTAAATTAAAATAAGCAAAAGTGATGGTTTATAAGAAGTATGGCTGGGAAGAGTGAGTAATTTTTACAATTGAGCTAAAATTTTGCAAAAAATAGTCTATAATAATTAATATATTTTAAAGATAAACTATTTAATATTAAATTTTGTATTTTAATTAATTGATTGATTGATATAAATATAAATAATTAAAATCAAACTGAGAGGATACAATTTTAAATGTAAAAAACTGAAAATGAATGTTAATAAACAAAATAAACAATATCAACTTTCAAATAAATACCATTTCTTTAACTTAATAGAAAATATATTTAAAAGATACTTTTTTATATTTTAATTATTAATGTTAAATTTTTAATTTTTTTTACCATCACCTGTTTTTAATCTTTTTAAGATTTCTCTCAAAATGATGTGTCTATTTTCAAATAAATTGTTCAAGATAACTTACTTGATTTAAAAATATAAAAAAAGAAATTTATTTTTTACTAAAATACTTATTCATTATTTTATGTCTTTATTTATTAATTTTTTTCTTTCTCAATTAAACTCATACTCAGTTAGAAAGCAAAATAAAACTTAAAAATTTTAATTTTTTATTCTAAGAAGAAAAAGAAATAAAAATGGTATTTTAGAATAATGAATTTGATAATCTGGAAGCTATTATATAACAAACACCTAATTAAAAACTAGTGATATGAAAATCGCTTGCTGTTAATTAGAATATTTGTTTAGCTTTAATTAAGAAATAAATATTTATAATCTAAATTTTTTATTTTTTGCTAAGTAAGAGCATTTGAGTTAAGTAGAATAATCAAAAAAAAATTTATCAAAATATTTTGCTATGATAGTATGAGTTTAGCGTATTTTTAATGTTTTCATAGAGCTAATGGTGGAATGACGGGTGAGAGGAGGAGGTTAAAATTTAGAATTTTTAAGAGCTGTATAGAAAAATTTTATATATTTTGAAACGCTATTTATTTTCATAAAACTTTTTAAAAAATAAAAAATAAAATTTTAAATCATAAATTTAATTTAAAAATCATATAAAAAGGTTTGAGCTCCAAAATTTTTTAAATAATAATAATTTTATTTTATTGATTTGATTTTGAAAGGAATTTAATAGTTATATACATTTTAAATGAGGTTTAATATTAAACAAAAGAATAATATTACAAGGATTTGATAATAATATCTTCTAAATCTACTAATAATTTACATATTCAAAAACCTAAGTGACGAAATTTTAAAAACTAATATAAAATTGATACATGTTTCAGATGATATACAAACAAAAATTTATGGTAAAAATAGAATCAACGACGATAGTTTTATCAAATTATCTAATCAATTTTTATAGATTTCATAAAAAAATCATTATTTAAGAACTAAAGAAATTCTCATAATATCTATTCATAAAGATGAGGGAAAACTTAAATTGGAGGAAAAAATTTAAAAACTCCATAGCTTATATTTCTGTTTTACAAAAAAAAACATACCAATTAAATAAATTATCTTAGTAACTAGATTTATAGGTATGATTTGTTATTTTTTGTGCATTTTAATAACGAAATATTAAAAAAGACATTAATTTAAGAGTGACTCATTAGCCACTTCATGAGTACCTTCTTAATTATTTTAAAGAAATATAACTGATTACTTTTATTTTGTGTTCAAAATTGGATTAAATTCTTTTCAAAGATATTTTGCAGACAAAAATAATTTTTAAATAAAACATTTGGAAATAGTTGAATATTGAAAATATTAATTCTTACAATTTATATTTTGAGCTAAACTCATTTTTATAGAAAAGATCATAAATGAATACTTTAAAGATAATATAAATTTAATAAGACAAAATAGTAGACGATTTTATGAGAAAAATAGACTTTGTATACTAAAAATGGTTCTAGAAAATTTAAAAGTTATGGTTGATTATTTTGTATCTATTTTAGATGATGTCATGAAAACAAAAACCACTTAATTAATTAAAATAACCAATTCTGATGTTGGTTAATGATAGCAAAATAGATATGAAAATTTTATTAGAATGATTAACTATGATATATCTAATGATTGATTTTAAAAATGCAATAACTTTTGATTTGCAAATACTAATAATTATTTTTAAATAAAAGTTAGTATTAATTTAATTCAAAAAAACAAAATGATAGATGGCACTATAATAGTCAAATCTGTAGCTATGGTAATTATGTTCCTCATAATTGTTATTATGGGAAATTTACCTCTAAGGGTAAAATCATTTAGGGAAAATAAAAAGATTCTTTCAATTTTTTCAGCATTTTCTGGAGGTTTGTTCATATCAATAGGCCTGATTCATATCCTTCCTGAAGCAGGAGAAGATTTTGAAAAATATTACAACTCAGTAGAACATTTCCCATTTTAAATGTTTATAGCTGTTATTAGTATTTCATTTTTACTTTTTATTGAGAAAATAATTGGAGAATAATTTACACATCATCATCACCACTAATACAATAATTCAAATGATTTAGAGAGCTAATAACAAGACTAACAAATTAATGAAAATTGTCTTCTTCCTTTTGAAATAGAAGATGATACAATCATATCAAAATAAAGCCAAATTAAACAAGTTTTTGAAGAAATAGATATTTCGTTAAGTAATTAAGAAGATAATAATAAATCGAATATTATTACACCTTTTGTTCTCTAAATAGCTTTAGGTATTCATGCTACTTTAGAGGGATTAGCAATAGGTGTAGAATAAGATTTCTCAAAGTGTTTAACTATCACCCTTGCTATTTTGGTCCATAAATGGGCTGAAGGCTTGGTCTTAGGATTAGCTTTGAAATAATCTAAAATGAATATAAATAGAGCTACAATAATGGTTATTATTCAATCTACAATGAATCCTTTAGGAATATGCATAGGGTGGGGACTTAGTGGAAATGGATATCTAATAAATGGTATTCTTATGAGTATCAGTGCTGGAACATTCATTTACATAGCTACCTAAGAAATTATAGCATAAGAATTTAATAAAAACAGATACTAAGTATGTAAATTCTTTTTCTTTTTAATTGGAGTTGGGTTTATTAGTTCCTTATATTTTATTGAATAAGCTACTAATAGCTGATTTTTTAGTAACAGATTCCACACAAAATAATTTCCATAAATTTTTTAATTTTTATATTATATAAAATTGTATTTTAAATTATATATATTTTTATTACAAATTATTATTTGTATTTTATCAATTTGAAATTGTGAATTTCTTAAAAAATAAAAATAATTCAATTTGTTTGTCAAACTTTTTAAGAAATATTTTTTTTTATACCAATTTTGGCTTTAATCAATGAGGATTTAGGTTATTTTAATAATTAAATAAATCAACATAATTTTCAAACTTGTAAAGAAGATAATAATTATCTTTATTAAATAAAATAAAGATATTTTTTTTAATTTTTGTCAAAAATTTTAGTAAAAAATAACATAAACTATACAGTTAGAATATTCTTTAAAATAATTATTATCTTATAACATTTTTGATGTAAAAATATGTTTTTATTTTAAATTTTTAAAAAATTTTTATAAAATGTAATATATGTTATTATAAACTTACAAATAATAAAATCTAAATTAATAGCATAAAAATTTTAATTATTAATATAACTCAATAGTTGAATTATCCAATCAATTATTAAGTAGAGTTAGTAAATTTTTTCACAGATTTACAAAATCCAAATTGCTTTTCTGTTTCATATCTTTTTTCTATTATTTATGAAAGACCTGCATTTACGTCCTTTAAATAGTCAACCATAAGACAGTTATCTAAATCTATTTGTAATAAATTTTTAATAAATAATTAAATTAAAAAATTGATTTATTAATAAATATTATTACTATAATTGAATGGAGTAAAAAACTTAAATGTCATCACATGATTATCTTATAAAGGTAAGTATTTTAGTTATTCAGGGTAAGGCATTACATTAGTTGCAGTCATGTATACTGTATAATTTTTACCGTCATTTAAATTATCGAAATGTAGATTTGCTTAATTGTAGTTGCTTGAGTTTGAATAAGACTTTGCTGACCAAAATTCTTTTACTGGATTATTATGTTAATCAAAGCCTAAAATTATTTGTTAAGAAAGTAAAGTAATATTTAAGTTATTTTAATCTTCCAGCACTACTGCATAAATTATTGATTCTTCCCACAATCTTACAGTAATGTTTGCTGAGTAAAAACTGACGCTTTCTATTTTTGGTTTTAGATCAGTGATTTTAGTCATTCCATTCATATACTTTCTTGAAAAGGGTTCTACTCTATATGTTTCAAATCCTTATACATAGTTTTTCATTAATCTTATGAAGGTTTCTGGGTTACTTTGAGTAATATTTTAAAGGTATTCATTGATATTAAATCCATTAGACTGAGGAGCAATAGCTATTTCAAAAGAGAATAAATCATTCTTTAACCTTTCTCCTTAATTATTAATTATTTATTTTGATGTTAATAAAGCCATATCATTTTGCTTTATTCTAAGGGCTTATGAAAGTTATTTAATTAAATCTTAAGAATTTAAATTATTAGATAGAGTTACATGGAAAATAGTTCCTGCTTATAAATAAGAAGTAGTAAAATTAGCGCTTTTTATCTTCGATATTCCCATCCCATTATTACAAACTGCATAAATTTAGTAAGATGTAGAATAATTCAATTCTTCAATTTTTATTTCTGCTGTAAAATCTGTAGCTTCAGTGAAGTATTATTTAGTATGACCTTCACCCTTTTTGATAATTATTCCTTCTGAATAATTAAAAGAGAACACCTCTTAAGCTGAAAGTGGAGGTTTGGAATTTTTATAAGTAATTAAATACTTTATTGATCCAGGCTAACTTGTAATTACATATAAAATTGCTTTATTTTATTACAGAGATGCAATTTTTATAGACAATATTTCAGGTTAAAGCTCACTTGTTTAAATTAAATTAGTGTCAATACTTTTTCCCAAATGAATTTTGTAGTAGTTTTCATGAGGAATGTTATTCATGAATTCTAATTTTGCTATTTTGTTTTTTGAGTGCTAATTGTTACTAGTAATAACCAAATACTTAACTGAAGGAAAAAGTTAATGCATAACTTTTTAATTTGACTATAAAGAAAAGTAAAATGGTATAGGCACAGTTACTTGTTCTGATAAATATTAGATTGTGAAATTATAATTTTTTTCTTGATGAGTTATCAAAATCTTAGACGGTTATACTTTAATATTCTAAATTTTAATTTAAATTAAATAATTAATACTATTCTTTAAATTAAAAATTATTTAAAATCATAAATTTTAAGTAACTTTGAATAAAAAATATTTGGTAAAAATTTTTTTTATATATGATTTAGGTTAAAAAAATATCATATTTCACAGCTTATAATTTATTATTAATATATAATCACATCATAATAATTAAAAAATTTAATAATTTATTTTAAATGATTTTTATTATTCAATTAAATTTTTTATTATTTGATGGCAATAAGTGAGTGGGAAAAAAATTTTTTATTTAAAAATTAATTAGTAATAAAATTGATTTTAATTTAAAAATTAGAGGTTATAAAATATATTTACTTTAGAATTTGTAATATCTATATTAAGATACATATTTTAGGCTGGAGGCTCTGGGACATTTATAAATGCAGTGACTATACCTCCAACAGAATTAGCTTTAAAATCTTCAATGAAAACATATTTTAGTGTTTAGTCAATAGACTAATTTTCAACAATATCAAATTTTAATATTGGGGGTAATTGGTATTAATCTCCTGATTTGAATGATGAATCTTCGATTGTTTCTATCTTATCGAAATTTATAGATTGTGCGCCAAGTTAAGCATTTTCTTTAACTAAAATTTTGAAGTTTATCTCTGATGGCAGGTCAAAGTCTTTAAACACCAAAATATTAGGTATCAAATCAAAATACAAATTGTTATATTTGGGAATTAGCTTTAATACATTTGCTGGTCTCTCAATTTCCACCTATTTTAAATAATTTGTTGAATTTATTTTTTATAAATATGTTCAATAAAGATTTTTAGTAGAAAATATTGTAATTAATTTACCTTAAACGAATATGAAAGTCCTTTAACTAATTTATTAGGTCCATTAATTTTTATATAAAGAAAATCTTTTGTGTATTTTAAGCATGTTTATTTATTAGGTTTCTATATATATTTTAATCAATAAAGAGTTAATATAAATAAAAAATATTTAATTTACTGAAGTTGCTAGAATTTCATTTGTTGATAAATCAAGTATAGATATTTTGAAATTTGAATTTTTAAACTATTTATCAGTGCAAGGATCTTTAATTGATGGATTTATAAGCGATTCTATATATAGGTAATGGAAAATATTCTCAACTTTAGTAATCTCTGACCAAGAGAGTATTATATTATTGTACAGCTTACAGTTTGTTTTAATTGTTTAACTTATTGAGCCGTAACAAGAAATATCTTAAGGTTAAAGAGAAGTATCATATTAATCTGGTAAATCTATCATTATAGCTGTAACTGTATTCTTTTTTAGTTACTAAAGAGTGTAAATTTCAAAAATGTAAGGTGATAGAACAGTTGTACTATTTATCTTAGATTCTATATTTTTAATATCAAGCTATTTAGCAATATCGCTAATCTCATAGTATAAATAATCTTCAAAAACCCAAGAAGCAACTTAATCACTTGAGTGAATAATTCTAAAATTATTTTTTAATAAGTTTGTTATTTCAATTCAAAAATTAAGATTACTTGTAAGTGTCTAAATAGAATTTTCCAGGATTATAAACATTTTAAACCATTATGTAGTTCCATTCAAATAAGCTTTAATTATAAAAGCTTCCAACGCTTGAGAGGGCTAATTATTTTAAAAAATAAATATAATTTAAAGTTTTTATGATATTTAAAATACTTATTGTAAAATCATAACTTATTGAGCAAGGCAATTAAATAAAATTTTAATATCCACTAATTTGCTTTGCTTTTAATTTTAGAATATCGTGTATTGAAAATCTATGTGTCTCATTATTTGAATAATATATATAGCATTTTAGATTATCTCCTAGGTTTTTTGAAAAATGATTAGGGAATGTTATTGATATCTCTTAAATCTGTATCATATTTTTTAAACTTGGAGTCTATTTAATTAAAATAAAATAATAGTTAAATTTATAATTGATATGAAATTTATATCGTTTTCACCTTAAAAATATAAAAAGCTGGCTCAGCTGCATTTATTGGCACATTTTACAATTTTATTTATGTATGACTGTCTTGGTTTTTTGCAAATATTAATTTTGGAAAATCAAAAATGCTTGCGAAATTTGTTCCTGTGTTTTAAGTATTTGCAAAATATTGATTTTGCAATTTGAATTAAGCTGAGAAGATATAATTACTATTTGCTATACTAGGATTAAATAAATTTAAATTTATTGTAAATTATTATGAACTTTTTATTTCTCTAAGTTAAACAGACAATATTAATAATCCTTTTATCTCCTAAAGAGTACATTATTTTGTATAAAGAGTGGATTATTCAAAGCTTGAGCAATCATATGTATCTAGCTTATTATTCATACTATATTCAATTGGTAATATTATTTCAACTATACTTTTATTCTTAATTTATACATTACAAGAAAATTAAAATGAGTAAAAAGATTTTAGCTTAATATTTTTGATGAAAGGGCTAACTTTGATAATACATTTTTTCAAAGCTGTCACATAGAAAGGAGGAGGGTTAGCAGTTTTTTATGCAATGATTTAATTTAAAATAGCATTATTATTGAAATGAGATGAAAATACAAAGCTTTATTACTTGTTAGCTTAATCGTAGCTCTTGTTAGGATTTGTTATGCCATCTACTATTATTTTGTAAACAGAATTTGGAAGTAATTAAGTATTAACCAATGCAACACTAAGTTTATTTGGAGCAGCAAATTTACAAACTGACTAGTTGAATTCATTAAAAACATCTCCTTACAATTTACATATGAGTGGTTCTGAGGTTTATTTAGGATTATCATAAAGATCTAATGGGAAATCAATAGAAATAGCTCCATCAGCTGGAATTGTATGTCCTAATTAGAACTAGAAGGTATATTAAACATTGGTTTCACCTCCAGTTTGAGAAGAAATTTCAACATTAGCACTTTAGAATAAAGAAGAAGGAGCAAAATTAGCTGAAAATTAAGTGACGTACTTGCTATCTATTTTTCTATCAATGAATGTAAACTATTATATTTAGACTAATCCTCTTATAGCATAATTTGGGTTGGGAATTCCATTAATTTAAAAAATAACTTTACTATCAGCATCTAAATTTGTTTTAGGCTAAAGATATACCATACTTGTAGCTGGGAAAACATAAATAAAGCTACAAGTAGATCCGCAATTTATAGCTGAAGTATCGTATATTAAAGTGTTAATAAAATTTTCAGGAAACTATATACCAAAGTAATCTGTAACCTTTAGGACTCTTTTTCCTAAATTAAATGTGAATTGATAGTTTGATGATGAATGAATTTAGCTATTTCCTGTCACAATAACATCACTATTTGAGGATGTTATTGGTGAATTTAAGGCACTTGTTTTATCAGGAATATATGCAACTAAATTATAAAAATATGCATCTGAGTTAAATTTAGGATTCTTGATTATTACACCTATTAATTTTTTTATTAAAATATTATTTTTTAAAAATTATTATTTATAACTTAAATATTAAAAAATATGATATAAATGAAATAAAATTACCAATTTTAACTGTAGTTAGTAAGCTAGCTGATATAGATTGGATGTTAGTAATTAATATTGATATCTGAGTGTTAGCAGGTATTTACTCATAATTAGATATTGAAATTTAAGGCATCTTTTCAGGTCCTTTTCCTAAACTTAATATACAGTTTAGTTTGCTTCCTTAAGATAGGGTTAATCCAGTTTTTATAGCACAACCAACTTCTGAGTTGTCTGAAATATTCATACCTAAATCACTTGCATAACCAGGATGTACAGTATAACCATCACCTATCCATTCAAATACAATATTAATAGTTGAGTAAACTCCTTAAGAGAGTTAACCCTAAACAGTTCTTTGGTAACCAAGAGGAATAACATGTTTTCCCGTTTTAAATTGAAATTCATAAAGCTATGGAGTTAGTTCATCTAAAGAATTGATTACCTTCAAATAGTTTACATCTAAATTTTCACCTCTTACATTAGTGAAGTTAGTGAATTAAGTTTCAGCAAGCTTTGAATTGCAATACATATCTAATTTTATTGGATAGAATGTACCTGGATATGGAGGAGCTACAAAAAGCTAATTTCCATTTTTATCGCTGATTGTTACTATTTTAGCTAAATCTCCTAATTTTTCTTTTAAAATTATTTTCACTTATGTTTAACCTTATCTTCTTGATACAGAACATAAATCTATAGAAACGGGTTTGACACCTTTTGATAAATAAACGAAATATTCAATATTTTTTTCTTGATAATTAGCAAATTAATTTTAAAAACAAAATCTTTTTAATTTTTCCTAAATATTTTACCTTATATTGTACATTTATCTAACATTTAAGTGGATGGGTATATGAACTCATCAGGTACAGTGAACACTAACTAATTGACATCACAAATTGTATTTGGTTAAATAAGCATCTATAAGCTTACTTTTTCATCTATTTGAGCCTGCCTTTAATAAAAGGATTCAGTGTAGAATCCTGCAGTATTTAGATTAGGCTATTAGTAATATGATATATCCCAAGGAATATTCGATTTAGTTACATGAGACCAGGGCTAATTATTTTTAGAATCAAAGGGATCATCACAACGAGCTATACATCCATAGAGTATGAAAGGACTAGCTGATCCAGGAGAGACCCCACTATTAGGAGGTATTTTATCATCAATAATGAATTTAAAGTAAATTCTTAAGTTGAATTTGTTAAAAGAAGAATTCCATGGTAAGAAATATTTTGTCCTAATAAGGAGTATATATTGATCATGAACTTCACAATCATATCTAAGGGGATAAGGAAGTCTTAAAGTCTCAGGTATCAAAGTTAAAGTAGCGTTACAGTAATTAAAGTCAAATTTAGAAATTTCTTTTGGTTTATCTAATCTAAAATAGTTAATTTCTTATTCAATATCCATATTCATTACATCTAATTAGGCTAAATTCATAAAATTTTCTTTGAGGAAAACTGTAACTACACGATACTTAGGGTCATAAGTTTAAGTATTCATAATCTGACCATTGATATCTAAATTATTCAAAGTATTTAATAATAATCAGAAATTTTAATAATTTTTTTTCAAATGATGAATTGAATGAAAAAAAAATTAATATAATAGAATAGAAAATTACTTATAATATAGTAATCATAGTAGTTATGTGTAATTTTGTAAGGTTAAACTATATTTCCATTATTATCAAACACTTAAAGAAGGAAATAGTTATCTGGTGAAGGGTTTCTTCTATGCCACCCATTTATCATATTATCCAGCTGTATAGAGGTATCTAATCCAGCTTTGATTAAAGCACTTGGTTTAAATAAAACCTATTATTTTGAAAAATAATATTAAAATAATTAATTTTAAAATTTAGAACTCAATAATTTTTAATCAAATTAATTTAATTTAAGGTAGAGTTAGAAAAAAATTCTTTTTTATTTTTATAAGAAAGGTTCTTTTATTAAAAATTTTATTTTTTTGTAAATTTATTTAAAATTATTTAAATAATTACCCAATTATATTCTGAAAATTCAATGCACTCTCCAACCTATGATGAGCATGTATTTTTATTTTTATGATTTGAAGGGTATTAAATTAGAATGTATTAATTAGACTATATGTCAATAGATGATTTAATAGTGAACGTGTGAGAAGCTTTAAGAGTTACAATATTAGAGTTAGCTGAGAAAGCTCCATTTATTGAATACTAGCTAACAGGTAGAGGTTCTGTTATATAATATTAATGTTCAGCATGATAAAGGATACAATTAAAGTGTGGGCTATCATCTCTACAATCTCTTCTAACACTCAATTTAATACCAGCAACTTATCCAACAATTATAGGATTTTCTACATAAGCTATCCAAAAATCAACTAATTCTGTGCTAGGAATAACTTTTTATATTGGAATTTTAATAATTACAGGAGTTCCTCTTTATGGTGCTAACAAATTTTAATTTCCTTTAAAAACATAACAAAGAATTCTTTGCTTTGATATTTTATTAAATCCAAATCTCTCTGAGCAACCTATTTAAGCTGAAATATCACTAAAACCTAATCCAAGATCAATTTTAAAAACATTTTTTAATCTATCAAATGTTTAGAATTCAATCCAAATTTCATCACCCTGAACAGCTTTATCATAATTCATTGTAAAACTAAATCTAATTGCTGTCTTTTATGCTGCACCTGTATTTAAAACTTGAACCCTGAATGTATCAGATACATCTTCTCTAGGCTTTACATAGTATTCATTATAAGTTCTCTCAAGAAGCTTGTTGTTTTAGAATGCTTCCAAATAAAAATTATATAAACCTCGATCTAAATTTAAAAGGCCTTCTTAGAAAGCAATATCAGCTCTCTAAGAGTCTATTGAAAATATATATTCAATTTATTAATTAATTGAATAATGGCTTAATAAAGGGTCATCTACATTAATATCAAAAACTAGCTTATCTCCTTCTATGCTAAACTTCGAGGTAGTCCAATCTTTGTATTTATATGGAGGTGAAGGATAAGTATCAAATGGCATGATAGATGGATCATTTCTTTTATATCTGCCCTTTAGCTAAAGTCTTGATCCGATTGCACTTATCCAACCAGCAGGAAGGTTGAACTTCAATTTGTAGTTTTAATTAATGATTAAATTATTTGATCTCAAAGTAAAAACAAAGTCTAATTTCTACCACTCTTTTGCATAAATAGGGTAACTAACTCTGTCTAATATTTCAAATTAGATCATTCCTGGATTGCTAGATAGAATTGTTACTTAGGGAACTGGCTTAGAAATGGCTATTATGTTTTGAGAATTTTATGTTCCATACATTATTACATTTTAAAGATTAACCACAGCTCCACTATTCACATTTTTAAGATATAAGTCTACATTTATATTTGTTGGAGATGTGAAGCTATCAAATCCTTTTATTATATATTGTTTGGAATTTTTCATTTGACATTCAAGAGGTCCATATTTTACTTACTTAGGGTTTGTAGAGTCAATTAAATTAAAAGTTGTGTATGTATAACAATATGGCTCGTATCCATCTAGCTCGTTAGAAAGATTAATTTCTATATATCCTCCAATAGGTACTTGATTTGGTGTAGAAATAACTAATCTGTAAAGGCAAACACTATTTATTGTTTAGTATCCTACTTTTTGAGCAAATATTTTTGGAGTAAGATCTTCCAAAGGTCTGAGCCATTACTGTTGAGGATTATGATAATATTAAGTTAATGATTTATTAGTAATATATGTAAACCAAAATCCATATTAAACTGCATAAGTATTAGATTTAAAATTAGTTCCCAAACTCATTATAGACCATGCTTATTGCTAATAGCTTAAAGGAGTTACCATAATCAAATAAATTTTATCAAATACTTCAACTTTACATCCAGATATTTAAATAGTCATTAATTGTGTTCTATCAATTGCTTTATCATTATTATTATCCCATTTTAATAGAATTCTTTAAGGCGGACCAATATTATAATTAAACTATACGCTTAAATCCATAGTGTTTTACATTACATAATCATTTATTGAATTCATTTTAAAGTTAATACTTGTCATATCAGTGTGTACTGTGTCAACATATGCATGATTAATGAACCAAAATTCATCTAAAATTTATTTTCTCATATCTTAATTGCTTATATAAACTGTTGAAATTTTGTAAGAAAGAGAAATGTGTTAGTTTTTAGGATTTTTAATCATAGGAATTTTGAAAACATATTATTTACCTGCATTCAAATCCTATCCATAAACATGATTGATCATAATATTTGCATAAAAATTACTATGCTAACCAAAATTAACTAAAGAAAATCCATTTTAAAATGGAGGTTCAATTAAATAAGAATGATCATATCCATTAATAAATTCAGGTAATCCATCTCTTTTGTATGAATTAATTATATCAAAATCTTCATAATTTAAACCCATTTTTTAGAAATAATTGCTATCTATTTCAACTAAGAAATAAGACTCTTACTTTTGACTGAGAGGTACTGAAGGGATAAAAGTAATTTCAGCAACATCATAATCTTCTGAAGTTGTAGTTAAGTGATTGATTTTAGCTTTCAAAAATCTGTTTGTTATTCTTGTAATAAATGTATCATAAGATGGTGTTGCAGTATCAAAAGGACTATAACAATACCAAATAAATTCAGATCTTTAAGGAATTTGAGGAAGAATAAATGAAGCACCTTAAATTCTCTTCTCAGTAATGTGAATTACATAAGCTCTACCATTTACTAAAATATCTCTAGGAGCTGTAAGTATATAAAAATATGTATTTCCACTAGTATCAATTTTACATTTAGAATATAAAGGTAGTGCTATTATTTTATAAATATTGTTTAGTTTAAATTATTTATTAAATTAATAAGAAAAGAGGAATTAACTATGTATGAAAAATAATTAACCTAATTTATCATAAGTGGATATTTCAGGAACAAAATAGCACATGAGCCATTGATTTGGATCTCTTTGAATATAGCCATTAGTTAGCAATGGTGGTAGCTTAATCTGTAAATAATCTGCGTTAGTCATAGGATCAACAAATGTTTTAGTTTATTTATAATTGAGTGCTACATCTAGAACAAACCTAAATCTTAACCTTTAAGTAGTGCTTATAGCACTATTAGTATAAATATTTCTTTATGCTATCTCATGATATCCAGAAATATATTTTCCTTCAATAAATCTAAAATAATTAAAAGTATAATGATCTTTACTAAACTAATTAGAAGGAACAGTAACTTATTTGAAATATTCAACCTAGCCATTTTAAGTATAGGTTGATATGGTGTAAGCAATAGTATCTTTGTCAATTTACATTTATAAAAACATTTAGTAAGGAGCAGTATCTTCCCAATTCGCTATTCCTATTAATTAAGCATTATATCTATTATTGGAAAATCCTATTTAGCAATCAGCATATCTAGAAATAAATATATTTTATTTCTGACCTTCACTTTATATGAAGCATTTATGAATAACCTTAACTCCTTATGTAAAATCAAAAACAACATTAGTTAATTGTCTTTTTACTCTTTCAGCTTTACTTATTTAATGTGTTATTCTGAATCTCATAGTTATACTCTAATTAGATGCATAATTATATTTAGGAATAACATCAATCTAAAAAAATAAAAAAAACTGTTAAACTAAATTTAAAATTAATTAAAAATACTAAATGTGATTAGCTAAGATCTATATTGATAGTAGGAAGATCTTTTATGAATTAAGACCATTGCGCATTAGATGATAATTCTATTACACCTAGATTAGTTTATCTAAACCCATCTCCTGCAAAATTCCAATATTATCCCATGTATAATTAGTAATTTATTTTTCCATTTGAATTCCAAGCATCTTTTTGATATGGATAAGGATTAACAGCATTTTTAATAGAAAAATTGATGGAATTATTAATATCTCTTTTAGGAGCAGATATGTAAGCAGATCTGGTTTTTCTATTAAACCAAAGTAATTGAAGCTGTCCAAAACCATCATAATAATTCAACGAATCTGGAGTATTATCTCCTCCAATAAAGCCATTTGTAAATATTAATCTCATCTATTAATAAAATAGTAAAAATTAACATTAAAAAAAAAAAAATTAGAAAATTAAAAAAATTTATTTCAATTTAAACAATTTTAAAACCTTTTATCCTGCGGTATTTTATTATCCCCAAGTATCAAAATACCCTACAGTTTATTTAGGCCAAGGATTAATTATGTTATCGTTATATTCAACATTTCTTTTCCCATAGACATAGCTATTAGGAGGTTTTAATTAAATTGGAGCTAATTTAAGGAGAATAATTTTAATTTATTTAAGAGAATATAAAAAATATTTACTTATTGCTGCGTTATCCCAAATTAAAGGATTCATTCCATCTACTAAAATCATTTCTTTTAAGAGAAGAAAGTACCTAGAGTAATCAAGAGAACCAGAAGTAGGTGAACTTGCTCTATATAAATTAAATTCAATATCAATAGGAGTATAACCATTAGTAGAGTCAGGTAAAAGCCAATCATCAAAAGCAAAAGTTAAAACTGATTAAGGGCTAAATTAATTTACTTCTTCTATTCTTACCATAAGACCTTAATAAGATTTGGCTATTTATAAATTTAATTATTTTTTTTATTTATGTTCATAATTAAGATAATTTTTTACTATTAATATCAAAAACTCTACACCTAGCTGAATTGATTCTATTTGGATTTTAAGCTTCTAGAACTAGTGAAATCTAGCAAGGGATGGAATTACCATGGATAGCTCCAGGAATGTTAGCTACTTTCAAAATAGGAAATTTCAATTCAAAATATATTCTAGGGTAATCAATAGTACTACCACTTTTAACTAACATTCCAATTACAAACGAAGTAAGTTAATTATGTATTTGGTTTGTGAAATAGAAATATTAAAGCCTAAGTTCATCAGTTTATTTATTTGTTGAGAAGTCATTATATTTTGTATTAGACTAATGTTCATTACATTTTATTGTTTTTCTTTTTATTAGTTTTTATCCACAAAAAAATTTCAATATAATTTATTTTTTAATTTAATAATTTTGGTAATTTAATTACATATCATCAGCAGTATCATAGACAAACATATGGCCATTTCTATTTTCATTCGTTTATTTCCATAAACCAATATGGGAATTTGTTCTTCTAGTTGAAATTATAAATTCTAACTTTGAACCTTGATTATATACTCTGTAAGGTGGCTATTAAACTATAAACCCAGCACCTATCCAAGATCTGCCTCTAACTTCAATTTCTCTTTAATTATTTTTATTTCATTTTTTAATTTTTAAAAAAAATTAAAAGTTTATACTGATATCTTTATAGAAGACTTGTGTCATATTCTCTCACTCTAACATCTAATAAGAAATTACAGTCAAATCCTGGTTCTACACACAATTCATTTGTATAAAAGCTTAAATTAATTAATTAATTAAAATTAATACATAAAATATAAAATCAAGAAAATTAAATATTTTTACTCTATTCTTTCAAGATATACTTTAGGTGACATAATTTTAGCATAAAATCTTTATTCATATCTTCTATCTATAAAAACCTTTGGTTTAAAACCATAAAAATGGGACATAGAATTGGTAATTCTTATATATCCTTTATCATACTCTGAGAAATCGAAGTTAGATTGAGTAAATGAATCTTATATTTATACTTAATAATCACTATCAGATTTATAGTTGTAATAAAATTTGACGATGTATTGAACTGATCTATTTGTAGCTCCAGAAGGGTTTATCATAGAGAAATAAACATTCAAATAATTGTTTGTTTGTATTTAAGTGAATAAATTGTGTACAACTATTATCCAATAATCAATATTTCTATTATCTACGTAACACCATAACACATGTTAAAATTCTTTTTCAATTCTTGCTGTACATGCTAATAAAAATATTTGTTTAAAATTTTTTAAAAGTAAAATATTAAATTTACCTGGTGTAATTCCAGTAACTTGTGATCTTAATAAATAGATTTCTACTCTTCCTCCATCTCTTGTTTCTCTCCATAAAAATCCCCTTAAACCTATTTAGATTGCTATTATTGATTGATCTGAAGATTTGTTATAAGAATAGAAGAAATGATCTATTATAAAATTTGAAGTTTTTATAGGTTAAAACAAATTATTTGCTATTAAGGCTGATGACTATTGTTATTTTAGCTCTGTTGATTGATAAACAAATACATAATACTAATAATCAGTAGTTTTTTGAGATTTCCATTACTCGAAGTATAAATTCCTTAAAAATTAATAAAATTTCTTATAAAAATTATTAAAATACACAAATTATTTTACTTGCCAGCTCCGATTACAGCATTTGTTGCTGTAGAGGTTATTCTTCTACATATCAATACCTTTGTATGTTAATTGTAAACTTTAGTATAGTTAGGATCCCAAAGACCTTTATCTTCACAAAGTTCGGTTGTCATAAGTGGACCAATTTCAGAATGTCTTACATAAACATATGGAGTGTTTAAATTTTTTATGTTAGAAATTTGTAAGTCATAGTACCCTAGAAATAATTCAGTAGTTGTTCTATCTTAGTAAAATACAGGGGGATCGTATTGCAAATTTAAATCAGAAGTAGAAGTATTTGGAATTGGAGTAAATTAGTATTCAGATTTTACTCTTGAATTAAATTATTCACCATTTTTACCATACCATTCATAAAGAGATGGACGAATTATCTTGAACTTTAATTTTCTTGATCTAGGTGCAGCAGCTTAAGGTTCAATTATAATTTCTGGGACAGAGCACCTCACAGTTGACCCTAATTGTAAATTAAATATTAACAAAGAAAAATAATATACTAATAAAATAAATTAGAGAAGTGGAAAAAAAAAAATTAAATAAATTTTGTATGTAATACCTTTAGGTGCTGAAAAATAAAAAAGAACAACTGGATCATAAATCCTCCCAACCACAGTTCTTCTATTTCTTTTTACACATATTTGTGGGCTTAAAACTAATGTATTCACTCCACACGCACAGTTAATTTCTTATAGATCATATTATGTACCATAAATTGGGTTATCAAGCCAATCTTAGCCACTCAATTCCATAATAAGTATTCTATTAACATTAATATCTAAACCTATAGACTCATATATAGAAGTAATGGTGAAGTCTACTTCTGTAATTGAGTTATAAGATAATGATAATAGATTTACAGCTAAATTAGTTCCTATGTTAAAATTATTTACCCATTCGTCATTTTAACACATGAATTCCCAACCTCTATGAGCACATCCTCCTGCATACCTCTCATAGAGTACATTCTCATATAGTTTCATATGAACCCACCAATAATTTCTATCCAAAGGAATTTAAACTCCTTAAAATGTTATTCTAAATTTAAGAATTTAGTTTGTATTCCAACCTATTTTATTTATTGTATAATAAATCAAAAAGTAAATTAACAATCCAAACAATTTTACCATTTTATAAGCAACTCCTATTTTAATCAAAACACATAGTCCATCTATGTATCCCTTTCCATCTAAAATCTGCCCAATCAGTACAGGGATTTAATAAATCATTGATATACCATTAAACTGTAATTGTCTTACTCATAACATAATCTTATAAACCAAACATAACCAACTCAATACATTAATTATATGTACAATCATTATTATTTAAATGAAATCCTATCTATTTTGTATTATTTAATAAAAAGTATGAAACATTTCAAAAGTATTTTTTGAAAAGCTGTAATTTTATTTAAAAATATAATTAGTTTTAAATTGAATCTATATATCTTATGATTTTTTACATTTGTGTTAACTTAAGCTTAAGCAAGAAGGACAGTATCAGGACCTTAATAGTTAAAATCAAGTACTACAAAATTATGATTTATATTCCAGCAAAAGTAAAAGTTATAAGGATTAACCCATTTTCTTGAGTTCATATGCCCATTTTTGCCGTCTCCATAAGCTTCATTATTTGCATATAAATTCATCACAAAAGGAGAATAGTCAGGGACATTATATACATTCAACACATATTGCATAATATGATGTCTAAATAAAATTCTTACATATTCGTTAGTAACAATAGTGTCCCAATTAGTTATTTTAAATATAAATGCTAAAGGTGAAGAATTATTTGGATTAGGTAAAACTTAGCATTAAGGTTCTTCTCCTAGTTTTCTTCTATCTGACATTCTCAAACCCTCTACAACATAGCACTCTGAAGGAATTCCAAAATTGGGAGTATTCAAGAATGAATCATAATTAAAAGTTAAAACAGAATCATAGTACGGATTATTAAATGCATTATTATGTACATCAAATAATCTTACGGCAAGAGTTGTCCAAGTATCTTCGTTAAACTTCCAAATTTTGAAATCATAGTCATTATTAAAATCGTTAGCATTTATTGTGTATTTATCTGCTACAAATTCATTAGTGCTTGTTGATGTATTATCACATTCTTTAAATGTAGCTCCGTATCTTTATTCGCAAATTCTATTAGTTTAAGTCTCAAATCTAATATGAAGTCTTAGATTACTAGCCTTTAAGTCACCACATTAATAGTATGTTATAATATTTTGATTATAGTGCTTGCACTTAAAATATCCTATATTAATGCTATTTCAAAAATATTTATTATATTTAGAAAAATAAATTAATGATCAAATGTTTTAAACTTAATAAAACTAAAATATAAATTAATTATTCTTCATAGATATTTTAATTAAATCAAAGAATTGAAGTAATTACTCATTCACTTTTCCATCACTAAAATCATAATACAAATAGGCTTTTTTAACATATTCATTTTATCCAGGAATGGCTGCCCACTCATATTTTTCATAAATAAACATATCTTTTACATGAATTTAAGGATCAACTTAGCACACTTCTACATAATTTGAATCAAAAGAGCTTTTTTCTGTTCAAAAATATAATATTAAAATTTGATAAATTTAAATAAAAATATTTAATATTTTACTTTATAAAACTATTTCAACAAATACTGTGCTTTATGTCCCTGGTTAGCAAGTGTTTTAAAAATGAAGAATATTTTTATCCATAAAAGCAGGTTTTTCTGGCTTAACAAAAACTGTACCTTAATAGTCACAATTATTTTATGTATTATCACATTCTTTACAACTGTTTGGTGTAATGCAGACACCATTCCAAGGACCCCACCAGCTATTTATTTTTAAAACAGTGAATTACTTTTTTTATTATGAGAAAATAATTAAATTTACGCATCAAAAATTAAAGAACCCATAAAATAGTTTCCATAAGGTTAATTAAAAGTTGCTTTACCACCCCAAGCTTCAACTGTTATCTTAAACACATTTGTAATACCATTAAATAACAATCCAAAAATTTCATTAGTACCAACTTGATAATTAAAATCAAAAACATGTACACGATGAGAAATACCAAATCCTGTATTATCACCTTTTTCATAAATACACCTAACATCATTTCTTTTACCACCAGATATACCTCTAGAACAAGGATATTAAGCGCCGTTATCTAAACCCATAAAAAAGCTTGGATTATAAAGATCTCTATTATCATAATCCCTTGGTCTAAAATTAAAAGTAATACCTAAAATATCTGGTCTTGCAAATCTAAACCAAAACCAATACCCAGTAAGATGATTTGCTATTTAAGTAGAACTATCTGCTAAGTCACCATCCTCAATACCTCTGTGTGGGCATTTAATACCTCCATTTGTATTATACATAATAGGGAAAGGGTCTGTATAGCCATAATATGTTTATCCTCCAAATTACGAAATCTCATAAAGCCACTTGTATTAGTATTAATCTCCTTAATAACTAAAACCTTCGTTGGTTATATCATTAGTATCATGAGATGTAATAAAAATAAACATTAAACCATTAACTGCTATTTATGTTTAGAAATAAAGTCTTATCTTATTTTTTTTTTAATCATTTTCACACTTAACTCTATCATTATTGACCCAACATATTAATTTATCTTAAACATAATCTTTTATTTCTAAAGGAGTTGGGATTATAACATCACTTCCATAATAAAAATCAAAAGTATGATAATTTTATGTTCCTTTTAAGCTACTTAAAGCTGTTGGTGAATATATGTCCATTTTAATAGGAGCCCTTTAAGTTTTAAAGCAAGGTACAAATTCATCTAAATACCTTAAAATTTAGTTATATTAAAATTAAATTTTAAATAATTTTTTAAGTCATTTGTATTAATTTTTCATGATTTTATTTTATAATACTCTAAATCCTCATTAATTAAGAGCCGCATAAATTGAGGGCCAAAAAATTTTTTCTAGAATTATGAATTAATAAGTTAGATCTTAAAGTAAATAATTATGCTTTATATAATAGAAGATTTAAAGTAAATTTTAAATTTTTTATCAGTTTTTTTAAGACTACTATCAATTATGTTTTAAAAATAGAATTCTTTACCTGTGATATTCATAATCGAATTCTATTGTTGATTCACTTTACCAATTAACATCCCAAGTTTAGCTTGGCACTACAGCAAAGTTTTATCCTGCTCTCATTGTTGCGCTGTTGGTAAAGCATGAATATTTTTCTGTTGTAGGATCTAAAGTTATAGGAGGGTCACTACGCCAAGGGCTTGGCTGCATAGAGGGAAGTCTTGACCATTAATAGAACTTTACACTAAATGAACTAAAACTAGGATTAAGTACTTGATTTGATGGAACCTAGAATGCCTCCATATGAGATTCTATGAGTAGAGTTTATCTAGAATTTTAATCTCCATTTACATAACTATCCTATAATTATATTAAAATTTATATCCTAAAAAATAAGCTAATTTTAATACTTTTTGAGCTATATCAATCCAAGCTTAAATTTGACCTGAATTATTAACAAACCAGCATTTAGTCACTTCTATATTAGAACCAGGGCTTTCTAAGCACATATCACCTACTAATGCCCATCCAATATTAATAGGGAATGTTATAACTACTCTTTCCGTGTAATACCAATAAGGAGCAGTAACCTTTTTTTAAAGTAATTAATTTTTTATTTATTATATTTATAGTGTTAAAAAATAAAAATTCTTATTAAATATAATCTTAAAAATAATTTACCTCCATAATAAAATCCATTTTTTCATTTGCGAAATGGTAATCTATATTTTTAAATCTAAGATCAAAATAAACAGTTTCAACTCTATTAGGTTGTAGATCTGGGTATAAATCTTAGTATATTACTTTTTCACTCCAAAGTTCTTTAACATAACAAGCATAACCTACTATTTACCTCTTAATATCATTTTATTCTCTATAGAAACTTGTTAACCACTTATTTCCTGTTGTTTAAATTTATATAGGAGCTACTAAATCTTAAGTAGTATGAGGCCATGCTATAAAAGCTCTTAGATTTGGCAAAGTAGCACAGTTATGAGGAGGATTTCCTGTAATAATGTAAGCACAATTTTTTTTGTGAAGATATTCATCATCTCTTAACTCGAAATTAAATCTTAAAATATAAGCATCCTCATTTTTACCCACCAAATTCTAGCTATTTCTCACTCTAAATTTAAAATCTGTAAGGGTATTGCAAACAGTTTATGTAGTAGAACCAACATTAAAATCACCATTAACCAAAGAAATTATCTATGGACCTATCGGTTTTTATATTTTTTAAAAAGCTTTTTAAATAAAATTTAGGAATAAAAATTTACTCCAAAAATGGATATAAAAAGCATTCTCAACAAAGTCATAAAGAATTTTCTCATTGGCATTTTTGTAATTTCTTTGAACATACACTTATGCTGGGATTGAATAATGATTGACAGTAACATCAGGATTTTAAATGTTAAAAGCAACTTTCATTCTGTCATTATCTCCAATATCTTTTAAAATACCTGAAGATTTAAAGTTGCTGCAAAGGAACTTAATAGGAAGTCCTTTAATCTAAAAACCTCTCGAAATTCTGCATTCCATAGTAGGGTTTGGATATGTTGGAGACATATCAATTATATCATTTACGACTATATCTTGATTATTTAAAGACAAACCTCCATCATCTGCAAACAAGTTATCTTGCAAATCTATAGAAGCTGTTGGAATTTCTATCACTAAAGTATCATCATTTCTTATAGTTTATCCAGGTTGAAATTCTATAATAAATAAATTCATCTCATTCTTTAATGTTACGTAACTTGTAAATTTTAAATATGCAAATGACTACCCATAGACTTGGTAATATAAATGCTAATGAAGAGTGTAATCACTATCACCTTTTGGTTCTTAAATTGACATAGAAACATCAATCTTTTTAGAAAAAGAATAAATTTTTATTTATTATTTTTCAATATAAAGTAAAAAAAAATATTATACTTTGTAAGGTAAACCTGAATTTGGAAAAGTTAGTCCTTCATCCTAGCCATCTCCATCAATTGTGGTTAAAGTAAATAAATAATCTACATTTGACAGTAAATCACTATTAGGAATCATCTAAAAGAGATAGTATATTTAATTATATCCTTAATTTTATAATGTAATTAGCTCGATTTTACAACCGTAATTTTCTTTAGTATTAGCAACTTGAATATTGCAGACATACTAACTTGTAGGGAAATACTAAAAAGAATTTCCAATATAATCATTAAAGGATAATTAAGAATACTGATAAAACATCAATCTAATTCTACCTCTATTTGCAAATATGTTGTATCCAATTTTAAATTTAAAAGTTAAAGGCGTCTTTATTATAAATAATATAAATATCAGTAAATGAATAGAAAAATTAAGAAAGTTACCCTATTTGCATTTCTTAATGTTTTGGTTTCAATATGTAAAAGATCAATATCTTCAATTTGTTTTGTTTAAAAGTTGTCAATAGTAAATCCACTTTTTGAAAGTGTTAAACTCTTATCAATAATTCTGCCTTTATTAAAAATATTATCATATTCATGGCTCCCATAAGTTATAACATCTAATTCTCCTATATACCCTGCATTCCCGTCGTTAGGTAAATCAATTACTCCTTAAATTTTAATATTAGTTAGAGGATTTATATCACTGAATCCATAGATAACCCATGTATTCTAATCTTGAACTAAGCACCCAACATTACCAAATGGGCCTACTTTTGATTATAATCCAGATCCAACAGTTATGGAGCTCCTGCAGTGTGATTAAATAGAAGCTATCCTTGATGGAAATCTAATCTATATTGCCCCATAGTAAGGAATAAAGTTAGAATTTGTGAAATTAAAATTGACTTCAACTCTTGTTCTTCCCTTAACTAACTTATTTGGAGAATCTAGTTAAGTCAATCCATAATTTCTAATAGTACCAACTAATTGTAGCCATTATTAAGGAGTAACTTAATGAATAACATATCCTCTGAAGAACCTTCCTTACCAAACATAAGATTAATAAGTGGTAGTTATCTAAGGTACACTTTAAGGTAAAACTTAAACTAATATTTATTATATTATTTGTTTATAACATTTAAAAATAAATTTATATTTATTTAAATTAGATTACTTAAAACATCATTGCTAGCATACATTACATTAGCAACTAGATTGGTATTTATGTGCATAACTACCCAATTGATTTATGGGAAAGTTAAACACCAGTCGTAGAATGTTAGGCAAGTAGCCATTTTCCAATCAGGTTTTAGAGTATCTGGGAAATTATTTGGTAATTCTACGATATAGAAATCTCCTGAAGCAAACGGAGAAATATCATACCATACTTAATTTACCATAGATTTTAATTTACTATTTACTTAAGATCCAGTTTCCCAAACCTGATTAACTTTTTAAGAACTAAAAGGATGAGTGGCATCATGGAGAGTTGGATCATCCCTAATATCCATAAAAACATTATATGTATCATAATGAATGTATTTCAAATCCCCTATTTATTATATATATATTAATTTTATTTTAGTATACTACTTAATCCATTTATTATTATTATGAATGCGTAAATCATAAATTTAAAATATTAATTTACCTGTCAATGGATTTTATTCAAAAATATTAATAGATATATTAGCATCCATAACTTAAAGAGTAGGTTAGCTAGGATAATTGAAGTTTGGTGGATTGAAAACTTTAGCTATCCACATTTAAATCTCAGTTCCAGCAGGTAGTGAGGGAAAATTTATAATTTCTACAACAGCTGGATTGCCTCTTCTCTAACTTTTTATAAGACGGCATCTATTATCATTAATATCTCCTATATCTCCAGCTGTTACACCTTACTTGATAAATCTACAACCTACTTCATCACCACTTTATTAGTAACCTCCCAAATCCAAATCAAACAAAGGATTACCCATAGGGTCTAAAGTAGGAAATTCTATATGAATTCTACCTCCAGAGCTGTGTTTTTAAACTGGCAAAGTAGTTTTAAAGTTTACATAAAACATGTTAGCTCTCTTTTAATTTCTTATTACACTCTCTATATATATGAATTATAATTTAGCTGCTTTTATAAATATCCATCTAGTAGCTTAGTTTGTAAAGCCATTAATGTCCAATAGTTAAAAATGAATAGGATAGAAGCCTTCAGTTTTAGGATGAACTAACCCATCTAAAGGAGAAACATATTCAGTAGATATTGATAATCTATAAGCAGAAGAAGCTTATAATGCATTAGAAGTAATATCTACTAAAACGTAAAGAGGATTAATTGAATAAACACATTCAAACCTCACTTCATTCACTAAGCAAATCAGAGAGTCTGTTCCATAATTTCTTGGGGTAGAGAAGCTAGCATCGAACTTAATCTATCATGAATAAAATATTTAGAAAAACGAAATGAAAATAAAATATTAAAATTTATGAAATTATGTTCCTTAAATAATATATTTTTACCTTAATATATTTAATATTTGTAATTATATTTGGTGTGAAATCAAAAATTACTGGTCCTATATAACCTTTTTCTCTTTTTTCTGATCTTACAGCTTCATCTAATACTTTAAATTTTACTTCTGAGTCCACATTATTTGTAGAAATATTTGGTGTATTAGATGAGATTGAATAGGTACTATCAATCAGCTTTTCATTTTTAGGCCCATAAAAAGTTTCAATATCTACAGATGGGTTTATTGTTGCAGAACCATCAATAAGAAGTCGAATGTGAATTTCTATTGGTACATTTTGTAAAACCTATTCAAAATGAGAAATTTCAATTATACTTGTACTTACTGCTTTGCACTAAATAGGTGTCTTGTCGTAAGGTACTAAGCCACTGACGATTCTACAAAAATTAATATGGCGATCAGTTTGAGTTTAAGTTTAAATATTTCTAAAACTAAATCGTATCAGAGAGTTTCTAGGCATGGAAGTTCTTGTATTGAATTTTATATAGAATTCATGCTCTTCATTTTTTCTGATCAAGCCGTTTATAGAATTAATGACATGATTAGGGTTGCAGATATCGAATATTTTATTTAATATATCTGCTGAGCCTACTTTTACATTAAACGTATGCTTATTCACAACTACACCATTTTTCATGGCTCTGACCTTAAAAATGAATTAATCTGCATAATTTGGATTTTAAAATACTCCTAAAATATTTGTAATTATTTGCTAATTAAGAGGAGTATTAGGATAAATTACAATCCAATGGACTGGCTTTTAAAATTTAATACACTAATTACCATCACAGTTAGTGGATTGAATTATTCCTCTACCTATATCATAATAACCTACTAAATCTATTTCATAAATTAAATATTAAGGGTCATAAACAGCTGCGCTCCATTAGAATCTTAGATCTGTTTGTTGATTAACAATAGGTGGTATAAGCGTGGTGGCTATGTTAGGGTTAAATGAATAATTTATAAAAGACTATTCTAATATTTCTACAGATATTTATTTATAGTATAACTCAACTTCAGGATTAATCATACCTGGTGTTTCCTCCATTAATGAAAACCTTAGGGTTCCTTTTGAGCCAGTTGGTACATTTGCTATTAGGATTTAAGGAATTTCTAAAATTATCCAATTACCTTTTTAAATTTTTAGAGTTTCAAATCCATAAGCTTGAATGAAAGGATCTCTAAAACTCTATTGGTATAAATCACATTTCGAGAAAGGATTTGCAACTGTTGTGCTTCCATATAAATAACAAGGAAAGTCTTCAATAATCGCATAGTTATTCTCATAAGGTTATCCTATTTACCATACATTTATAATATCTTTTATAAATGTAACTCTAAATAAGTAATTTCTATCTCCGTAAGGTAAAGTTATTTGTTACTTCATTTCAAAACTAATAAAAGTTAAAAATAAAATATTTTTTATTTTGAAATTTTAAAATGATAAATAAATATATAAAAAATGTTACCGCATATGAGTATATTCATTTTTTTCTCTTATGAGGACATTATATTTGAAGTCGATATCAGGTATTTCAAAAGAATCTGGAACCCATTCTTAGTAATACACCTCAGTAGGTTCAGAAGCTGGTAAATCATTATCATAGAAATGGTAGTGAAATAGATATCTTTTTACAAGAGGATCTAACAAAATTCCATCATTATAGCCTGGTTTGGATCCTTCTGTTGTAACAGTAATGGGTATCTCACTTTCTTGAAAATCATAATTTTCAGGAGTATAAATAGTTATTTTTGTGCGATCTGCATATGTTTTGTCATTAAAATCACAGCTAGAAGCTAAAATATTTCCATAGAAATAGCATTTAATTATTCCATAGTCTGTAGATGGTTTAGGTATTTTTGGAAAAATATCAATTACAACCTTTCCAACAGATTTGTAATTTGTAGCTGGAAGATTATGCTTTAAAAAAAAGGTTGATTCTAAAGGGCCTGCTTTTCCTGCCTGTAATTTGATTTAATTTCTTACAGCACTAGCAGTAAACCTTTTGAGACTCCCAACTATTATAATTAAAATAAATGAAGTCCTGTAATAATTTAATCGAAAAAGAGTAGTAGTAGTTTTTTAAAATTAATAATAAAGCCTAAAATTATTGTAAAAATAATATTTTAATACCGTAACTATTCAATATTTTTCTCCTCGCCATTCGCCATTTTAATGGCGAATGGCGAATATAAAAAAAAAAAAAGGTAAGTGAAAATGATCAAAATTAAATGGCGAATATTGAATAATGTAAAAATACAATAGATATCATTACATAAATTATGTTATTTTATATTAAACTACTTTGTTTCCAAATTTAATAAGATGAATTTATTTATTGAAAATGTTATCTTTGAAAGTTTTTATTTTATTCTTACATTAAGAATCAACTTTATTTTCATTCTCTTCTTCTTCCATCATCATTGTACTTTAATAAGGAATATCAACAATTGGTTTTATTGGCTATTAATCATTGGTTTTTATATTTTTATGAGGTTATTCTTCAAGTATCTCATCATTATCTTCAATATCACTAAATGTAATACTGTATTCTTCTTTTTCTTCCAATAATTCTAAATTTTCTTGAAACTCTTGATTGATAATTGTTTCTACTTCATTATCATCTTAAGTAAGTTTTATTTTACTGATTACTCCCTTTACCTTTTATGCTATTTCTTAATTATTTTCATATGTAAAATGTTAATCAATTGAATCTAATTAACTCTAAATAACTTCTCTTTCATCATTATAATCATTATAGTTATTTTAGTCATTTAGTACCTCATTCAAATATTCACCAATATCTTATTTACTTCTCAGCTTTTGATTTACTATATGATCTTCGGTGCCATCTAAAGCCTCAGAAATCCCACAAACTTTAAAAGATTTTTAAACCAAACAGTGATCAATCTTTTCAAAGCTTGATATGATCCATTACTATAGTTCTTCTTGAGTTGGAGGCTATATATATCCCTTTTTTGATTGATTTTCTTATTTGCATTATGGGTTTTATGATAATTTATTATAAGGGGTGGGAAAGAAATTAATAAATATTTAGAAGGAACCCATAAAATAAGTAATTTTAGAACTATTCATTAATTCGCCACTTTCGCCGGCGTTATTCAAGTAATTTATGATAATTTGAAATATTATTGAATGATTCGCCAATATTCACCATTCGCCATCCTCCATTCGCCATGAATAGTTACGGTACATTTTTAAAAATCAAAATTAATGAATTTATAATATAAATTAATAGACTTTATCATAACCCCTAAAAATATTCAATTTAAATGAATTAATCTAATTAATCCTTATTAATCTCTAAAATTAAATTTTAACCACAAGCTAAAAAATTCTTTATAAATAGAGTTTTCAATAAATGGTGAGAAATTAAATTGTTTGACAAGTTATTATGTAAACAATCATTATTCAAATTGAAATTAATTAGAAAAATTAAGATTAGATGATAAATTAATCTAATATTTCTATCAAGTTTAGAAAGGTTAATAAGAAATTAATTATTATTAGAAAAAATTTTACAAGTAGAGTTTGTGAGAGCTGTAACTGTTGACTAATCAACAATTTTCTATCTTAAATTAAGTGTTTGTACAATAATAGGGAAATTTCCTTCTGATTTTGGAGACTAAGCAATTATTTTGACTACTATTTATTGAGTGAAATCAATCTCTTTAAAGTTTTGTATTTTATAGCTATTATCATTTGAATTTAAGAAACAATTTGGAAATTTTCCAGAATATCTGGAAAATCCTTTAACAATAGTACAATTAAGAGCCCATAATTTCCATTATTAGCCAAATATAATTTGAAGAGTACCACCTTCTCCTAATTTATTTGTTGGATTAATTTAGAAAGTGAGAGTACTATTTGAAAACTTGAAGTTGTTCTCTTAAATTAGATTAGCTTTCATATTTCCTACATTTAACAAAATATCCAATTTAGGATTAAAGATTATTCTTTCAAAGATTAAACCATTAGATTGTTATAAAAGTTCAATTTAGAAATTCTTTAAGTCTCCAATACTATTAGGATTTATCATGTTAATTATTCTAATTTATAGACTTCCTTTAAGTTATTTTGCAATATTTTAGCACTCAATCATTCTTTAATTGAAGAGGATAATAGTCTATGGTTTTGTTTGACTACCCTAGATATCACATAAAGCAGATTTAGTCTTAAATCCCTCAGGAAATGTTATTCTGATGCTAAATAAATTATTTTCATAAATACCTAATAATTTAAAATCAAAGATCCAAGAACTTCCTTCATTGACTTAAAGAGAACTTTTATACTAAACATCTGCAAAAGGCATAAGAGCTTATTTTATAATATATTTTTTTAATATTTAAAATATTTATTAAAATAATTTGCTGGATTTAAACTTTAAATTATTAAAAATCGAGATTGTAAGTAATTAATTCAAATTTAAGTTAAGACAGTAAAATTGTTAAAAAAAATTTTAACATAATTAAGTGCTGATTTAATAATAATTTCTAATCTAAAAAATATTAAGAAAATAATTCCATATTTTTTATCTTTTTAATATTTATTAGGCAATTAAAATTAAACAATTTACAAATTATTTATGCATTTAATCTGTAAAGATTGTTTAAAAATTGGTGCGCTATCACCATTTAATAATAATAATTTATTTGAAGACTTTATTATATTACTATAGTTTTAATTTTTTATATTTAAATGATTTTAAGATAAGTTCATATTATTTGAAGTTAAAATGGTCTTATATTTTGGAAGTCACCTAAAAGCAATAAAATGATTTTAACATTAAAAAATATATTTAATGAAATAAAATTAAATTTGCAATATTTACTAAATATTTCCATTCATTTAATTTTTTTTAACCATTTATTTTTATTGATAATCAAAATATCTTTACAGTAAATACTATGATCAAATTTTATTATTTTTATAGTTTTAATCAAAATTTGCATGCAAATAAATGTAAGTCACAATTAAAAAAAATTGGGCATAACCTGTTAAAAGTATAGGAATAAAAAACAAAAGGTTAATAATTATTACCTGGTTATCTGCCAAAGTATACTTTTCCAAAGGAGTCATTACACTCTGTTGGATAGTCATTATATAGAATACAGAGCTTGAAAAAGGAAGTACCAGGCACATTATTTGGATTTAAGATAGGACCTATAGCTATGCTTTACTCCCCTGAAATTATACTTTTTACATTGATGTAAACTTGACGCTCTTTATTATACTCACAAGGTACAGTTTAATGCTCAGTCGTATCTACTTTGTAATAACACTCAATATATTGAGGAAAATACTGTAATTCTATTTAATGAGGGAAAGAAACTATTATGTTAGCATTTCCATCAACTATACTTTTTCCATAAAAAAATTTGAGTTAATAGAATGTAGCCTATCCATATTCTGTATTAGTATTCTTTATGAATATAGGCTCTATTGTAATGCTCTCTTATGCTATAACTATGGAGATATCTTCAAGAATCTTACATATAGTAAGAAAGAGTAAAATGAATTATCTCATAACTCAAAAACTATGCCAGCTTTGTCAGTATAATAACAAGAGAAATTAGATATTAAAATATTATTGAAAGTAGTATGTATTGCTTTTAACTGTAAAATATTTTTAAATTACTTTTAAATATTTCTTATCTTTTTGAAATTTATATGTTTTTTTTATTTATTGAATTTAAAGACTATCATAAATAAGTCTTCAAACCTTAATTAGAATCTGCTTAACTTTATTTAATAATTTAATATTTAACATCTTATAAAAGTATAAATTAATAACTAATGGTTTATATAAATTATTTTTACAGACTTTTCTGTTTTAATCTAAATGGATTGATAATATTTGAAATTAATTTCAAAAGTATATCACAAAATGTTTCCTTTTAATCTGTAGACTATCTAAAATTTTTTTGTATCTCATTTATTTGCTTTATGTATAATTCCTTAAATACTAAATTAATTTAGGAAATGTAACAAAAAATTTGTCATCCAATTTTTCCCACAAAAAATTCTTTGATAACATTTACCTTAAAGTAATTTATTTGTGTTTTTGCTAATTAAGGATTTTTTTTTTATAATAGAGAGATAAATAGTATTTGGTTACACCTATAAATATTTATCTCTCTAAAAGAAATAAATATAATTTTAAATATATTTATATAATAGTATTTCATATATATTTATGTAATTTGTATGAAGCTTATCATAGTTTAAATAAATTTAAAAAAAATATTTGATATAAATTTATAATAATTATTAGTGCAGTACCTACCTATTGAGGATTTATGGTAATTAAGAATAATTTTTAATAAAAAAATTAAGTCTGCTTTATCTGAAGAGCACCAATTTTTTTATTTTAATCACCCTTTGAGGTATTCAAAAAGGTAAAACTTTTTTAAAACTATTTGGCTTGCTTTCTTAAATTAGTAAATCAATTAGTTAAGCTTGTGGCGATGATTATTTAAAAGTTTTAAGGTTTACAAAAGTAAACTTTTTTTCTAGATGCTTTATTGATTAACTTTTGATTAATCTGTATTATGTTATGTAAACATTATAAAAAAAGTGTATTAAATATTATGTAATTCATCCTTTTCTTTTTCAATATTTATTAAATATGGATTATTACTATTTTTATCTACCTTTAGCTAATATTTCTTTCCAGGTAAGCATTAAAAAAGATTAAAATTTTCTGTATCTTCTAATAAGTTCAGAAAGAAGTTCCTTCAAATTTATTAATTTATTGAATTATCTCTTTCTAATCAATTTGTATTTAGTTAAACTTGGTAGATAATTAATGACACTCAGCTAACTCTTTTAAACTTAGTTTATTTAATTCATCTAACTTAAAATAAATATTATTGATATCTAACTATTTGTGCTTCTATACTCATGCTTATTGGCTTTAAAAATGTTGCTATATTCCTTAATTAATTTTTATAGTTATCCTATAATTCTCGTGACTCAAGAATAACATTATTTTATCTAATTTAAGTGCTTAAGTTATTCACTTTTAATATCAATTATCTTAATTAATATTTTTTTTAATTTTTGCATATCAAATCTTTCTTTGTCAATTTCGCATTCTAGCATTCTAAGAATTATTCAGAAAATAAAAGTTTTTACTCATCAAAATTTTTAAAAATATCTTTTCTTTATTACTTTTTATCATAGTCAATATTTCTGTACTTTAGTTTGTGTCATTATTTTTATTCTCTTCATCAAATCATTCTTTAAAAATGAATCTGATGAGATTAATAAGTTGAATTTTTTTGCTTTTAATTTTCTTATTTTAAATGTTAAAAAACTTTTAATTTCTTTTGAAAAAACTTATTATTGAGCATCTTATTCTCTTGTTTTTATTATTCTTTTGGATTAATTTTTCATATTAAATTTATTTGTTTTATTCAATTTATTCTAAATTTAACACTCAAGCAGTATTTTAAAACTCTTAATTTTAGTTTTAAGCTAGCTATGTGATAATATAAATATTAATTTACATGATATTTATGACTTTTGCAAAAAAATTCTTTATCTTTGATTCATTATTTATTTATTTAAATAAATAAAATATTATGCTTTGAATATTTATAATTAGCACCAAAATTTCTAAAATTTTAAAGAAATTTTAATATGCACCAAAAACAATAATTTTTAGAGTTAACTAAATGATAAATTTTATATTATTGCTAATCCAGGAATTAAAATATGATGAACAAACTGGATATCATTATATTTAATTCCTAAATTTTCTTTCAAAATAATAAAAAATTTAAAAAATATTTAAAAAAAATAAAATCAATGAAATTCTTAAATTAAGAAAAATAATACATATTTATTAATTTAATTATGTATTAATAAAAGTTTTTTGTTATTAATTTTTAAAGCAGAATTTAAAACTTTTTTAAATAATATAAATTGTTAAATAATTTATTTTTTTATCTATAAAAATAATTTATCTAATTCAAATATTATATAATATAGAATGGCCTTTAAGAGCTATCAGAATAAAATTTATTAGAAATTTTCATTCAGGGCGTTAATAAAAACCCGCAAAAATTTGAAAAAATATTGAATACTATATTAGAACACTTTTTATACTATATATTTATATTTTATACTCAATTTATGAATTTTATTGAATAGTGATTTACTTTTTCATAAATATTTTAATTCTTTTTTTTCACTTTAAATTAAACATAATCGAGGTATGAAAATATAATGCTATCCAGTTCATCATATTTTAATAACTGGATTAGCAATATTTTGAAAGTTTTTTTTTATTATTTACACTTATTTTATTTCAATTGGCTAGAATTTTTTAATTCGATTTTCTTAACATTAATCTTATCTCTAGGTTAAAAATAATAAATAGCTAGAAAAATAATCAGAATCAGCAATAAAAAATAAGCATATTACCATAAAATTTATATGGTGAATTGTAATTTATTACTAATTTCAAATAATTATTTCTCTAGTCAGATATATATTTAGTAGAATAATAAATAATATTTTTAAATTATAAGAAAATATAAAAATAAAAAAAATAGTATCGAAATAGGATTCGTGGATAAATAAAAACAAATAAAAAAAGTTAAATCTTTGAAGAAAATTTTTAAATTATTTTTTCTTCTATCAGGTTCTAAACTTGTTTTAAAACCTTTATATTTCTTTTAAATTTATTAAATAATATTTATTGTTTTATTAAAAATGCATTTCCAACTCTATAAATAATTATTCGAGAATAGATATAATAAAAAATGATCAAATCTAGCACTAAATTAAATCATAAATTTTAATTAATGAAATAAAACCATTAAAATAATAATTATTATTATATCATCAATAACATATGACAAACTCTTCTCCAGCTTTGAATAAATAAAAGAAATAATTTTAATTAAAATAAAATATTCAATTTTTAATTAAATTTTCGCTTTAAATAATACAGTCTGTATTTTAAAATAAGGATTTACATTAATTTTATTGTAAATATTAAGCATTAAAAAAATATATTATGATTTAATTATTGCCTATTTTAATAAAATCCTTTTGAAAATATAATATTCAAATATGTAAAAAGAAAAAGCCTAAAAATTAAAATATTAAAGAAAAAAATAACTTTATTTTCATTTAAAATATAAAAATTAAATTAACTTATTTTACATTTAACAATATTTAGTATTTATAAATTTTATTGTTAATATTTTTATAATCGAAAAGATAATAATTCATTAATTTTACTTCATTAATTGTTATTTTTAATTGCCAAACAGAGTACTTATTATTATTTTCATTTGTCTTTTAAAGCTAATTAAAAAATAATTTTTAAATAAATTTAATGATTTTATTATTTAAATTTTCCTCAGTAATTAATAATAATTTTTTTGGCTTCAAATAAATTCGTACTCTAAATATTTTAAAGAATAGTTGTACTTTTATTTTCTTTCATTTTCAATAGAGATTTTCTATTTTTTTTATTTTAATTTTGAAGAGAGAAAACATCCATAAATATAAATTACACTTTTTAAAATGAAAATAAGTATATATATTATAAAAATTGAATAAAGAAAAGACATATGTTGTTTGAAATTAAGGTAAAAATTTTGAATTTTTCTTAATTACAATTGAACGAACAAGTGATATTAAAATTAAAGTAACAAAAAAAGAAATAGCTTGAATCCAAATAATTTGTTTGCTTTATAATTTTTATGAATTATTTGCTGGTTTTTCATATAAAAAATACAATTTTTTTTGAGGTATTTAAATCAAAAAAAATATATTGATATTTCAATATCTTACTTTATAACAAATTATATTTTTAAATAGATTTATTTTACAACCTTAAGCCTTTAAAATGAAAGGGCATACTAATTTGATAAGTAATGTAATCTCTTTAACTTCTCCATTAAACAAAAAAAATATTAATACTAAATGCTTTCTTTGTTTTAAGATTATCTGAATGAAAATTCCTTTTGAAACGATTTCTTTAATTTGAATTTTGATGAGCATTGCATCCTAAAAAGGTATTTCGCATATTATCCAAAAAGAAATAAAAATTTTAACTTTATTTTACTTAAATTAAGCCTTTTTATTCCTTGAAGCTATTTTTTTAAGTATTCACATATTTGCGTATGTCTTTCACTTAAATATTTTAAAATGCTCTAAAATTTAAGTTACTCTAAATTTAGGTCATTAGAAAAAAAGTAACAAAAATATTGATTAGAAATTGAAGCTTGCTTTTTAAGTAATTTTTATGTATTTTATATAGCTGTTTTTATATGACTAATATTGAAAAATATTGCAAAAATACTAAACTTTCAAAAAAATAAATATATTTAATACATTTATTTATATTGTTAAAATGATTTAAAATAATACATTTTAGATTAATTTTAAATTTAAAGGAGTTTTTATTTTAAATAAAATAGAATAGATAGTTATTGCTAATTTGAGTGATTACATAAAGATTGAAATCTAATTTTTAAACAATTTATCATAAGATCTTCAATTTTGATGAGAATACAATCAAAAAAACAATTCATACATATTTTAGAAGATAAATCATCTATTTCATATCATGAAATATTTATGAACCTGGTACGTTTAGTAAAATTAAATAAGGAATTTTTAGTTATCCATGAAGAAAAACATAATATAAATAAAAATAAAGTTATAATTTTATCCATTAATAAATCATGTGCGAAGGCTAATTAGAAGGAGAAAAATATGAAACTCCATGGCTAAAAGCTTGCTTCTGTGAAAAAAAGCCTAGTAATTAGGTAAATCCTAATAGTAACTGGCTTTATGAGTATGTTTTGTTATTTTTCAAGTAAATTAATTAGGATTTATTAAAAAAGGTAATTATGTAAGAGTGACTCATTTGTCAATTCATGAGCACCTTCTTTAATTTAATTAACAAAAATGTTCATTTAGCTCAATAGATATATTTATCATAAAATCAATTAAATACTTATAATGATTTTTATTGATATAAATTGTTTAATTAGTGCAAATTTTGTGAATACTTGCTTAATTTATTAGAAAGTTCAATTTAAATAGCTTTGTTATTCACATTTTTTTAAGCGAGGATCTTTCAAAATTGATAAAAGTATAAATTTAATACGAAAACAAAATAGATGATTATGAAAGGTAAAGAAATAGACGTATTTACGTATAGAAGATTCCTAATTATTGGCTCAATAAAATTTAATAATTAAGATTGCTGATATTGTAATTATTAGAGATGATGTTATTAAAAACAATCATAATTAATTAAGTAGTACTATTTGATGATGTTTATTTAAAAAAGCAAAATTGTTAGGAAATAATTACACTATCGATTAATTCTGATTCATTTTTCAGCTTAAGTATAAATGCATCAATACCATTTGAATAATTGTAATAACAATTTATTTTAAATAAAAACAAATTTAAAAATTCATTAAAAAAACTAAAATGACTGACAACACTGTCATAGTTAAATCCGTAGCTATGGTAGCCATGTATCTCATCATCATGGTTACAGGAAATCTACCTCTTAGAGTAAAAGCTTTTAAGGAAAATAAAAAAGTTCTTTCTATAGCATCAGCATTTTCTGGGGGCTTATTCATATCAATTGGCTTAATTCATATTCTTCCAGAAGCTGGTAGTGATTTTGATAAATATTATGACTCATCAGAAGAGCATTTCCCTTTTTAAATGTTCATATCTGTAATAAGTTTCTCATTTGTGCTTTTTATTGAGAAAGTTATTGGTGAATAATTTGCCCATCACCATCACCATCATCACCACGATTAAAATGAATTAGAGGACTTTGAGAAGTAGACTCATGTTCATAATGAAAACCATAATCATAAAAGTATAGAAGATGTAGAAAAATAGGAAACGAAAGAAAAATAATGCAATTCTGATAAATAAATTGTCTGCGAGCTTTAGCTTTAAGGAGATTGCTGCTAAAAAAATTCTTCAACTTCTTAAAATGAAAATTCTCCTACTGAATAAAAATACTAACAAATTTCAACTAATCCACACATTCAAAATACTATTGTATAAATATAAACAATATAAAACGAATGTAAAGATTTTAAACCACACTCTCCTAATTGTGAATTAAATGCTGAAAATCAATTATCACAACAATAATAAACTAGCGAAAAGTGTCCTTCTGAGGAGAAAGAAGATAAACTTGAATAAAAATAAAAGTAAATAAAACAAGTATTTGAACACATTGACCTCTAATTAAATCAAAACAGTGAAGACAATAAAGCAAACATTATAACTCCTATTATTCTCTAAATAGCTTTGGGTATTCATGCTTCTCTTGAAGGATTAGCAATAGGAGTAGAGTAAGATTTCTCAAAATGTTTGACTATCGCACTTGCTGTTTTGGTTCACAAATGGGCTGAAGGTTTGGTCTTAGGTCTTGCCTTGAGATAATCTAAAATGAGCTTAGGAAGAGCTACAATTATGGTAGCAATTTAAGCTGCTATGAATCCAATGGGAATAGGTATTGGTTGGGCACTTAGTGATGCTGGAGATCTAACAAGCGGAATACTAATGAGTATTAGCGCTGGAACTTTCATTTACATAGCCACTTAAGAAGTTATAGCCCAAGAATTTAGCAAAAATAGATATTAATTAGTTAAATTCCTTTTCTTTTTAGTTGGTGTTGGCTTTATCAGCTCACTCTTTTTTGTAGAATAAGCAACTGGTGGCTGAGTTATCTTTTAAAGAATATCAATTAATAATAATAATAAAAATATCTTTTTAATTTATAATATAAAAAGAATCCTTATATTAAAATACATTCAATTATTTATAAAATAGAAGAAAAGACATAATAAATATTTAATTAAATTAGGTACATCAAGAATTTTTATTTATCAAATAATTATTTATTTTGTTTTATTATTAATATGAAAATCAATCAGTAAATAAATATCTTTCATATCTCAATTATTTTGTATTGCATTTAAAAATTTATAAACATTTTTAATAGCTATTAATTCTTCATCTGCTTTTGATAAATATATTAAAGGAAGCGCAATAAATAATTCATTATTATAATCAATTTTTAAATCTAAAATTTGAATTAATACCATAAATTCTCATAAAATTAAGATTTACCAAAAAAAAATTTTGTCTCAAATGTAGGCCTTATAAATATAAATTTTTTTTGGACCTTGCAGTATTTTGGTGACTAAGTATAAAAACATTTACAGTACTCTCTTAATAAAAAATTTTAAAAATTGTTAAAAATAATTAAATAAGTTTTTTATTTTAATATTAATAAGCTAAGTAATTTATTTTTTTATTAAAAATATATGAATATTTCTTTCAATTATTACAAGACTGAACGAATAAAATATATTGATTCTACTTTAACTTTATTTTATTTTATTTTTTCGAGATTATCAAGAAATATACAAAATGATATTTTCTTTTAACTTTGATAATTTAGATCGTAGAAAAAAAACATCTATTAAATAGCTCTTCCTTTCATTCCAATACAAAAATATATTTTTCTTTTTAAAAAGAATCCTATCACTCTCAATCTGCATCATTTTATTGTTTAAAATAAATATTAATGGTATAAATAGAAAGAACTCTCTTTTAAATTTATTTATTCATAGATTTATTATAATTTTTTAATATAAAAAACTTAGCAATAGAATTTTTTATTGATAAAAAATCAATAATTACTCAGAAAAACCCTAACAAAAACTGAAAAATGTTGAATAATTTGAATATATTTATATGATGAAGAAGAGTATTATATACTATTAAATTTACTTTCTCAAAATTTAATACTTAATATTAAAGTATTTTTTAATTGATATTACTTCAAAATTTTATCCTGAATTTGTAATGGTATTGACTTACTTACAATAATAAATTAGGATTATTACATAAATAGTTGAGTACATTAAAATCAAACTAAATTTGATTTATTTATTTATAAATTAATCTAAGTAAGAAAGCTATCTATGCTATTTCTTAGTAAAGAATTTGCTTAAATAATGTTTAATACAATTAAAAAATTAATTTATTTTTTCTAATTTATTATTCTAATACTCTAAAAATATTTATATCCTTATTTATTTCAATTAGATTTATATAATATTTAATAATCTCTTTTCTTATTATTTAGTTTATAATATTTAAAAAATCAAATTTAAATAAAAAATTTTGTCCAAAATAAAATTTAGATATAAAAACTTAATTCATGATAGAATATTAGAATCACAAACCCATGTTTCAATATATAATTTATTATAAAATATAGCTTTTCTTATATGATAATAATTTAATAATTTGTTAATATAATGCACTTTTATACATTTATAGATTTCTGAAGCTTAAAAAAATTGAAAGCTAGAAACTAAAAAGTTGTAGAAATAATCTTTTAAATTAATAAAAAATATCCTTTTCCAACAAATTTAGAAGTTTTAATTAATTTGAGAATAAATTATGTGAAAAATAAATGAGTTCTTTAATTTTATAAAAAAACAAATTTGAAAAGTGATGATCATACTGATCAATTCTATCAACTTAAAACCCTAGAAATTCTAAAAGGCATGAGTGAATTTTTTAATATAAAAGTAATTTTATTTAAATAAATACTAATCATAATAAATAACTGTGCATAAAATATAACAAAATGAGTGATACTACCTTAGTAAAATCTTTAGCTATCGTTTTCATGTATATCATAGTCTTGATAACAGGAAGTTTACCTCTTCGAATCAAGTCTTTTAAGGAAAATAAAAAATTACTTTCAATTTCATCAGCTTTTTCTGGAGGTTTATTCATATCAATAGGTTTAATTCATATTCTTCCAGACGCCAGCGATAGCTTCGACAGCTATTATAGCTCCTAATCTTCACATTTCCCTTTCTAGATGTTCATAACTGTGATCAGTTTCTCATTTGTCCTTTTTCTTGAAAAAATTTTAGGTGAATAATTCTCCCATCATTTTCATCATAACCACTGCTCTGATTAATTAGAAGAATGTTAAGCTTAAAGCATTAACCATAATAATAACAACCTCAAATTAAGTGAAGAAATTGGAAATTAAATAAATAACTAAAATTTGTAAAACAAAAATGAATAGCTTATTTGCTAACTATAACTTGAATAAGTATTTCATTAAAAAAATTCTTCTTCTTAAGATGAATAAAACCAACCAGATTAATTGTAATAGAATCTTACTTATCCAAATATAAGAACTACAATTATTTAAATTTAATCATCAGGAGAAGACGAATGTAAAGATTTTAAACTGCATAAAGTTGACAGTGAATTAAATAGCGAAAATGCTAAATAAGAAATTATTTAAAAGAGTATTTCTGAGGAAAAAGAATCTAATTTTGAATAAGAAAAACAACAAATAAAATAATTAATTTAACCTATAGACATATAATTAGATAAATAAGAAGATGATAGTAAAATGAATATTATTACTCCTTTTGTTCTACAAATCGCTTTAGGTATTCATGCCACGCTTGAGGGTTTATCTATAGGCGTTGAGTAAGATTTTTCATAATGTATAACTATTTCACTAGCTGTCTTGGTGCATAAATGGGCAGAAGGCTTGGTTTTGGGTCTTGCTTTAAAATAATCTAAAATGACTTTAACAAGAGCTACAATAATGCTTGCTATTTAAGCTGCTATGAATCCTATAGGAATAGGTATAGGCTGGGCACTTAGCGATGCTGGAGATCTAGTAAGTGGAATACTTATGAGTATAAGTGCAGGAACATTCATTTATATAGCTACTTAGGAAGTTATAGCTTAAGAATTTAGTAAAAACAGGTATCAAATAGTTAAATTTATTTTCTTTTTAGTAGGTGTTGGTTTTATAAGCTCTCTTTATTTTGTTGAATAAGCTACAGGTTGAAAATGTGTACATAGAATTAATAAAATTTAAAAATAAAATGGTTTTTAATAATTTGTTTATCAATTTTTTATTTGTAATTAATGTAATGAATATTCTTCAATTAATACTTTTATAATTAAATATAATTTAATACAATTTTTAAACTATCTTTTCAGATAGCTTTTTTAAGATTTTTTCCTTTCAATTAATTTATTAATAAAATATTGACACTAATTAATAAAATGTTTTAATTTTTTTAGATATTAAAATAATTATGAACATATTTATTTATTTAAAATGATATTTATTTTTTGGAATAATAGATATAATAAATGTCAATAAATAAATAATTTTATTGTTTTTATAATTTCTCATGCAAAAATTTATTTTATAAGGTCACTGAAAGATTGATTATCATAGCTAAATAGCAATAGAAAATTTATCTATATAGCGTATAAATATTTAAAATATTTTTTTTTTTTTTATGGATTGAGCAAATTTTAAAAATAATAATTAAAATAAGCTTTTGTGTATTTTAATTAATTTTTGTAAGCCTATTAAAAATAAAAGAATATATATAAAATAATTAAGCTGCATAACAAAAAAAAATTTAATTAATTTTATGCAGTAAAAGATATATATTACTGAATCAGAAATTATCAAGTCTATTTAATTAGATATTTAATATAAAAATAAGCCAAAAATATAACTTGGGTAAAAGAGAGAGCGTTCGCTGCAATGAATAGTAACTATACAATTATATTGTTATTATAGGCACTGTTTAGTAAATAACAAAATATCAAAAAATTTCCTATAATTAGAGATTGAATTTCTACAAAAGTAGTTTTATCAATTTTGTGAGGTTTAACATAGTTTAGGATAATAGTATACATTCCTAATATAACCAATGCAAAGAAGGCTATGTTATTATTATTTGGAATATTAAAGTTAATACTTAAAATTATTAGTATTCTAGCGATATTTCTACAGATATCCCAATAATAAGCTGATTATTTGTATTCTTCAAAAATAAATCTCAAATAATTGAAGAAATAATTTTACTTTATCTTAAGTAATAATAACCATCCAAATTGAACAATCAAAAACAGAGCAATTAATAAACAATAAATTATTTTAAAAATATTTAATTCTTCAAATTAATTACATTAAAGAGTTAGATCAATAAGTGAAACTGTTCCATATTCGTTAAATTTATAACACATTAAACCTTATATGAGACTCTCTATTTATTGGATACTAAAAACCGTTAGAAAAAAGTAAATGTATTAAAATGTATCCAAAAGCTTCTCTTTAATAAATTATTTATAAGTAATATTTTATTATTAATGAAACTCTTGCTATTAAATTTACTCTAATTCTTCTTCTTTTATTAATTATGTGAATTCTAATTCTTCAGTCTATTCATTTTTTACTGGTTTTTCTTTTTAAATAGACACACAATACTATATTGAAAAAAATAAATACATAAAGAATGTGAATATTGGTGCTAGCAAAACAGTTGAAAAAGCAATAATAATTGTCTAAGCATGCTTAATACTAAAGGTGTCAGGGAACATCTCAATTAAATAACATTGAAGATAGGAAAAGTAAGAACTCTAAAACGGGTTATATATGCTTATTTAGAAAGTAAATATTTCATTAAGTCTCAAATAGTTATTAACTTCACTGATGATTTAATAGGAATCATAAAATGAACCTACGTATATAATATTCAAGTAAAATATTAAGATTTTTAAGTATGCTATGCTTTGAAAATGTTTCTCTTTTATTTCTTAGTCATTTTATAAATTTTCTTCATTTTAGGCTTATTATTTCATAAGGGCATTAATATTAAAGAATAATACAGCTGCAATAAAAATTGTAAAAGCGAATTAGAAGATAAAGAAAAGCTTATTAAATAATTAAGATTTGCACTTGACACATGAGTAATTATTATTTGATAAGAAGTTTCCATATCCTGTGATGTTGAAAGTATCGCATGAAAGGCATTAAGGTCCAATTTAAGAAGGCTTACAATTTTAATTCCCAAAACCATCGCCTCCTATACAATTTTAAGGTTTTAAGTTACAATAAAAAGTTTTATTTTCATCAACAGTATAACCTTCGTACCTTATGAAACCTGGGTTTAGAACAGATTAAGAACAAAAGCAAGATTTGTGTTATAGAGAGTTGCAGCTTAAACAATTAAACTATTATTCAGAATTACTTTTATTTGTTACACTAAAATCACTGCAAAATTAACATTAGTTGTTATTTAATATTAAACCGTTTTAAGGAGAGCATGTCTAGTTTTATTGTATCATTAATTCAAGATAGAAATTGTTAAAAGTAAGAGATTAGAAAACTTATTAGGGATATTATGCAAGAGATGGAAAGCTAATTAGAAAATAAAATGAAGTACTATTATACTTATTATTAACGTCAATGTTTTTGTTATTACTATTAAAAAGTTGGATATATTTAGAAAAATTTAGGATAGAGGTATCAAAATCAGCAGGTATTTTAATTTCTGTATTATCTATTATGAAATTAAAGGTTATTTGATATGAATAATTAGGATAAGCTTGCTCAATAAAAACAAGCTGCTTTTAATATTACATGTCTTTTATGTTATACTAAAGAGGATTATTTTAAATAGTGATATTTCCAAACGTAGAGTCTTTAAATTCATTGTTAATCCAATTTATTTATTTTATTTTTATGCTTTATATATCTTCTGAGAAATTATTTCCACATAAAGAAGCAAAATTATTAAAATAATTTATATTGGGAATATTTTTAAAAATTTTTGGACCAGCAATAGCACCACCAAAAGAAGCTTTCCCATTTGAGAAACTTAGTTCTTGGAAATCAAGATTTAGTTGGTATTGATAATTATTTTAAAAGTAGATTGCTCCACCAAAATATTTAGCCTAATTTTGATCAAATGTAGTATTTCTAATGCTTATGTTAGGAGTATTTGTAAAAAATACTCCTCCGCTTTAATCTGAATAAATATTTTTGAATTAAGAATTTAAGAGTATTAAGTTAGCAGTAGATATGTAAGCAAGACCTCCGAATCCAGTAGATTTTAAGTTTTTGGCAATAAAATTATTAAATCTAGCATAATAATTGCCTTACTATTTAGTAGCAACATAAAATATTGTTCCTTTTTTAGAAGGAATGATGGAGTTTGCATTTAAGTTTGTCCCTTCAAAATAGAAAGAATCTACTTTAAGATTTAAAGAACCATCTCCTGTTATTATTATTAAAAACAATGCTGAGTATTCTAAATTCACGGATGATTATTGGTCAATAAATAAAGAATAGTTTTTAATGAATAGATTTAGGTTTTGAGTGGCTGATGTCATAATTATTCTTGCATCTTACCTGTTACTTTTATCAATATATTAGTTAACATCTTAAAGTGTAAAGTCCATTTTATAAGGATCATTCAAGGTTCTCAAAATAAATAATCCTCTAACATTTCCTATTGAATTCAAGGCACATATTTTGAATTACTTTGCAGTAAGATTATAGACTCTTTCGATAGTAAAAATTGAATCAACCCAGGTAACATTAGAAAAATTATCTTTAATAAAGCAAGACTTTTAATCATTATCCCAAATTAGAAATTTATTACGAGTGAAAAATAAATTCTAAATGATTGTGCTTTGTATATCTTTAAAATAAACTAAAGATATATTAGTAACGCTAGAATCTAAAATATATAAGCTGTCTATCAATAATTGCTTAATATTTTCATAACTTATTATTCTTGCAAAAAGTTCTAGATTTGGACTTTACATTTCAGTATTAATGACTTAAACATTTTTTAAACTAGTCAAAACTGAATTTTCTATAAATAGTACATACAAGAAAACCTTTTAGCAAGATATTTATAATTAATTTACCTATACATAAGGAGAGTCAATTTAGACTAATGGCAAATAATTACTAGAATACGCTAATTATACGCTGTCTTAGCTAATTATTCTAAAGTTATTTATTTAGACTGAATTAGAGTATTACGATAGTTTAATTATTTAGTATTAAAACTCCCCTATGTTTTCAATTTTAGATGTTTTTATTTAAATTTCAAAGTTTCTAAAAAATGCTGTTTTCCCCCTATTTATATTGAATAAAATCAACTAATTGGTTTGATTTTGGGACAAGCTTAATTAAACTAGCATATTTTCCACAGAAATTTCATTTTAATCATCTTGCTAATCAGATAAAAACATGTTAAGCTGATTTAGTTCTTTTATAAATGACATCGAATAAAATAATTAACCTTATTTTATAAAGAAATTCTGACTTTAGAAGCTGAAAAAATCCATGGCAAATAGTTTTTCATTTTATATAACAGTTAAGTTAGATATTATTGTATTAGTGCAGTTTTTTATATATATCATTGACTTATTACTTGATTTATTTTTCTCGCCATTTAATATTAGCTAATCTATGGTTTGATATTTATTATTTCTTATTATTAAGGAAGAGAATTCCAGGTTAGAAAAGTTTGAAAAGATCATTTTAAATTTAGTTTAGTCAACATCAATTTCTTCAATATTAAGATGCAAGCTTAAGTTTTCTTATTATCCTATTATTTGAAAAGTTCCTTATACTTAAGTATATATAATATCTTAGTTATCTAGCTGCTACTTTATGTCAGACAATCCAAGGCATAGACCATTTTTGATAACAAATATTATCATAAACATATTTAACAGTCTAATATTTTAAAAGAGTTTCTTTATTGATATCATTGAAACTAAATAGCTTTTATTTATATAATATTTAAAAATCTTATTAAAAGAAATAACAACTTCTTAAAGATATTAATTATATGGTTTTTGTTAAGAAGTTGTTTCTTTTATGATAATTCAATAAAATTTTAGATTACATCAAATATATAAAATGACATAGAATCAAAAGATCTTTCAAATAAAAGATATTCAAAATAAATATCTATCATTTAAATTTTCGGAATAGCTTAACTATATCCAAATTATTAAGCTTTCTAAAGCTTAATTTATTCATTGGAGTAGAGAAGATTTAAATTATCTATTCAAATAAAATTTTGAAAGAATAAGAAATGATGGAACAATATTTTTAAATTTAAATGATAAAGTCCAGATTTTACTAAATAAATTTAAATATTTTAATTATGAAAACAAGAAAACCATACAAAATTTAAGTAAATTACAAAAAACTAGCGTCAACTTTATTTATCTAATATTTTTTTTCTTGAATGTTATTTTAATTATTTATGTTTTTAATAAATCATTGAAGAAAATTAAGTGGCTATAATTTAGATATTCAATAAGATTACTATAAAATAAAAAGTAGTGGAGTTCGAATCTTTTTGTATTCTAAACAATAGATCAAGATTAAGTGCTCAAAAATTAAAACATATTTTATACTAAATATCACTAAATTTAATGATAATATAAAATAATGAGCTGATTTTAAATTTAAAGATTATATAAAACTGCTATCAAATTATCAATAATTGCTTTCAAAAAAAAATTTCAATACATTTTAAATTAAATTTAATCAAATCAAAATTTAAAAATCTCTTAATTTCTCCTATTTTATTAAAGAGTAATCTTTGATAGATAATAATCAATAAATAATCATATATTTTCACATTTAATCATTAGATTTCACAATTATGCTAAAGTGTGTTTTAAATTCTTTTTAAATTTATTCTTTTTTCTTTTAAAAATATTAGAATTTAATAAAAGCAAAAACAAATAATTCAGCTATTTCCATGAGATTTTTAAATAAATATTTTAGAATTTTAACAATAATAAGAATTATTTTGTTAATTTCACTTAACTATGTCTCTTGCTGTGAGGAATAGTTAATAGAATTACTTTCAAATCAAGGTTTTAATCCTGAATGTGATAATTTAAGTAACATTGTTGTGGATGGAAGAAATTCATAGAAGAGTGATGCATATTTAGAGCTAAGTAAAAGTGTAATTTCTAATGCAAATAGAATCATTTTTAGAAATTTCAATCTACTGAATTTTAAGAAAATAACTTTAAATAAAATTGAAAGATCATCTATTGATGATTTAGCGTTTATTGAAATTTAGCAAAGTAACGCTATCATATTTGATGATGTTTAAATTTTTTATGAGTAGGAAAGTAACATTTTTTCTTTTCTCATTCAAAACAACTAAAATGTCTAAATAAATAGCCTTGCTATTAATTTTTTAAATGGATATGCACCATTTTTGTAACAACAAAATCCGACTGTCTTAAGAAAGCAATTAATTTCTCAGTTGATAGATAATAAAGAAGTCATAATATTAGATTACTCTTTTAACTATAATTAAAGTGATGACTAATCGAAAGAATTTAATGATATCCTAGGATTGTATTTATCTAATAGCACAACAGTTATAAAAAAGCTAAACGTTGTAATTAACTATAACAAATACTAAGTCATGCTTAATAATAACTTTTTAATCAATATTTTACTTGCAGAAAACTATGATAATAAGGTTTAAATGAATGAAGTAAACATAAATTTGTTATCTATCAAAAATGAATTTGGTTTTATATAAGCAAGTGGTTTTATATAGTTTATATGCAAATACAATAATGATGTAATGTGTGGGGAGATACACATAGGAACCTTAAATATTAAAAATAAAAATTTAATATTAAACATGCTAATATTTGATAACTAATATAATGTTACTGTCGAAGAACTAAATCATGTTGATTCTTTATATGAGGAAGTTTTATTAGTAAATTAAATAGGTTTCATAAGAAGTGTTTTGTTGATCAACACTCAAGTCAAAAATTTAGTATTAAATAAAGTAAATATTTTGCAAACTGCAAGCTTTTAGTACTATTACATTCTAAACCTTTAAAACTTAAACAATGATATTAACTTTTAGCTAAATGAATTTAATATGTTATCATCAAATTGGACAAACACTATGCTCTACATCTATTAAGACTAGTAGTCAGAAAAGTCATAATATATAATGATAAATATGAAAAATAGTAATTATATTGGGCTTTTCCCATTGCTTTTTATGTTTGCTTAGTATGTTACTCTTAATGTAGACATTGAAACTCACTAAATTTTATAAACATCTAATGGTCTAATTTAGATTAATTACCCATATTAACTAAATTTATTAAGTAGTAAAGTAAAAATAAATAGCATCACAACTAATATTGATCTTGGAAGAGGAGCGATTATTTAAATTTTTCATGGCTAATACGATAAAGGTAGCATTATTATTAAAGATTTTTAGTTTGAATCCTTTAGTAATTCAATCATTAATTCAAGATAAGGAGGAGTCTTTTATATTCATAAAGGATAAATATATTTTCAAAATGTTACTGCATCTGGCTTTAATATAAGCGGTAATGGTGCCTTTGCTTATATAAGAGCATATAATATCTCAATAGAAAATTGCTCATTAGATCATTTTTCATCTGGTATTTCTGGAGGTACATTATTCATATATTTTGATAATATTATTATTATGAATAATGTTAATATTTCAAATTCGTAGGCATATTTATTTGGAGGTGGATTGTACCTCTATTCAACATAAGAAAACACGAATTCATTTTATATCTCAAAATTAAGAATAGAGAACTCGACAGCTAAAATTGGTGGTGCTATTAGCTTAAATGGCAAACCAGATAACCCTAATATTACCTGCATAAATACAAAAGCGTAATATGATAATGGAGTTTCTGATACAGTTAAAACTTTAGAAGTAATACAATATGCTTAGTACAATCCTCAATTAAGTGAATCATAAAGGATCGTTAATCAAACTTGGAATCCTCCATTTTCTGATAATACACACACCTATTATTTAAGTGCTGTCAATAAACTCTAATATTTATTTATCAAATTTAATATAATTATGAGAAATGGTGAAAAATTAGGTTTCAAAAATATTTTTCCTTAACATGAGTGTGAAGGTTATGAAATAAATTAACTCTAAAATAAATAAACTAGTTAATAAGATGACAAAATATCTAACTCTTAACAACTGCAATAATGCAATTTCTTTAATTATTTTTAGTAAGAACCAGGTTATTTTGAATATAAAGCTGATCCAAATAACTTAGTGTTTGAATATTTCTACGAATCTTAGTACACCTATCTTAATTCTATATAACTTAAATTTATTCAAAATGATTTTTACTTTGTAATCTATATCCCAGATGGTGATTAAAATTACTTTATTCTCCTCTTCTAAGGAGTTACTATAGATTTTGAATTAGAATTGATTAAAACGTGTTTTTTAGGCTAAATTAAAAAATAAGAGAAAAACTATTATTGCCAATATTGCAGTGACTTTAAAGTATCGAAATAGCCAAACGCAACAGAATGTTATATTTGCGATAAAAGCAAATTCAAAGATTGTAGTGGAAGTGTCACAAATTTAGCTGAAGGCAACTATATCTTAGAGTAAAATAGCAGCCAAGATTTATCTTAAATATAAATCTTTGATTGTCCTATTAATGAAAACTGTTAAGGTGGTATAGAATATAGTGATAAATAATGTTATGAATCTCATGTTGGTCATTTCTGTTTAGAATGTAATCACAATAAACTAAATGGAGACCTCTATACAAGAGACTATAACTATGAATGTTATGCTTGTAAAGATTTAGAATTAAACAAGTGGTTCTCTGTTCTAGCAATATTATCTGCAATGTTTCTTGTAGCAATAATAGATCTTTTGATTTTTTTTTAATATAGAAATTACAAAAAACAAGCTGAGGATCAAAGTGATAGAAATATTAAAGAAATAAAAAGAAAAATTGGTGCAAATGTTCACTTTAAATTCATTCTTTTATTTCTTTAAATAATAAATGTTTGCACATATTATCAATCACCAGATATTTTCAAACTAGTGTTCTCTATATAAGTCTATACTTTTAATCCTCTCTCAAGTTCATACTTGAACTTTTTTGAGTGTTGCCTAATGCAGCTTGATTTGAATGTGTTTAGTGTATAACATTTACTCATAGTAATTCAGACGCTTTTACCTTTAATATGTATTATTGTTTATCTACTGATTAGGATTACCATAACCTATTTAATTTTTAAATTCTGTTGCTCCTAATCAAACCGTGATTCCTATATGAAAAGACTCATTTTTAAGTACTTAAAAAATAAAAAGTTTATAATATAAATTTGTATATTTACTATAAATGCAGTAAATTTAGTAATTATTTAGTAACTAGTTGCTGGTATTTCATGTCAAGACTATAATCAAATAGGTTCTTATGCAAGCATTGATTTATTAATAAAATGTGATGACTCTGTGAGAAAAAAATATTTAATATTTTATTATGTTGCTTTACTTTTTTTCTCTATCATATTTCCAATCACACTCTTCTGGCAGCTATATAAAAACAGAAATAATCACTAAAAAAAAGAAGTAAGATATTTATATGGATTCTTGTATGCAGAATACAAATAAAAATATTACTATTGGGAGTTTGTGAGATTCTTTCTGGTTAAAATTCTAATTATATTCTTTACTAGACCAACATACCCAAATATTCAAACTATCGGTTATCCTATCTTGGTAAACCTTGCTGTTTATTTTGTTTTGATAAGTAAGTGTTAACCATATTAGATAGATGAAGAATAAGAAATTAAAGATTCCCATATCCCTGGCAACTTTAATTTAGGCTTTAAGACTATCAAATAAATATTAAATTCTATAAAAGTTATTTTTAAATTCAGCTATACTGCAAGAGAAAAAGCCTTGATATTCTCAGGTTCTTTGCTAATAATTTGCTATACATTAAATGCGCTATCTTTCTCCAATTAATACTATCAAAAAAATGACGTCGTTCCAAAAATAATTGCTATTTTAGGTCACCTCTAAGCTTTAATTTTAATTTGCATTATTTTAATTATTTTTATAAAATATTTTATTGTTGTAAAAATAAAAGATAAAGCATCGAATAACTAAGAAGAAATTCGAAATTCTTATATCAGCCTAACTTCTAAGGAATGAATAGATCTCTTAATTACATTAAAAGACATATTAATTTATTTAAAAATTGGCAAAATATTATGAATTTCTAATAAATTTTTTATCCATAAATCATTTTTTTATTTGCATAAATTTATAATTACAAATGTAAATTTAATAATTTGATATCAAATTTTCTTTTTTGCCTTTAAATGGTGAATTTATAGGTTTATTTTTTATAAATATTACATCTTTATGAACTATTGCTATTCTCGAATAATTATTTCTTTAGTAGGAAATAAATATTGAGTAGAATAGTAAATATTATTTTATAAATTTTATGAAATTTAAAATAATAAAAAAAGGTATCGAAATAGGTTTCGAACCTAAACAAAGAAAGAAAAAAAAATAAATTTTATTCAATTTTTTTTTTAAAGTAAAAACTAGAAATTTAATTTTTTAATCAATAAATCTCCTCTTTAAAAAATTAGATTAATGATTTTATTTTTTTTTAAAGACATCGAATGAACAATAAAATTTCTTATATTTATTAATTATTAACTTAAAAAATTGTAAATTTGCTTTTCATTCAAAAATAATCTTTTTTTATAAAAAAATTTATGTAGAAATAAAAAGATGAATTTAGTACAATCATTTTATTTTTGAATCATAACATTTATTTGAATTGTACATTTAATCATTTAAAATTTTTTATAAAAAATACTTTCATTTAATACGAAATTTGATACATTGTTTATTTAATTTATATTATAGTTAGATAATTTTCAAATAGCATTATTAGGTATTTATCTCAAGCTAATAATCTAAATATTGTTGTTTAAAATATATTAAATCAACAACCTTTAACTCTTTTGTGGAAAGCTGAAGCTAATTCACAAATACAAGACTTGCAGTTAGGACCACTCTTCATGACACTTGATACACACTTATAATCAACCCAAGGATTCAAGCCGTCTTCAGCAGCAGCAGCAGGGCAAGCAGTGAAGATCTTGAAAGCGTTCCATCCACATTTACCACAAGCGATAGCGTAGTTTTCTAATTAGTTTTATTCTCTAGCTTATTCTCTTTGATAAAGGTAAAGAGCAGAACCACTTAACAATAAAAGGATGGTAGCGAGAATGGCGATTTAAGGTTTCATTTTGTGCTTTAAAATTATCTATATTTTTATTTATTTATTTGATTTCAAATTTTATTGTGCCCAAGTATCTGTCAATTTAAATCTAAATTGAGACGTAGTAATTATAAGTAAATTTATAAATGTAAATTAAATATTTGGTAAAGTAATATAAATTTATAAAAAATTCAGTTTAATTTACAATTATTAATTCGTTGATATATAATTTCAACTTAATTTACAATTCTTTAGTATTAGATATTTTTAATCTATTTAATTTACATTTATTTATTGGTTGTTTTTATTTTTTTGAAATAAATTTCTGGTATTTCTTTTGAAGTTAAAACATAAATAATTTATTTGAAATACTTGTATCCTTAAAAAGTTGATTTTAATTCAGAAATAAATTATTTTTTTTTAAATAACTTTAATAGTTATTAATTAAAAAAAATATGTGAATTCTGAGGAATAAAATTATCTTTATTTTATAAATAAATGTAAATCAAAAATAATTGATAAATGAATGCTTTTAAACATTCAATTAATAGAGGTGTAAACAATTAGATTTAAAAGATATAAATTTATTTCAAGAAAAAATATAGTCTAATTACAGTAATTTAATTTTGTTTTTTAGTTAAGCAAATCATAATAATTTTTAAGAAAAATAAACTGTAACTTAATTTGTTTAAATTTGCTTATTCCAACTCAGAATTATAAAAAATGCTATATTCTATTATTTTTAATAGTTTTATATTCAAAAAGCAAATTAAAAGAATGGGAAATTAATTATTTTTGAAATAATGATTTATTGATTTACAATACATCAATAATGTTTTAGCTAACTTTACTTTCTATTTTGAATTAATTAAATTTAGTAATACTGTATTATTTATGCCTTACTGATTTTTGATCCTAAAAATAAAGGGAGATGCAAGGAATAAAATAAATGCATATATATAATATTTAGTAGATCTTCTTTTGATAATTTTACGCAAGGAATACAGTATAACTTAAACAAACTTTTTGCAAAAGTCAAGTTATATTGGTTTATTATAATACTACAAGAGCTATCAAAAATTAAATAATAGAAATAATGAGGTCTAATTACATTAAATTATTTATACATTTTTTAGAATAGATCAAAATTAATAAATTTGATTAATATATACCATTAATTTACTATAAGATAAATCCAATTTACCAAACAAAATATTCACAAAAAATGTAAAATAAAAACTAAAATTAATTAACCACTCGTTTTTGAATGCAAAATAATTGCACAGTATTGATTAAAACAATTAATCCGCAATATTTATTATTAATAAATAGTCTTTATGTATTTAAATAAGTAACTTAAACACATTAAATAAAATCAAATTATAAAATTTTATGTCTTATAATTGTTCTAAAATATAAACAGCAAAATGATTTCTAAATAATTTTTATTTTAAACAGCTTTTGTTATTATTAAGGCTTTAAAGAAATATTTTATATTACAAAATTTTGTGTGTCACTACTTTTTTAATAAATAATAATAAATTTTACTATTAACTATATCTAGTAAATAAGCTATTAAGTATGATTAATTAAAAAATTATAATATAAATTCTACTTAAATAAGCCTTTAAAAATTAAAAAATATTATTAACACATAATTAAATTTGAATATATTATTACTATTATTTATTTAGTTACATTAAATTTTAAGCTAAGCTTAAAAAGGATTTGTATAAATTTATCATTTATGAAATTGTCAACTTCAAAATAATTAGCATCTAACTAATCTTTTTTACTTACACTATTAAAATTTTAAATTATTAAATAAAATTCTGAATTATCAAGCCTGATAGAATGAAGAGTAATTATGATTGTATTTAAGATAATTTTATATTTTCAATCCTTTAATATTTTTTATTATGAACATATTCATGAATGCATGAAGAATTTCAAAAAATATTTTAGCATAATTTTTAAATATTAATTTTAAATAGTGTTTAATTTGTTTTAAAAACTGATATAAAATAAAATACTTAAAAAAAATCTAAATTTTTTATGTGTAATATTCAAATATGAATATGTTTATTTATTAATTTCTTTGATTTTAAAATTTCTACTGAGATCTTGGGTTTTTATGACTCATCAATCTAATTAGATCTATAAATTATTTGAGGTAAGTAAATATCACTTTACAATATATGAAAAGAATTAATTAAAGTTAATATTCTTACTAAAGATTTAATGACAAATTTAAGAGATTAGTGCATTTTGCTAATGAAGATACTAAATCTAAAGCTTCTTTTCCACTTACTTTGTTTTAACTTTTTCATATCAAAAGTAGATATATTTATCTTTAAAACAAACAGAAAATTAAAAGAGAAAAGTAATATGAAAATAAAATTTAATAAAAATGTCGTCAGATAAAGAAAGAATAAATTAATTTTATTAAATTGTGAAAGAATGAAATAAAATAAAATATGAATATACTAAAGATTTAGTATTAATTTGAAGAGATTAGAGCAGTTTGATAAAGAAAAACTTAAATCTAATGCACCCTGAGAGCTTATATTATTATAACTTTCAAACAATAAAAGATTAACATTTAATAAAGAAATATGGAGAATAAATAATTGTAAGTTATTTAAAAGTAAAAATACCATTATCAAACAATAAACAGTAAAAAAATAATATAAAATATTTTATTAAATTCATATAATAATAATTAATTAACTTTAATATTTTTATTTCCAAAGCTTCTTATTAATGCAAAAAAATTAATTTTACCTAAGGTCTAAAGCCAAAACTTATAGATTATTGCATTTAACTAAAGCTTAACCTAAGCTTAATGCACCTATATCCCCAATTTCGTTTTGACTATAATTTAAATAAAAATTTGTATTATTTAAAGTAAATTAAATAATAAATTAAAAATTTTTGATAAAATTCATATAGTTAAGCATAATTAAATTTATAAAATTCTTTTTAATTCAGACTAACCAATAAAATATTTTAAATGCATAAGATTTTTAAGCAAAACATTTTTTACATAAGATTGAGGGTTAAATTCTAAAGATTTTTACATTTAATTAATGAATTTCCTAAATCAGAAGAACCCTATGGCCCAATTTAACTATCACTTTAATTTTATGCAAGCAATTATTCAATATAAAAAATAATAACAAAAAGAAAATGAAAGTAATTTTTTATTGTAAGCCTTAGGTAATAAACATTAAAAAAATATTTTACTACAGTTCTAGTATAAAACTTTAGAGATTAGTGCAGTTTTATAAAGGAGAACATAATTATAAAATACCTTCATCACTAAATTAATTACCACTATTATATATACATAAATAAATTAGAAGTCTATTTTAAAAAATAAGCAAATAATTGATTTAAACTATAATTATATTAATTGTTATTTGTATGTTAATTTTGTTAAAAATCGAGAAAAAATAAGCTTTAATCACCTTAAATCAAGTGTCAATATAGAGAGATTAGAAAAATTAGCTAAGATAGAACCTAAAATGGATAGTCCTTCATCAAAAATTTGATTTTAGCTATTTTTATATTATATATTAATTATTTTTGGAGTTGTAAAATAATTAAATTCTTAAAAGTATTATTATTTTAATTTTATATTTAATAAAATTTTTATTAACATTAATAATTGGCTATATTAAAATTCTAAAATCTAATTTAAAAGAATAATATATATGAATTTGTTAGTAAATAAAAATTATTCAAATTAGTTAGTATGGATTAACAAGCAATTTTACCTAAGATCGAGAGTCAATGTAGAAAGTTGATTACAGTTTTTAAGAGCAAATCCCAAATCTTTAATACTTTCATCATAAATTTGATTATAGCTATTAATTAAATTAATTACATTTAATCTTACTAATAACAAATAAAAAAAGTAATTTAATTAAGGGGGCAGGAGGCGGTTAAATATAAAATATTTTATTTTAAACAATAGTTTTAAAAATCTATTACTCTTCATGAAATTATATTTTATTAAATATATTCCCTCATACATCTCAATTTGTGCAAATATAGTTTTTTAAAATATAAAAAATATATAAGACTTCTTTACGCTAAATATAATTTTAATCTCTAAAGATTAGCACTAAAGTCTAAAGCAGAAATAAGCAATTTTTGATCTTCATCACTAATTTAGCTTCTATTTAATTTTTTTAATAACGTGTTTAGTCCAAAAAAGCACTAAAGAAATAACTTTAAAATGCTAAAAATTTTTTGTCATAATTTTATTTTACCAAATATAATTTAGTTTAAAATTTAATTTAAAAATTTGACTTTTATTTAATAAGCTAATTTACATTAAATTCAGGGTTATTGATGAGAGATTAGTGCAATTTTTCAAAGCAGAGCCTAGATCTAGTAAACCTTTTTCACTGATTTAGCTTTAGCTTTAAATATAAATGTACAAATACTTATATTAAAGTATTAGAATATTTAATTAAAATAAAAAAACTATTAATAAAAAAACCAACCAATAAATATCAATCATATTTAAAAATAAATTGTATTTTTTCATATTTTTTTCTACCTTAGGTCAATTTCAATATCATTATGAAGTGAAAATGAAGAGTTTAAAAACTTTTTATACAAAAAATAATATTTAAGTTATTAAATTTGATTGAAAAAGTTGTATACATCTTCTAGGCTGGAAAAGTAGTATTTTTGGGTGATCATTTTTTTACTTTAAAAAGAATTTATTTATATTAATTATACTCTATGCAAATTATTTAATTAATATTGTATAAAAAATATAATTAACTATTTAATCAAAAAAACAACACATGTTTGAAAAGTATAATAATATTGGAAATAAAAAATAATACTTTGTGTTCAGTTTAAACATTTTCAGAAAAAGACTATTTAAAATAATAAATAAATAATTAACATTTGCATCACAGTTATAAAAATTAGATAACTATTGCTATTTATTTAATTTTGGTAGATGCTCTTAAAAATAATTAATTATCTCTATTTATTTATCAATACATTTTTATATTAATAAAATATTCATTTATTTTGTTATAATCCAATTATATAATTAAAAAAATTGTGTTCTGATAAATTTAGTTTTATATGTAAGATTAATAAATTTATTTCAAAAAAAATATTTACTTAATAAATTCATAAATATAGGGGTCCCATGTGATTTGGTAACACAGAGCCTGCTTCTAAATCAAAAATAAAATAGACCAATTTTTAAACGGGGGTATTTAAAAGTGTAAGAAAAAATTTCTAATTATTTTTTAGCATTATAAAAACTTCTGAAGTATAAATTTCTTTTTTTCCTAAAAATTTATTTTAGAAGATGACCAAACTTGCAAAAATAATAAATATAGACACTAATTTTGTTTGATATATTTGTTCTTTTCTTAAATTAATAACAAATTCTAATTATTAAAAAAATTTTTATTTCTAAACAATAAAATAAATGTATGAATTAAAATATTGATAAAATAAATTTATATCAATTAGTTTATTAGGTTTTATTTTTTATAAATTGGCTTATGCAATATCCATAATCGTCATCAGTCTCAAATCTAGACTCTAAAATTGATGAGAGCTTAGGGTCAAATGACCTTACTTCATCAAGCATCTAACATCTATTTAAATCTAAATTTATTAAAAAATAAGTTTAAATTTTTATTTTAGTTTAAAAATTATAAATTCCTATTTCTAATAGCAAAATAATATTTTAATTTAAATAATTTACTGTAATTGAATGGAGTTGTAAAATTAAGTGAGATATATTGATTATCTGGTAAGCGGTAGTATAAATTTGATGAGAATGGCATATAATTTGTAGCAGTTAAGAAGAGTCTATATTGTGTTCCATCCATAAGGTTATCAAAGTAGAGATTTGCTATGTTAGAATTTGAACTATTTGAAATTGCGCTATTTGACCAATATTATGGAATTGGATTGTTAGTCTGATCTAATCCTAAGATAATTTGCTGAGAAACTACTGTTTAGTTATTATCTAAAAGAACCATACCATAGACAACTGAGTTATCCCATGCTTTGACTGAAACGTTAAGAGAATAGAACTATACATTTTAGATGACTGGGATCATATCTTATACTTATGACATACTATTCATAAATTTTCTAGCAAAGGGTTCTACTCTGTATGTTTAAAATCCTGTTACATACGATTTCATTAAGCTTAAGAAGTTGGCTTAGTTTGAAGATACCATATCTTACAAATAAGAATAAATGTCAAAACCATTTGCCTGAGGAGCTATTGCAATTTCATAAGAGAATAATGTATTTTAAGTTCTGTTTCCTTAGTTTTGTAAAATCTAGCCGGAGGTAATAATTGCTAAGTCATTTAAATTAACTCTTAAAGCTTCAGAAAGTTATTACAGTAAAAGAGTAGGGTCTGTGTTTTGAGTTAATGTTAAATGTAGTATGGCTCCACTTTGTAGTGTAGAAGTAGTGAATTAATATCTAACAACATCTGATTATCCTAAGCCATTAAAGCATACAAAAGAGATATCATATGATGTCTAGAAATTTAAGTTACTTAAAGTAATTTAAGCTGTATAATCAATTGCTTCTGGGAAGTATTTATCTGATTATCCTGAGCCAGTACCTTACATTTTTCCATTAGGATATACTTAAGAAAGGATCTGTGGGGCAGTAGGCATTATTGAGTTTTTATAAAGTAGCATGTATTGTAACGTGCAAGTCTCACTTGTGATTATATTTAATGTGGCTGAATTTTCTGTTAAATTTGCAGTCGTTATGTTAAAAATTTGTGGAGCAATTTTAGGATTATTGTATTAGGTTGAATTTATTTGTTAACCAACATCATTTTTGTAATAAGAACTATCTGGTAAGTTGTTTGTAAGCTCTAATTTAGCAACCTTAAAACCTTATTAGGAGTCACTTAAAGTAGAAATAAGATAGGCCACATTAGTATTCAGTTTATGATATATTGGTTGGTCTGAAACAAGCGAATAGTAAATTGGTACAGGAGCTAGAATCTTAGAAGAATTAAACTATATTGTATAATTCAAGGATGTGGTTTAAGGAGTTATCAAGAGTTTAGTTGGATTAACAATCACGTTCTATTTATTTAAAACAATAAATTAATTTAAATATTAATATAAATATATTTTACTGTAGAGTTAGTGGCATCAATTACAAGATACATATTTTAAGCAGGGGGATTTGGAATAGTTACATAAGCTGTAATAACTCCACCTAATGAATATTAAGTGAAATACTGAATGTTTACAAAGTTTGGATTCTAAAGAGAAGTATTATTATTAACATTCAATTTTATAATTGGAGGTAGTTAATATTCATCTCCTGCTTGAGAATAATAACCATTTCTAATTTCGTATTTTTTTAAGCTTATAACATAAGGTCCTACTACAGCAGATGATTTAACATTAAGCTTAAAGTTTAAAACAGCAGGTAAAGAATAATTTTAGAACAAGAAAACATCAGGAACGAGTTCAAATTAAATGTTATCGTATGTAGGAATTAATTTAAGAATATTAGCAGGTTTTTATATTTATATCTAAAATTAATAAATTTATTTAAAGTTATTTGAAAATATTCATAATATTTTTATTTTACTTGATAATTGTATGATGATCCAATAGTGACATCATTTGGCCCATTAATTTTAATATAGAGAAGATCATCAATATATTTAATGCAGAATTATTTATTAGAGAACTAAATTAAATTCATTGAAAATAATTTAATAAATATAATATAAAAGAACGAATTAAAATATAATAAATTCAAACAATAAAGAAACATTTACTTAAGTTGCTAGAATTTCGTTAGAAGAAAGATCAGCTAAGGAGATTTAGAAATTAGGATTTTAAATCTTGGGATCTGAGCATGGATTTACGCTACTTGGATTTATTAGTGAATCAACATAAAGCATCTACAAAATGTCATCAATAGTTGTCAAATTTTTCTATGCTAAGATTGTGTTATTATATAAATTGCATTAAACATTTAGAGACTATGAAATAGAGCTAAAGCATGTGATATTTGTTTATTATTATGACATATCAAACTAATCAGGTAAATCTACAATAATACCCATTCTAATATTTGTTTTCAACCAATATATAACCTCTGTCTAGAAAACATAAGGCGAGTATACAGAGGTGGAATTCTTGGTTGGGTAAATATTCTTTATATCTAGCTGCTTAGGTACATCAGTTATCTTGTAATATAAAGGACCATAAAATACCCAGAGAGCTAGACTTCCTTATTTGTGAGTTATCCTAAATTTTTATTAAAATAAATAAATTATAATTACCAATTATTTAAAAACTGCATCCTTGGTTTTTATTTTTTATATATAAATATAATATTTTTATGAAATTTGCGAAGGAAGGGGGATTTAAAAATGAAATCAATATAAAATAAAATTACTGATAGTTATCAAGGTAGAATTAACCAGGATTAAATACATTTTAAATTAAAATGTAATTCCAAGCAAATTGAGAGGAACTAAATAAACTAGTGACCCCAGTAATTTCTATTGTTTAACAAATATTGTTATATTTGTAATTAAAATAATTATTAAATATACCTATTGTGAAATCAAATATAACTGAGCAAGGGACACTTAATAATGCTTAAGAAGTTTAACTGTTTTTCACCTTAAGTTGAAGAATATTTTCAATACCAAATTAATAATTAGCATCATTAGACTAGTAAATAAAACATTTTAAATTAACTCCTAAACTGGCTTAAAATTAGTTAGGGAAAATTATTTGAGTTGATACAATATTCTAAATGCTGTTCACATTAGGAGTCTTTTGTTTATTATTTTTAAAAATTAAAAAAATATAATTGAAAAAAGATATATTTAATAAATTCACATTTAAAATTAAATTTATATTATTTTTTTACTTAGAATATATAGAAAGCTGGTAGGGCTGCATTTATAGGAACATTTTATAACCTTATCTAATTGCTTGAATCCTAACTATTTCCATCAATTAATTAGCTATTCTACACTATACTTGCATAACAGTTTCCTGAGTTATCTGTTTATGTATACATGCTATTATAAGAATAGAATTAAGCAGAGAATGGATAAGCACTATTTGGTATTTATGGATTGTTTAATTTAATATTAATAGTGAAAGGTTATGATTAAGTGATATTTCTCAGAGTTGCTGATAATACCCATTACCCTTACACATCATTTAAAGTACATTGAGAAGTATATAGAGTAGTAGGTTCAAATGATGAGCAAGTATAATCTATAATACTATTTCCTACTCTATATTCATTTGGTAAAATTATTTAGACAGTTGTTTTGTATTTAATATAAGAAGAGCAAAGGAAGCTAAATGAATAGAAGGATTCTAGCTTAGTATTAATTATCGAAGGATTTACATTTAGACTACACTTCTTAATAGATGTTATGTAGTAAAGTGGAGGAGGAGCAGAGTTTTAAGCAATTATTTGATTTAATACAGGGTTTTAACTGAATTATGAAGAGAAAATGAACTTATTGGAGCTTTATGAATTTTGGTAGCTAATATTTGGATTTGTTATTCCTTTAAGTATTACTTTATATGAGTTAATAGGTGAAAGACTTGTGTTAACAAGAATGACAGCAAGTCGATTGGGAGAAACAAATTTACAATAAGATTAGTTTTATTAAGTAAAAACGTCTCCTTATAAAGAGCAATCTAATGGTATTGCCATTTATTAAGGATTATTGTATAAAGCCTATGGGAAATCAATAGAAATAGATCCATTAGGGGGAACTGTATGCCCAAGGACAAAAGTAAAAGTATAAGTAACACCTGTATCACCTCCAATTTATGAACTAGCTTCTACAATAGCAGAAGTAAATTGGTTACTTGGGACGAAATTAGCATTAAACTAAGAATTGTAATATCCATCTATTTTTCTATTAATAAAAGTAAATCCCTAAACATTAACGCTACCTTAAATAGCGTAATTAGGATTGGGAATTCCATTCAGATTATATGTTACAGTTGTTGATGGACTAATTGGTGCATTTGGTTGAATATAGATCATACTAGATCCTGGGAATACATAAATTTAACCACAATTAGTGCAACTTATTTGTGAAGGATCATAACTTATTGTGTTTATAAAATTAGGAGGGAATGCAAAACCAATATAATCGGTAGTTTTTATAATTTATGAGTTTGTCTACAAAGTGAACTAATAGTTCGAAAATGAGTTAACTTAGTTATTTCCAGTTACTACTAAAGTAGCTGAATTAGTTGTGACAGTGTTAAGAGGTGTAGTTAAATCTGGGACATATGCTTTTAAATTATAGAAGTAAGCCGTTGAGCTAAGTTATGGATTTACAACTTATACTCCTACTTAAACAGTTGTGTACAATCCAGAAGATATTGATTATATGTTAGTTATTAATATTCCCTATTAATAAATATAAAATTTAAACAAAGAATTATTTATAAATAAATTTATTAGTTACAATTTTTGTATTTGGAGGTATCTGTTCATAACCTGTCACTTAAATGTAAGGCATGTTGATTGCTCCACTACCGTTATATATTTTACAGATTAATCTATTACCATTATTAATAGTAAGTCCTTATTTAACTGCGCACCCAACTTCGGTTCCGCTTTATTAGTTCATTCCAAGATCTTATGCATATCCAGGATGGATTGTGTAACCATCACCATTCCATTCAAATACTATGTTTATTTAACTATATACTTCTTAATTATTTGATATTATAGATGAAGAGGATTATCTATTATAACCTATTGGAGTGGCATATTAACCCGTTTAGAATTCGATATCATAAAGCTGGTTAACTAATGAATCAAGGGAGTTTATAATTTTGAGATAAGCTATATTTATCTCTGCTCCTCTAACATTAGTAATATTTGTTTATTATGTTTCTGCTAATTATGCACCACAATACATATCTAATTTTACTGGGTATACATAAGTTCCAGGGTATGGTGGAGCTGTAAACAAATTATTGCCATTTGAATCAGCTAGAGTTATTATTTATGCAAGGGTTCCTAGAGCCTACGCTAGGGTTAAAGTAACTGTTGTTTATCCATTTCTTCTAGCTAATGAACAACTTGTTACTTGTAATGTATTCTTGCCTTTTATAAAATTAAAACAATTTTATTTAATAAAAATAATATCTTAGTTTTTTGATTATTTTTTGAAAAAGTGAGTAAAAATTAGAATTTAATATTATATTTAAAAATACCTTAAACAGTACAACTATCTAATTAAAGAGCCTAAGGATAAATGAAATCATCTGAAATAGTAAAAACTAGTGTTGTGATGGGACAACTATTGGAATTTGGTTTAATCAGCATATAAATGCTCACATTATCATCATTTATTGAAGCTTATCTATCATTGAAAGATTAAGTATAAAAACCAGCTGTCTTTAAATCAGGTTGTTAGTAGTAGGAAATACTCCATGGAATTATTGATTTTGTGACATGATAGTAATCTAAGTTATTTAATGGACTTGTAAGATCTTCACACCTATAAACACAACCATAGAATAAAAATGGATCTGCTGGACCAGGAGGTATTCCTTGTGGAGGCACCTAATTATCTATTACAAATTCAAAGTAGATACGAAGGTTATAAGTAGCAAAAGGTGTTGTCCAATCAGGGAAATACTGAGTACGTATCAGAAGAATATATTGAGGGTGTACCTCACAATCGAATCTTAATGGATAGGGTTTTCTTTGAGTAGGTGGAACTATAGTCAGAGTTGCATTACAATAATTCAAAGTATATTAGCTTATTTATGAAGGTTTTTCTAATCTGTAATAAGCTATTTGAGATTCTATATCCATATTTAATACATCTAATTATGCTATATTTAAATATCCTTCCTTTAAAAATAAAGAAGTTGTAGCTCTAATAGGATCATAAGTTTAAGTGTTCAGTACTTGACCAACAGTATCTATTTTTAAAATTTTTAAAAAAATAAAACAAATAAAAAATGGGTTTAATTAATTACTTATCATGTAATAGTCATAGTAATTATGAGTAATCTTGAATGGTTGAGAAATTATACCAGTACCACTAAAAACCTATAGTAAGAAATAATTTGTAGGAATAGGATTTCTTCTGAATATACCATTTATCATATTATCTAATTCAATTGAGCTTTATACGTTAGCATTTATGATTGCATTTGTTTAGAACAATACCTAATATTTATCAATTAATTAAAAATATTTAATATAAAATTAACATTTATTGAACAAATTTAAGGTTTTTTGATAATAAATTATTTGTAGAAGTAAGATTCAAAATTAAAAAATATAATCTTTTATTTATATATTTAATTAATTACCCAGTTATATTGAGGAAATTCTATGCACATTCCTTCAGTTGTGGTACAAGTGTTTTTATTAATATGATTTGAAGGATATTATATCAAAATATATTATAGAGGATTAATATTTTGAGTTGGAGTTATAGTAAAGAAATGAGATGCTGATAAGGTAACTGTGTTAGGTACTGCTGTGAATGTACCAGCATTTAGATAACTGGATAAAGGGATAGGATTTGTTGTTCTATACTGATGTTCTGCATGATACATAATACAGTGGAAAGCAGGATAATCATCTCTACAGCTTCTTCTTATACTTAGCTTTATACCAGCAACTTAATTTACAATATGAGGGTTTTCAATATAAGCAATAAAGAAATCGATTTTTTCACCTTTTATTATATTCTTACTTACAGGAATTTTAATCACAGCTGGTTTACCTCTTGGATAGTCTTATGCATGGTTACCTTTGAAAATATTGCAAACTAATCTATTACTAGATATTTAATTAAAACCAGTATTTTCTGAACATCCTATTGTTGAGGATATAGGATCAGAAAAACCAAGACCTAAATCATCTTTGAAAACAGCATAGAGTCTGTCAAATGTTTAAAATTCAATCCATATTTAATCTCCTGGTTAAGCTTAGTTATAATTCATTGTAAACGTAAATCTGATAATTGTTTTTTCTCCAGCAGCAGTATTTAAAACTGATGCTCTAAAAGTATCTGCAGTATCTTCTGAAGGATGAACATAAACCTCATTGTATGTTCTTTCTAAAAGTGTACCTGGAGGAGTTGTATTATCCCAAGCTTCTAAGAAGAAATTATAAAGCCCAAAGTCTTAATTATAAAGACCTTCATTGAAAGCTATATCAGCTCTTTATGTTTAGACAGAGAAAATATACTCAATTTACTTTGGAATTGAGTAATGAGATAGAAGAGGGGTATCCACATTAATATTAAATACCATTTTATTTGGTTCTGATGAGTATTTTGAAGCTGTCCAATCCTTATTAATAGTAGGAGGAACGGGATATGTGTTATACTAGAATTATTAAGGATCATTAACTTTGTATCTTCCTTTGATGTCAATTCTACTTCCTGAAGCTACTTACCAGCCAGTTGGAAGAGTTAATTTGAGTTGGAAATTTTGATTTATGACTATTCCATTTTAAAATAAAAAAGTAAATAAATAGTTTAATAAGAAAAAGTTTATTTACGTAGATCATGGGAGCGAAGAATAAATAAGAAATCGAATCTTTGCCAGGTTTTAGCATATAGAGGATAAGTAACGTAATCAATTATGTCATATTAAATCATACCAGGATTATTTGCATACACAACAGTTTAAGGAACTGGTTGAGAAGTTGCTATAATATTTACAGGATTTTATGTACCATAAATAGCTACACTTTAAATATTAACAGTAGCTCCGCTATTTACATTCTTAAGATATAGGATAACATTAATCTATGTGGCTTAGTTATATTAATCAAAACCTGAAATAATATATGAATTGCTAGATGCTTTTTAGCAATTTAATGAACCATACAAAGCATTTTGAGGTAATGTAGGATCAATAAGTGGGAAAATTGTTAATGTGTAGCAAAGATTTTCATATGAGCTTAACTAATTTGAAAGGTTTATTTAAATGTAACCTCCTCTTGGGATAGTTTAAGGAGTGTTAATTGTCAGTCTATATTGGCACACACTATTAATTGTTTAGTAACCTACCAGATATTAGAAATTCTTTGGGTTTAAATCTGTAAGCTATTTCAACCACTAATTTGTGGGATTATAGAAATATTGTGTCAAAGAATTATTGCATATATATACATACCAGAAACCATAAGCAGTAACATAATAATTTGAAATAAAATTGGTTCCTAAACTCATAACTGACCATGCATTTGAAGAATAGCTTGTAGGAGTTATCATTATAAGATATATGGTAGGGAATACTTCAACAATACAGCCAGAAATAGTGATAGTCAATAATTGAAGCCTATTAATTGAATTAGGATTGTTATTATCCCACTTTAATAATATTCTTTAAGGTGAAGCAATATTATAATTGAATTTAACACTTAAATCCATAGTGTTTTACTATACATAGTTATTTATCGAATTCATTTGGAAGTTGGCGCTAGTCATATCAGTATGAACGGGATCAACATATGCATGATTAATAAACCAGTATTATTCCAAAGTAAACACACGCTAATCAATAGAGTTAATTTATATTGTAGATATTTTATATGATAGTGAGGTGTGCTAAAGCAGAGGATTTCTGACCATAGGTATTTTAAATATATATTATGTTCCTGCAACTAAGTCTTAACCTTAAACAAGCATAATTCTTATATTTGCAAAGAAATTGCTATGCTGACCGAAATTTACAATAGCATATCCTGTAGGAAAAACAGGATACATTAGATAAGAGAAAGATTAACCGTTAATGAATTCTCCTAAGCCATCATGGTTGTAAGAATTTCTTATATCAAAGTCTTCGAAGTTCTGTCCTGCTACTTAAAAGTAAATACTATCTATTTCAACTTGAAGATATGTTTCAGTACTTTGACTTAATGGGAAGGAAGGTGTAAATGTAATTTCAGCTACATCATAATCTAAAGAAGTAGTAGTTAAGTGGTTAATCTTAGCCTTTAAAAATCTATTTGTTATTTTTGTTATAAAAGTATCATATGAAGGATTAGTTGTAGAGATAGGACTATAACACTACCAAACAAACTCTGATCTTGTTGGAGTAGCTGGAAGATTAAAAGATGCTCCTTAAATTCTTCTTTCTCTTATGTGTACTAAATATGATACTCCTTTTTACAAAACATCACGAGGAGCAGTTAAAATATAATAGTAAGGTGATCCACTTGTATTTAATTAACATTTTGAATAGAATGGAAGACCTATTAAATTTAATATTAAAATATGATTATTTTATGGTAGCTAAAAATAAAATAGCATATTATTTATATATACATACCTATCTTATCGTAAATTGATATTTCTGGAACGAAATAACACATAAGCCATTAAGTAGGATCTGTTTATATGTAAGCAGTTACTTATTAAGGAGGGAACATTATCTGAAGATAATCAGCGTTAGTTATAGGATCTATATAAGTAGTAGTTTGTACATAGCTTAAAGTGACATCTAAGACAAATCTAAATCTTAATCTCCAAGTTGTTAAAGTAGCTTAATTTGAATATAGTTATCTATTTTAAAGCTCAAAATAATTTGGGATGTATTTTGCTTCAGTGAATCTATAATATGCAAAATTAAAATGACTGCTACTAAATTATGCAAAAGGAACTGTATATGAATTATAAAAAGCAACATTTCCATTAGAAACTACAGTAGAAACAGTGTAAACAATAGTGGGGTTATTAGTAATCATTTCTACAAACATCAAATAAGGTTGTGTTGTATCCCATTAAGCAATATTATACCAAGTAAGAATATAATTATTACCATTATACCCTATGACACATTCTGCATATCTATAAATATAAACATTGCTATTCTATCCTTGACTTTGGATATAGCATTTTCTTATTAATTTAACACCTCCCGTAAATGAGAATTACAGATATGATATCTGCTAATTCAACATATCAGCATTTGACATTTAATTCTTGATTTTAAATCTCATAGTAATAGATTATCCACTTGCATAACTGTAAGTAGGCACAACATCAATCTATTTATTAAATAAAATTTGTCAAAGATTGAATATATAATTGAAAAAGCTTTTAAAAATCCAAATTGATACCAGGTTTGAATTATTGATGTCCATATATATCTGAGAGGCTGTTCTTATATACTAAGACCACTGAGCATTTGAAGATAGGTCTAGTTCACCAATATTCGTTTATCTGAATCCATCACCATCAAAATTCCAATATTAACCCATAAATAACTAGTAATTTATTTTACCATCTGAATTCCAACTATTCTATTAGTATGGGTATGGATTTACAGCATTCTTTATAGATATTGTAACAGAAGTAGTTGCTGCTTAAAATTTAGGGGCAGATATGTAAGCTGAATTAGTATGTCTATTAAACCACAAAAGAGTAAGTTATCCGTTGGAATCAAAATATGTTAGAGTGTCAGGATAGTTGTTTCCACCAACAAAGCCATGGTAGTAGATAAGTCTCATCTTATTTTTAACAAATTAAAATATTTTTTATCTAAAAAATTAATATACCTTTTAGCCTGCAGTATTAGGAGAAGCAGCAGTATTCCAAATTGGGTTATACCCAGTTGTAGTTTAAGGCCAATTATTTATTACATTATTATCATATTCAACATTTTACTAACCATATTGGTAGCTATTAGGAGGATTTAGTTGTTAAGGACCTAAATATAAGTATTAAAAAAGTAATTGTTAATTTATGAATTTTAAAAAAATTATAAAAAAAATAATATAATTAAAATAATTACCAATATTTGCATTATTCCAAATTTAGCTATTTACACCATCAATTAGAATCATTTCTTTGAGAAGTAAATAATATCTATTATATTCTAAAGTTTAAGATCCAGTCCAACCCATGAAAAAGTTAAACTCTATATCCATAGCAGTATATAAATTAGTCGAAGTTGGCAACACCCAATCATCAAATGCAAATGTCAAAAGAGATCCTGCTGCAAACTAATTAATTTCTTCTATTCTTACCATTAAACCCTTATACGAAGATGCTTAAATAAAAAAATTAATTTTATTAAAACTTTTTTGATATTTTAAATGAATTTACTGTCTATATCAAAGACTTTACATCTAGCTGAATTTATTCTATTAGGATTTTACTCTAATATAAGCGAAATTTAACATGGAATAAATCCTCCTTAAACAGCTCCAGGAATATTTGCAACAGCCATTATAGGGAATTTAAGCTCAAAGTATGCTCTTGGGTAATCAACATTACATCCATACTTAAAGAGTATTGCAATTTAGAAAGATGTTGGCTGTTAATGTATTTAATTTGTGAAATAAAAATATTTTAAATAAAGTGCATCTGTTTAAACATTAGTAGATTTGTCTATATATCTTGTCCATTATTGTTGGTCATTATTTTTAGCGGTTATTCTGTTAAAAGAAAAAGTGTTTATTTCATTTAATCTGTAAATTAAAAATAAAATTATTTAAAATTGTATTACGCAGCTTATGCAGTATCAACAACTCTAATCATATCATATTAATAAGCACTATTTTGTTTCCATAAACCGATATGAGAATTAAAATTTCTTTAAGAAATTATAATTTCTAAAAATGCATTTTAGTTCCAAGGTCTGTAATTAGATTAATTTATTTGGAATCCATTTCCTAAATCTCCTCTGTTTCTATCCTCTATTTCCCTTTATTTTAAATAATTAATTTAACCATAAAAAATAGTTAGTTTCAAGATACCTGTATCTACCTAAGATAACTGTATCGTGTTCTCTAACTCTTACATCAAGGTTTCCATTGCAATCATATCCAGGCATTGCGCAACCATCAAAATTATAAATTCTTTTAATAATGAAAATATTTTATTAAAATTAATAAAATTATAAAGTAAAATGTACTAAGAGGTATGATACCATACTTTTTGAGTAAGATATTTAACATAATATCTTAGCTCATAAAAATTTTGCATAAATTATTTGACTCTAAATCCATAGAAGTAAGACATTGAAGGAGGAATTCTTATTTTTCCTGCATCATATTCATCAAAGTTAAAATCTGTTTAAGTATAAGTATCTTAAAGCTAGATCTTATAATCTGAATCAGATTAATAATTATAGTAAAATTTAACTGTATAGTTTATGACTCTATTGGCTGCTCCAGAAGGATTCGTCATAAAAAAGTAAATATCTATAAAATTTGGAGTTTAAAATGGTGTAAACAAATTATTGACTACTAAAATCCAATTATTTGCATCTCTATTATCAACATAGCACCATAAAACATATTGAAATTATTTTTCAACTCTCGCTGTACAACCTAATTTAATTAAAAATAGTTCAAGAAATTTTAAATTAATCATAATTATTTATTTATTTCAAAATATTTCGAATAAATGAAATAAAAAATGTTTCTAAAAATAAATAAAATTTTATTAAATTTGATAAAAACATAAAAGATGTTAATTATTTTCTAAAAAATAATTTATATTTTTTAAGCTTTTTATTTAGTTTGCATTCTTTTAATAAACTAAATATATTTAATACTTAAAAATTCTACATTTATTCTTTAAATAAATTACTTTGAGTAATGCCTGTAACCTGAGATCTTGGCAACCAAACTTCTAATCTACCACCATCTCTTGTTTCTCGCCAAAGGAAGCCTCTTAAACCTACTTAAATTGCGAAAATACCTTTATCTTAGGGGTACTAATCATAGTAGAAGAAATGCAACACCTAGAAACCATTAGAATTGATAGGCTAAAAATTTACATTAGGTATGGGAGCTGAAGTTTATTATTACATTAATTATCCGTTTTAGTAAGCATAAACATAGTAAAAATAATCAGAAGTAGTCTAAGATTTCCATTATTCAAAATAAAGATTTTTACCTGCACCTATAACTGCATTTGTAGTAGCACTACTTATTCTCTAACAAATTAAAACCTTAGAGTGTAAATTATAAAACTTATTATATCCACTATTCCATAATCCTGCATCTGAACATAATTCAGCTGTCATTAATGGCCCAATATCAGCATGTCTAAAGTAAAGATAAGGTTAATTTAAATTATTAATATTTTAAACTTATAAATCATAGTAGCCAACGAATAATTAAGTAGTTTAACTACCTATGTAGAAGACAGAAGGATCATAAAATATATTTAAATCATTAGTAAACGCATTTCCTGTAATAACAAAAGTATAATCCGTCTTTATTCTAGAATTAAATTACTCACCATTTTTACCATACCATTCATAAATAGAAGGTCTAATTATTTTAAATGATAAATATCTTGCTTAAGCATTAGTTGAGCCAATAATTATTTCTGGAATAGAACAACGGACTGTAGATCCTTTTAAAATATATTTAAAAATAATTATAATAAATATTTATTTTTATACAACAGATTTTATATTTTAATATAAAATCAATAAAAATTTAATTAAACTTTATCTTTAAAAAATTTCTTCAAAATTATTAAAATAAAACTAATAAAAAATTATTAGAAAGTAAAAATTAATAAATTAAGGTAATTATTTTAATTAAATATATCAATTTGTCCTGAATTAAAATATTTTTAAAATGCTTACCAGTAGCAGCAGAGAAGTAAAAGAGTACTACAGGATCATAAACTCTACCTGCAACAGTTTATCTAATTCTTCTTACACAGGTACTTTACTAGAAGGGTCCTCCGTTAATTTAACAAAGACAATCAATTTGTTAAAGAGTATATTGAGTATTATAAATAGGATTATCTATCCAATCTGGGCCTTTAAATTGCATAATTAATATTCTATTTACTCCAACATCTAATCCGACTGCTTCAAATAAACCAGTAATTGTAAAATCAACTTCTGATATTGAATTTAATGTGCTTGACAATTATTAAACACTTAAATTAGTTCCAACTTAAAAGTTCTCTACATATTCATCATCAACACAGAACATTTCACAACCCCAATGCCATGCACAACTATCAGACCAAGGCCATCCATGAACATTTGAATCAGTTTCATAAGCTCTCATGTGTACCCACCAAAAATTTCGATCTAATCTGATTTATGTATTTACAAATGTTATCTAAAAGTTCCAAGTTTCTCCTGCAGGATCTAATTTTTTTAAAATTATTTTAAAGCTTCTAAATATATTAATTTCTCCATTTATCTTATATTTATAAAAAATAAAGTAAAAATATATTACTTGTTGGCATGCAGGCATGATAAGAAAGAGAAAAGCAAAAAGTCCATATCAAATAACCTTTAGATTATGACAATCCAAATCCTTAGCAAAGAGGGTCTACATTTCCATTCCTTGCCCATTAGACTGAAGTAGGTGTTCCTACAAACAAGTCTTACATACCAAACATAGTTAACTAAATGCATTAAGTGTAAACACAATTATAACCATCATCGTAATGGAAATTACCACAATTCTTTTTAAAATATTTTGGTATTTATTATAAAAAAAATTAATAAAATTTATTTAAAATTAATTTTAAAAAATATAAATAAATATTATAGTAGAGGAGGGTAAATTTAAAAACCTTTATATTTCAAAAATAAAGTTAAAATTTTTATTATTATTCATACTTAACAAATTCTAGAAAATAAATTTTAAACTTATCCTCTTTAAATTATTTGCTAATTTTCAACTATTTAAATAATAAATAACTAGAAAATTAATTAAATTATTTTAAGTTAATTAATTATTGAGAAATTATAAGATAAAAAATGTTTATTTATTTTTATTAAAAGTTAATTACCATTGGTGGAACAAAAACATCAAAATTTAAAACAGTATTTGCACCTATCCAGCTAAAATAATTGACATTCATTCTTTGCATTTATGAATCGCACATCCATTAAGTATATAAAGTAGGATTATCTCTAGAATTCATGTGTCCATTTTATCCTGTATTATAAGCCTCCATATTTGCATATGAATTTATCCAAGATCCGTATGCACCAGGTATGTATTATACAATAGGATTTGCATAGATAACTTATTATACTTACATATTAAATAAAATTCTGACATATTCTTGTTGTACTATTGTATCCCAGTTTGTGATCATAAACATATAGTTTTCTACACCAGGAGCGTTTGGATCTGATACAACACTACAGTAAGGTTCTGCACCAAGAAATCTAGGATCTGACATTCTTAAGCCCTCTATAATATAACATGAATAGGGTCTAGAGCCAGTATTTTGAGTATAAGCACCGTCTAAAGTGATAGTTAATACAGCAGAATAAGTTGTTCCTCCAACAAGACTATAATTCATAATATCAGATAATTTTACAGCTAAGACTAACCAATTTTATGTATTATAATGCCATATTTTGTAATCCCATCCATTATTATATTAAGTTATACTTACAGTATTTTACGCAGCAACTAACTCATTCCTTTGACCACCACTTGGATTACAACTAGCATTATTTGAAGCATTTTCACAAATATAATGAGTGGTGGTTTCGTATCTGGCATACCATTTAGCAGGTGCATAATTTACATCACCGCATGTAGTGTGAGCAATAATAGGTTCTCTGTAATGCTTACATTTAAAGTATCCCATAGTATATCTATATTTTAATAAGATTGTTAAATTTATTTTATAAAATATAATCTAGTATTTTATAATATATAATTCAATTTATTAATTAATTATTTTTAACTTTACTTTTAGTTTTAAAAATTGTTTAAAACTAAAAAATATTTTTGAAAAATAAACAAAATTACTATTGTGTTTTTCCATTTGAGAAATCATAGTAAAGATAATATTTTTTCACATAATTATTTTGTGTAGGATTTCCTTGCCAAGTATATTATTCAAAAATAAACATATCTTTAACATTAAATTGGAAATCTACTGTGCATAGCTCTTCATAACTTGTATCCCAAACAGGTTTTTCTATTTTGTAATTTTGTAAATTTTTAATTAATGAATCTTCAAAAATATATATGTACTTTATATAACAACTTCTATTAGAACAGTAGTTTAAGTTCCAGTTATGCAAAAGTTCTAGAATGTTAGCTAGTTTCCAGCCATGTATGCAGGGCGAGAAGGGAACATATTTGCATTTGATACGTAATTGCAATTATTTTAAGAATTTGCACAAGTTGCAGGATCACAGCTACCTTAGCAAAAATATGAAGTTGGACCCCACCATCTTGATAATAAAATAAAAAGTATGAAAACATTTTCATAATTTAGAATTTAAGTTTGAGCTTTGAATATAAAAAACTAAATAAGTTAATAAAAAATTTACTGATTGAACACTAGACTACCCATAAACTAATTTCCATAAGGCTAATTAAATGTTGCACTTCCTCCCCAAGCTTCAACTGTAAATTCAAGTAAATTATTCAAACCACCAAAAAGAAAACCGAATACTTCATTATTACCCATTTAATAGTTAAAATCAAAAACATGAATACGAATAGGTGTACTCCATCCTGTAGGATCTCCGTTTTCAATAATACATCTAACAGGATTTCTTTGACCTCCTGCAATACCTCTAGAACATGGATAAGAAGATCCACTATCTAAATTCCAAAAGGTTATACCCGCCATAGGAAGTTACCTGCTATCTTCATCTACAAAAACAAAGTTGAATGTAAGACCAATAATATCAGGTCTAGCAAATCTAAGCCACCACCAAATAGCAACAGGAAGATTTGGTATGATTGTTGATTAATCAGCTGGACCACCAGCCTCTATACCTCTAAAAGGACAAACAATACCACCATTTGAATTAAAGAATATAGGGAATGGAGTTGTGTACCCATAATAAGTTTATCCAGATCCAAATGAAGTGATTTCATATAACCATTGATATTAGCCTGTATTGTGATTATTGTTATAGCTAAAACCATCTTATGTAATATCATTTGTATTATATGCAGTTATGTAAACAAACAATATTCCATTAACAGCAATTTATGTTTGGAAGTATAACCTAATTTTATTTTTAACACTATCATTAGTGCATTTAACTCTATCATTATTCACATAGCAAATAAGCTTATCTTAGACATAATCTTGATATTCAACAGGTGTTGGAATCACGACATCTGTTCCATAAAAGAAATCAAAAATATGGTAGTTTGTGGTACCATAAAGAGAGGCAAATGCTACAGGCACAATAACATCCATTCTTATAGGAGCTCTCTGAGTGGTGAAGCATGGAACGAATTCATCATTATATCTAGTTTCATAAATTAATTCGTTACAAAATATTTTTTTTGATTGATTTAAAAAAATAAAAAAAATATTTAATTTTATTAATTTACATTTTTAAAATAAGGTAATTTACAATAATTTTTTTGAATATCAAATTTATTTAGATAAATGATATTTTTATTTTCATTAATTTAATTTTTTCATTATATTTATTTCTTTAAAAATAATTCATTTAATAAAAATTAGAATTCTAAATATTTATTTAATTTAATTTTAAAACTTTTAGACATCTTAAGGGTAGTTTTTAATTTAAAAAAATTATATAATTTAAAAACAGATAATTTTCTGTCTTAGTTTTAAATCACATCTAACTAACTTATCAATCTAACCCCCACCCAAAATAGCTTGTATTTAAGCATGAAAAATAATGTGTAAATAAAAATATTTAAATTTACCTGTGATATTCATAATCAAATTTTATATTTTGCTCATTTTACCAATTATTATCCCAATTGATCGGATTATCAGGAAAGGAACCCGGATTTGTTCCTGTGCCACTAAAACAAGCATATTATTCAGTACTAGGATTTAAAACTACAGGAGGATTTCTAAACCATGGAGCTGTTTATGCCCCAGGACTTCTAGACCAAGAGTAAAATTCTACACTAAATGTATTGTATGCAGGATTAAGCGAGGCTGTTGAAGGCACGTAAAATGCTTCCATATGAGACTCAACAACTAATGTTTAAGTATTAGCTATACCAGAGCTTACATAAGTATTCTAAAAATATTTTATATTATACATATATCAATTTGTTTACAAAATATTTAAATTTTACCTTAAATGCAACATAAATCCAAACTATTATATTTCCTGATGAGCTATCAAAATAACATTTATTAATCTATATTTGTGAGAGTGGTCCTTCATTACACATATTTTTTTATTATTGTACCAATTACCATCCAACATTTGCTGGGAAGGTAATAGCTACTATATCAACATTATACCAATATGGAGCTGTTACCTACATTTTTTAATTAAAATATTATAATTTATTTGTGAAATCCTTTTTATTGTTTGTTATTTTCTGTTTTTGGAGAATAAATTTTATCTTTAATAAAATAAACTATCTTACAAAGAATTAAAAGTCTTGCTATTAATTTGAGTGATGATATTGAGCTTCTCCTTTAAATTTAATATCTAAATTAACTGTTGATATTCTCTATGGTTGAATATCAGGATAATTATCTTAATAAATAATCTTTTCACTCCATAAGTTTCTAACATAACATGCGTAACCAACAATAACTCTATGTTGAGGATCTTAGTCTCTGTAAGGAGTTGTATACCAAACTTAGCCTAGAGTAGTTACTTACATAGGAGCTTACATAAAATTAGTAGGATTAGGCCATACAATCATGCTTCTAAGGTTTGGAAGTATAGCACAACTATTTGCAGGTGAGCCAGTTAATACATAAGCACAGTTTTTAATATGGAGATATTATGGGTCAATTGTCTCAAAACTAAATCTCAAAATATAAGCATCATCATTGTTATATATTAAATTTTAGCTATTTTGCACTCTAAACTTAAAATCAGTGTTTGTATCACAAACTGTTGTAGTAACAGGGCCTAAGTTAAAATCACCATTTACTCCAGTAATAACTTATGGATCTAATTAATTAATTAATTATTTATTTATTTATAATTTAATTTAAAGAAATTAATAAAAATATACTCCAAAAGTGAATGTAAAAGGCATTCTCAACAAGATCCCAGTATAAGATTTCGTTTGAGTTCTAGTAATTCCTTCTTATGTAAACAGTAGCTGGAATAGAGTAATGATTAGCTGGAACAGTTGGATTCATTATATTAAATGCCAAAGACATTTAATCGCTAGGGTTAAGATTAGTTAATACCCCATTTGACTTAAATTCACTGCATAAAAATTTAAGAGGAATACCTTTCAATTAAAGACCTCTAGATATACGACAATTAATTGTGGGGTTTGGATAGCTAGCTGACATGTTTATAATATCAACAGGGACTACATCCATATTATTTAAATTCAAACCACCATCATCAGAGAATAAATTATATTAAAGATCTATGGAAGTAGTCGGTATTTCTATTATTAATGTATCATCATGTCTTATCGCTTAATTAGCTTAAAATGTGACAATAAAAAGATTCATTTCAGACTGTAAAGTTATATAACTAGTAAATTTCAAGTAAGTAAAGGGACTACCATATACTTAGTAATATAAATGTTCGTGTAAAGTGTAATCACTATCACTTTAAGGTTGATTAGGAGCCATTGAAACATCAATCTTTTTTTATTAAATTATTATTACTTAAAATTTAATTTATAGTTTAATTAGCTAATTTTTACTTTATATGGTAAACCTGAATTAGGGAAAACTAAACCTTCATCTTGTCCATTACCATTAATAGTTGTCAACAAGAATAGATAATCAACTGTAGAGGCTAAATCACTATTTGGAATCATTTAAAACTGATAGTAAATTTAGTTAGGTCCTTTATTAATAAGTTATATAGATTCCATTTTACAGCCATAATTCTCTCCAGTCAATACGACTTAGATGTTGCAAACATATTGGCTTGTTGGCTAATACTAGAATGGATTACCTCTGTTGTCATTGAAAGATAATTGTGAGAATTAGTAGAACATCAATCTTATTCTACCTTGATTTGCAAATATGTTTTATCCAACTTAAAACTTGAAATTTAAAGGACTCTTTTTTTTAATATTTTAAAATTTGATTTAAATTAATTAAAGTTAAATATTAAATATTTACTGTAGCTGATACCCTCAATGCTTAAGTCTCTATATGAAGAAGGTCAACATCTTCTATTTTTTTTGTTTAGAAGTTATTGATTGAAAATCCACTGTTTGGAATGCTTAGAGATTTATCAATGATTTATCCAAGATTAAAAATATTCTAATACTCATGAGTTCCATATGTGATAACATCTAAATTACCAATATATCCTGCATTTCCATCTGTAGGTAAATCAATTATTCCTGAGATTTTAATATTTGTTAGGGGATTTACATTTTAAAATCCATAGATTACCCATGTATTAGTATCCTAAACAAGACAACCTACATTACCATAATTTCCTGACGCTTATTGAAGACCTGATCCTACAGTTATAGAGCTTCTACAATGAGATTAAATAGAAGGAATTCTAGCAGGAAATCTTATCTATATGGCTCCTGTATATGGGATAAAATTTTATACTGTAAAATTAAAGTTAACCTCTACTCTAGTTCTACTTTTAACTAATTTCATTGGTGAATCCAGTTAAACCAATTAAGCATTTGTTATTTAGCCAATTAATTAAAGCCATTGTTAAGGAGTTATCTAATTAGTGACTATTCCTACAAAGAATCTATTTTACCACACATATGAATTGTAAGTAGTTGTAACTTAGGGTATGCTTTATGGTAACAATTAAACTATTTTATTAAATTTATTAAGAATATTTTAAATATTGTGTAATATAAATAAATAAAAAATTAATATTTACTAAAAACATCATTGCTTGCATACATAGTGTTTGCGGCTAAATTTGTATTTACATGCATAACAACCCAGTTAATTTAAGGGAAAGTTAAACACCAGTCATAGAAGGTTGAACATGTAGACATCTTCCAATCAGGCTGTAATAGAGGATTGTTTGGTAACTCTACTATGTAATAGTCCCCAGGAGCAAACGGAGTAATATCATAAAAAACTTAATTTACCATTGATTTTTGTTATTTATTTACCATAGATCCTGTTTCCCATACCTAATTATTTACTTAGGAGCTAAATGGATGGACACAATTGTGAAGGGTTGGGTCATCTCTAATATCCATAAAAACATTATAATAATCGTAGTGAATATATTTCAATTCGCCTGTTAGGGTATTTTATTGGTAAATATTGATAGCAATATTAGCATCCATTACTTGTAAGGCAGTTTAAGTAGGGTAATTAAAATTAGGAGGGTTGAAAACTTTTGCAATCCACATTTGAACTTCAGTGAATGCAGATAAACCACTGAAATTAATAATCTCAACAATAGCTGGATTTCCAAGTGACTAAGCTTTGATTAAACGACATCTCCAAGTATTTATTAATCCTATATCTCCTGTTCCTAGTTAAACAAATCTGCAACCAACATTATCTCCTGTATTTTAGTAACCGCCCAAGGAAAGATCAAACATGGGATTACCCATAGGATCAACAGTAGGGAATTCAATCTATATTCTACCACCTTGGTTGTAAGCAGGCACTGGTTGAGTAGTTTTGAAATTAACATAAAACATATTAGCTCTATTTTGATTTCTAATAACGCTTTGAATATAAATGAACTAGAATTTAGGTGCCTTTATAAACATCCATTTAGTTGCTTGATTTAAAACACCATTTTAATCTGACATTTCAATATGTATTGGATAAAATCCTTCAACACTTGGATGTAAAATACCATCTAAGGGAGATACATATTCTGTTGAGATAGATAATCTATTGTTTTAGGCTAGCAAAGATAAGGTGTTAGAAGTCATGTCAATAATTACTATCATTGGATTTATGGTATAGCTGCATAAAAACCTAACTTCATTTATCAGGCATATTAAAGAATCTACACCATAACTTCTAGGAGTAGAAAAATTATTATCAAATGTTACCTAATTTTTATTTTATCAAAATTTAGTTTAGAAATATTTTTTATAAATAAAATTAGTGAATTATGAAAAAATTTTATAAATAAGTTTTTACCTTAATATACTTTAGATTTTAGAGATTATTTGTTGCAAAATTGATGATTACTGGTCCAACATAGCTCTTTTCTCTTTTTTCTTATCTCACTGGTTGATCTAATACTTTAAACTCAACTTAAGAGTCTTAATTATTTGTAGAGATATTAGGTGTGTTATCGGGTATGGCATAAGTTGAATCAATTAGATTTGTATTTGAAGGTCCATAGAAAGTCTCAATATCTACAGAAGGATTAAGAACAGGACCGCCTTAATTTAGTAATCTAAAATGAACCTCGATCTAGGTACCAGCAGGTACATAATCAAAATGGGTTACTTAGAAAACTTGAGTATTTGGTACATTGCATTAAATTGGAGTTTGATCATATGGTTGTAAGCCTGAAACTATTTTACAGTAGTTAAAGTGTCTCTTATATTACTAAACTTAAGTTTAAATATTATGGAAAGTAAATTTTATTAATGAGTCTCTTGGCATTTCAGTAATGGTAGTAAATTAAATATAAAATTCATGCTCTTCATTTTATCTAATGACAGTGTTAACGTCGTTTTAAACATTTGCCTATGGAACTACATCAAATATTTTAGTGGTAATTGCCGCTGAAGCAATATTTACATTAAAAGTATGCTTGTTTACAACTCTTCCTGCTTTCATAGCTCTAACTTTAAAAACAAAACTGCCTGAATAGTTAGGATTTCTAATTATTTGGTTTATATCAGTAATTATTTGTTAAGTTAAAGGAGTATTTGGATATACTACAAAGTACTACACATTCTTTTTAAAAGTTATACAAGTATTTCCATCACAATTCGCAGCCGGTACTAATTAAGTTCCTATATCGTAGAAGGCTGTCTAATCGATTTCATAGATGAGATAATCAGGATTTAAAACAGCTGCTGACCATTAAAATCTTAAATTTGTAATTTAATCTACAAAAGGAGGGACTAGAGTTGTTGCTATATTAGGGTTGAAACTATAATTGATAAATGACTGAGGTTAAATTACAAAGTTAACATTTTTATAGTATAATTCAACCACATTTTCGTACATTCCTGGGGTTTCTTCCATGATTGAAAATCTCAAATTAGCTACAGTACCAGCTGGTACGTTAGCTATTTGTATAGCAGGAATATCAAAATTAAACCATTATCCTTATGCAACTTGTAGTGTTTAAAATCCGTATGCTTGTATAAAAGGATCAGTAAAAGATTATTAGTATAAATCACATTAAGCAATAGGTTTTGCAGTTACTGCAGTTCCTTAAAGATAACATGGAAATCCCTAGATAACTTCGTAATTATTTTAATATGGTTAACCAATAGCCCAAGCGCTTGTCAAAGATTAGAATGTTACACGTACTAAGTAATTTCTTTGTCCCTATACAAAGGTTAGTTGCTACTAAGCTTAAAAGCTATTTTAATAAAAGTTATTATTTAAGCTTAAATCATTTAAAATTTTTAAGTAATTAAATGAAAAACGATTTAAAAAATGATTAAATTTTAAAGTTAAATTCAAAAATAGTTTAATAAATTACTTTAAATGAGTATATTCGTTGCTTTCTTACACAATAGCTGTAAATTTAAATGCTGAATCAGGAATTTCAAAGGGATCTGAGATCCATTCTTAGAAGTAGACTTCAACAGGATCTGCACCTGCTGCATCTGAATTGTAAAAATAGTAATGGAAAAGATATCTTTGAACTAATGGATCTAAAGGAATACCATCAGTATATCCTGGTTTAGCTCCCTCAGTAGTTACAGTAATTGGGATTTCACTGTTTTAATAGTCAAAGTCTTCTGGAGTGTAGATTGTTATTTAAGTTCTATCTGCATAAGTAGTATCATCATAATTGCAATTGGAAGCTAGAACATTTCCATAGAAATAGCATTTTATAATACCATAATTGATAGAAGGAGCTGGAATCTTAGGGAAGATATTGATAACAACTTTACCTACTGATTTATAATTAGTAGCAGGTAAATTATGCTTTAAAAAGAAGGTAGATTCTAAAGGACCTGACTGGCCTGCTTTCAACTTAACTGCATTAATTAAAGCATGAGCTGTAAATTAGGCAGCGCTACCATCTATTATAATAATTTAAAAGTTTTTATGAAGTATAAGGTATTTAAATTTATAAAGTATTGTTCTAATATAATTTGAAACTCAATATGAGATATTCAAAATTTTTATTTTACCAAATACTAAGAAAAAATTGATGTAAAATAATTATTAAAAATATTATTTAATGTGAGCCAGTTAATATTATTTGAAATTTTACATGTTGAGTTAGTTATTCCTGTTAATTAAGCTTAGTCTACAATCTAGCCTTAGCTGTTTAAAGTTTATACTGATATTGGATAGCTTCCTTAGCTTGGAGGAGTCTACAAGACAATATTTATCATAACTTAGGTATCTGGACTAACATCAGAGAAGTTGTTCACAACATATTAATTATTTTTTAAATCTAAAAAGCAACTAGGATTTGATCCAGAATATCTCTAGAGTCCTTTAAGCAATGTACAATTAAGTGCCCATAAAGTATAACTAGATGGGAATTTTAAAGTAAGAGATCCTCCATCACCTTTGTTAATATTTTTTAGATTTATTTTAAGTTTAAGTTGAAAATATAAATTATACCTAGAAGAGTTAAAGGATTAAGATAAAAAGTGTAAGTAGAATTTGATAAACTGTACTAATCAGACTACTATAATGAAGCACTCATACTACCTAATAATAATGTAAATTTAAATATACCAAAATATTAATAAAAACAAATACCTGATATGAGGCTAATTGAAGGTTTTGGAGTTATATTAATTCTTTCTAAAATGATACCACTTGATTATTATAGTAATTCAACTTTGAAGCTTGTTAATTAAGTAGCACTTAATGGATTTATCATGTTTATGATTCTAACTTCTTAAGAACCTGACATTTATTTATTAATATTTTAGCATTCTATTACATTTTAGCTGAAAAGAACAATGCTTTTGCTTTATGTAGGATTTCCATCAACTTCGCAGATAGTCTGTTAAGTTGTAAACCCATTTGGAAAAGTTATCCTTATACTGTAAAGTCCTGCATCATATATTAAACCTTTGAGACTAAAATTAAAAATCCATGAACTTCCCTATCCTACTATCAATGAACTTTTGAATTGAACATTTCCAGATACCATACTAGCTATTTTTATAAAATAGGAATTGAATTTAGGTTTTTCATTTTAAAATAATATTATCTCAGAAATAAAATTTAATTTTTTAGTCTTTTAGTTTAATTTAGTAAATTAGATAATGGTCAAACTTTAAGATAAAATATTTTTTTATTATTAATAAAATGCAAGAATGCAAAATAAAAATGATAAAATTTTCAATTCATGATTTATGGAAATAATTCAACATATTGTAATTAAACCTTATTTATATTACTTACTAATAGAATTTACTTAATTATTGAATATAAAAAATTAAAGCTAGAAATGTGAGTGATTCTGTTATAAATTTTATGGTTGATATATCTTGATTTAATTTTTCGAATATCAAAAATATAATCTTCTAATTTGTATTTTGAATGAAAATTGATAAGTATACCTGGAGATCTATCAAAGAATACTTAACCAAAATTCTGGTTACAGTTAGTAGGTACATCGTTATAGTATATACATAGCTTAAAGAATGAGGTTCCTGTTATTCCATTAGGATTTTAAATGCTTCCAATAGCAAGATTATTAGTGCCTTAGCTTAAATTACCAACATAAACAATGACTTCTCCATTGTTATTATAATCACAATTTACTGTCTTATAAGTCTTTTTAACTTAAAATTGGCAGTCCAAATAAGCGGGGAATAAATTTAATGTGATTTGATCAGGGAATGTAACAACAATTCTAGCATTGCCATCATACACGGCCTACCCTGTATAATTAAATGAGAATTAATAGTATGTCTGGCCATTATATTCTGTATTTAAGTTTGTTGTTAAGATGGGCTAAATCTGAGAAGAAGAAGTCTGCGAATCTACTAAATGATTATAAAGTAGACTCAAGAATAGCAGTATCCTTCTTACCATTTTAGGAAATTTGATTTTTGAATAATGCAAATGAGTTTTTTGTTAATTTTATGCTAAAATTCTATTTTAAAAGCTATATTAAAATTAAGAGCTACAAACTGTATCTATTTATCTATTTTTCTAATCGTTTATTTAATAATATTTCAATATATTTATTTATTAAATTAATTATCTAATAATTAATGTTTTTTGATATCTTTTTTTCCTTTACTTTATTTATTTTTTTGTTTGAATGAAATATTAAGAAGTTTTCAAAATACAATATAATTTCAATAATATTGATCGCTCAACTTATATTCAAAATCTCCTTTTGTTTGTGAAGCAATTATCAATTACTGTTTACCTTTTTTATAATAATCAATATAAGATATTTAATAACTTTTATGAATAGAAAAACTTTGGCTATAATGCGATGGACTATATAAAAGATTTCTAATGCTTTTATATCCTAAATTATTAATCTGAAATTAATAATTCCCTGAAATATTATTAAAAAAAATCAATAACTCCTCAGTATACATAACATTTTTCATATTGTTTCTTAATTAATATTTTTTAACCACACAAATAAATTATAATGTATTTATGTACCTCCTTATGTAATTTCGAATGAATAAAAAACATATCTATATTGAATATTTATTAATCTATCAAAATAAAACAAAATTTATAAATCTAATAGCATTTTTATCAACCTATCCACTTTTAACAATATTTTCTTTTTTAATTGTTTAGTTAGTAGCCTTAAAAAGTAAATGCAATAAAATATTCAAATTTATATATTTTATAAAACTTCAGATTAATTTATTTAATTTTCATAAATATCCTTATTAGATTATTGTTCGATTTCTGTCATAAAATGTGGATAATCTTTTGGTTAAGCATATTCAAAAATATTTTGAAGTTTTAGATTTATTTTAAGTTATTACACTTTTTGTAAAAAGCATGTCGAAGATAAAAATTTAAAAAATAACAAAATAACATAAAAATGAAAAATCATTGTAACAAGAAACAATGATTTAATCCTATTAGCTATTTTTTTTATTGGAACTGTATTTATTCCTAGATATTTGATTTCAATCAATCTATTTTAAATTAATATCAATTATTTAAGTATTTTTCTTATTAGTTAATATAAGCAAGACTTAAATTTCTTATTTTCCAAAAAAAAATTACAACCATCAATTTAATTTATTTATCAAATGATCCAAATTAAAAATCCACCTCAATTATAAAAACTCAATGATAAATTTTTTAATTAATAAGTAACTTTTAAATATTATTACTCTTTAATCTATTTTCAAACCTTTTCCTTAATATTTTATATTTTTAAAGTTAAAAATATATTTTTTTTTAAAGATAGTAAAAAATTATTCAACTTATTAAAGCTATTATTATATATTTTTATTTACTCAAACTACAAAAAGAATGATTAACATGTAAGTATTTTTTTATACATACGAATTTAAGGATAATTTAATTTTTATATTACTTTTAGTAACACAGAATAAATTCATATATAAAATATATTGTATAATAAAATATCCTGTTTATTTAATAACAAAATTCTTTTAATTTCAAAAAGATTTATTCTCTATTTTATGATATTAATATATTTTTTACTTATCTATTATAGATTTTGTTTTTAATTTTCATTCAAGATTTTTAATTTAAGAAGTATATTTCACTCAATAATAGAATTCTGATTTTTGATAATCCATTTACAAATTGAATTTAGAAAATATTTGATAGCATATGAAAAATTATAGGAATCTTTGAATATTTTTTTTCTTAAAAAATGTTAATATTTCATTGATTTATGAAAGAAAGAATAAAGGTAGAAACTTAGAAAACTCAACATATTTGATAGGAAAAATATATTGTGATAATTTTAATAAAAATTCAAAAAATTTAATTTTAAAAATCAAAATTATGTCTTATTCTAAGATATTTAGTCAAATTTTTTTCTATTACTTTATAAACTGGATTTAAAGAGTGAACATAAAAATTAATCATATTTTATTTTATTAATTTTTTGTAAATAAAGTTGATAAAATTTCTATCACATTAGAGTATATTCATAATACTAGTTTTTTAATTGCTTAATTTTATAAGCAATGTTAATAAATATAAACCAGTAAAATTTTAATTTTAAATTATAAAGAGTTACAAAGAGATTTTAAAAATTTATTAATTTTGAAATTTCAATCTACTTCTGATTAAATTTTTTAAAGCAGTTTGAAATTTAAATTAATCTATATATATTTTATATAAGCAAAACTTTTAATAGTTTAGAAATCTACTTCAAAATAAAATATCAACTTTTACTAAGTGTGAAATTTTGTAAGCTTGGAATTTCAATTTCTCGTGATTTTACTTTAGAATATTGCAATTACTAATGAATTATTTTTAATAATTTAATTAAAATATTAAAATTAAAAATTAATCTAAATTTAGCTTTTTATTAGGTAAAATTAAAAATAAAATATATGAATTTACCTTAAATTTAATTCCAAAAATTTTAATTATTTGAATGTCTATAAAAAGATTCCCAAGCAATTTAAGTCCTAAGAATAAATCTTATTTCCACTTTAATTATTTTATAATTAAATATAGCTTTATATCAAAAAAAAAGAATCTTTACTTAAGAAATAGTAGGAACTTGAAGATATTAGTACAAATTTACATATATTCTTGTAAATCATATTCAAACGAACTTCTAAAATTGTTGTAGCTTTATTAAAAATATTTTAGCAAGGTTTTTTGAATCACTAGAAACTTTACCTTAAATTGACTGATAAATTCTTCAATTATTACATTTTTTTGAAAGAAGAAATTAACTCAAGCATTCCTATTGCAGTTATCTTATTAAAACTATTTGCAGTAAAAAAATTATTTTTTTTTAGATTTTAAGTATTTTTGCTAAATATTTTATTTCTTTTATTTTAAAAATATAATAATCGTTTAAATTTTAAATAAGAATATGAAGTTATTTTTTTATTCAAAAAAGTTAAAATAATCAAATTTTAAATCAAAGCTATACTAATGACAATATTATTTTATATCAAATATAACAAAATTTATTTTTTTGCTTTCTAAAAGAAAATTAATTAGTTTACCTTAAATCAAATGTAATATTTTAGAGTTTCTGATAATTTTTAATTTATTAGCTTATATTATTACATACATTATCATCAATTTTATTATCACTTTTGGATTTAATTTATTTTAGTAACATTAAATGTATACAAACCAAACTATTTTACACTAAACTAAGTTGTAAATCTTTCAAATTAGGGCATTTAGAAAGAGCTATAAAAAGATTAGAAGCAGCCTAAGAGCATATTTTATTCCCGCTTGGTATATAAACAAGACATAAAAAAATTAATTTTCTTAATAATTTTAATTTATTTTATTATTTTCATATATCAATTTACCCTAAATATAGTTCTAATCTCGAAAGACACTAAAATCCATTAAATGCATATTCTAAATTATGGTTTATTAACTATGAAATGTTATTTTCACTATTTAAATATAATTTTTATTAATTAAATTACTTAAGAAATAAAATAAATTGTAGAAGAAATAATTAGCAAACTACTCTTAGTTCAATGAGTAAAATATTTTCTTTTTTTTATTTTAATAAAAATAAAATATATAAAATTACCAAACTTTTAGTACTAAGCTGCTAAGATTCTAAACAGATTTCAAAGATTAAATTAAATGAAATGCTCCTTCGCTGCTGATGGCATTGAAGCTTTTTATATATAAAACTTATAAATTATCCATTTTATTTAAACAATAACTTTTAAATATTTATAAAGCTAAATATATCAAATAAATTATTATAAATACAACTAAATTTTTACTTTAAGTTGATATTTAAGATTTAAAGATGTTTAAAATTTATTAATTCACATCCTATAATTTATGCACCATTTTTGTCTATTTTATTTTCACTGATTTTATTATAAAAAATGTCAACCAATAATTTAAAAAATAGTTTCACTGCTTTGCTTTATTTAGAAATATTAGAAATTTACCTAAGATCTATATTTAATTATTCCATTTAATTGCATCCTGATATTGATTGAACAATAGTAGATATTATCTCTTATCCTATATTATTTTAACTTTTAATATGGTTATTTTCTTGATATAATTTAAAATAAAAATATTAATCTGAATAATAAAATATTTTTTTTAAACATGAGGATTTTTAACTTAAAAATTTAATTTATCAAATACATTCAATTAATAATATTTAAAACAAATAATCTTTAAATTTACCTAAGATTAAGAGTTAAAGATTAAAGATCAATACATTTTTGTAACCTTAAGTTTAAAATCTAAGCATCTTCTAGAGAAATATTATCGTTTCTATGTTAAATTGATTTTGTTCATAATTTTAATTAATTATTACAGTTAAAATAAATTTCTTAATAATTATATGAAAAATTACCTCAAATTTAAGATTAGATTAATATGATTATTTATTTAGGAACTGATGAACTATTTATAATAATGAAATTTCATAAATGGTAAATTATTTTTATCAAAATACTTTTTCAAGGGATATGAAAGAAACTGTTTATTAAAGCATTTTTTTTTTTCCGATTTACAAATTTTTTTAATTTTTAAGTTAATTAAATTAAAATAGGAATTTATAAAAAAAGCATTTAAATATATTTTCTATAAAATTTAGTATGAAATAGATTTAAAAGTAAGTTTATAAAATATTAAATTTAGGAAATATTTCAAAAGAAAAATAAATATTTAAATTTATGAATATTTAAAGGGAATAATTACTAAATCATTTAAATAGTACAAGGATCCTAACATATAATACAAAAGTAAAGAGTTACAAAATAATAAATAAAAATAATTTTTATAATAATCAATATTATTTTTTGAATTAAATGAGTTTTATTTTTATTTTTTTAAAGTAATTTCTAAAAATAAAAATAAAAAAAACTCAATTGAAAAAGTAATATTGCTATAATAAAAGTTAGATTCATTTATTTTTTATAAGACACAAAAATTTAGCTAATTTTTTATTTTTTACTTTAGCAATTTATCACTCACAAAAGACTTAACCCATTTCTAACTGATAAATTTTAGATTTAAATTTAAAGAAAATGGATCTTTTTAATGTTTAAATTATTTCAATAGGTGATAGAATTCATATCGAGATCGATTAATTATACAATTAGTTTTTCTTATTTTATATTTTTTGAAATTTTTTGTTAGTATATAGTTGTTTTTAACTAACTAAATTTTATTAATTTATTAATTTATAAACTGATGAGCAGTTTTTAAATTTAAAATAAAAATTAATTTGCTTATTTTTAACTTTAAATTTTATTGCATATGATGATTAAATAATAAAAGCAAATTTTAGTAGTAAAATTTATTAGGGAATTGAGATTTAAAAAGAAAAAATCAAAAAAATCTGCATAAATTATTTTTATAAAATTTAAAATAATATTAACTTGCTTTATTGGTTCGCAAATATATTTTCATCTACTAATTATATAAATAATTAAGAAAGAAGCTTTAAATTATTTTATAAGGAAATATATTCTGATTTCTTACATAAATAAATGAAATGTAATATGAATCTCAATTTTTAGATTTATTTAAATTAGATTATGGAGACATTATATAATCGAACACACTATTAAACTTATCTAGCTCTGTATTTCTTATATTGTAAAGATCTTGTTTGACCCTATTTACTTCTTCTTTGTAAGCCTTTTCATTTTATTACTTCTCCATTAAAATAGAAAGATTTCTTTTTAATTCATGATTTTCTTTTCTGTAGACAGCTAATTCCCTCTCAAATTCTACTATTTTATGAACGCATCCATCATACTCCTCTGATAATTTCCTTTTAAATCCAATTATTGTACAATAATAAGAAAATATCAATATGTTTACATGTTTAGCTGCTTCGAGCGATTTAATTCTTTTTCTTTTAGATCTAATTCATCTTATAATAATTATATTCTTTAATCATCTTCCGCTTTGGATGTCTTCAATTCTTCAAACAAAATCTCTTATCTCTCTTTAATCAGCGTATACAATAAAATAAATTTAAATCTAAACTCAAATAAAAATATTTTTACTAAGAATATTTGCATTTGAAGAAAGTTATCTTTTTATTTCTTGGCATTCCGCTATCTCAATTCTTTTTTGCTACACTTCAAATGATAATCTATTTATTTGCTCCTTAGATTTATCTAACTCTTTCAAACATTCTATTAACTTTGTATAAATAATTATAAAATTATTTTATCCTAAATACAATCTATACTTTTTATTATGTTGCTTAGTACTTTTCTTCATAAGAATCCTACTTCAAACCTATTTACTAATTATCTTCTTTTAATCTTTTTATTTAAATCATAGCCTCCTCTAGTTTGCACTACGTTTAAGCTAGTTCATCTTTTTAAATTCAAATAAGTTTTTAAAATAAAAAAATTATTTTCAACTACAATCTAAGTAATCCGCCCTTAAAAAGAACTATTATGTTTTTTTACTTAATTTACCCAAATAAAAATGGGTTTATGCTCAATATAATAAAATTGATAGATCTTTATATATTAAAAGCAAGCTTTTAATGGATTGAAAAAAATTTCACTGATTTAAATAATATTCAGATTTTTTTATTATTTAATTCAAAATAATTTTCAATCTACACTTTAATCTACTTTATATAGATAAATTCTTATTTATTTATTTGAATATATTACCCCTTAAATATTATTTTATATATCTACTAAAATATCTTTGATATATTTTTTTAAAGATTTTAGAAATAAACAAATTTTTTAAGTTCAATTTAGGCATATTGCACTGTATTTGATATTTTTAAATTACCTTTTAATTTGGTTTCATATTGTTGCTTCAAGTTTAAATCTTTCAAGAATTACTTTTCTTTATCTGAAAACTCTCTTTAAAACTAAATCCTGACTTCACTTATTTGAGCATTTAGTTAATCACATTTAGTAACATACTACGTAAGATCTGTTTTTTCTTTTTAAATTTCGATTTATTTTTATAATAGGCTTTATATTTTTAAATAAGGTTTAAATAATGAATTTTATAATAGAAATCAATTATTTACTGATCTCTTTCGTCCTTTAAGCTGCTTATTTAGTTTTATAAAATTTGATTTTCAGTTTCTTTTGATTCTAACTTTAAAAATATATTAATTTAAAGGAATTTCGAAGTCTTTGTTATTACTTTAGAAAGAGTTTTTTCAAGTAGCTACTTGATTGATTGGTATTTTTCATAATATGGTTTGTATTTCTAGTATTTTTCTAATTAATGCTGTAAATTCTGTATTAAACTTTAATAAGAAGAAAATTCCCTTTGCATGTTTTCAACCTATTCGTTGTTAAAATAAATGTATTTTTCTATCATTGATACGCATGATGATTAATAGCTAATTAGTAAATTACTTGTTATTTTTCATTTCTTATTCTATTCAAATACTCTTCCTCTTCTTCTAACTCAAGTAGCTCTTAATTTTTAACGTTCTCAAATATATCTAAAATGTTTAATAGAAATTTGCTTCAATTTAGATAATTACTAAATATATTTTCATTAAAATAAGTACATTATTTATTTTTAATTATATTGCTTGTATGATCATCTAAAACACCATAATCTGCTAATTTATATTTTTATGTAGTAAAAAATTTATATTTATCTAAGCCAGAGTAGTATTTACTAATTTTATAATCTCCCTCTTGATAAAATTGCTAAGAATTATCATAATCCTTTCTATAATCTCCTAGTTTTTTTGAACTCATAATATATGATATATTGGCTAATGTTTTCAACACAGTAAGTAAATCTAAAAAATAATAATAATAATTTGTGATTTGAAATAATAACTTTAAATATTTATTGATAATTTAAATAGATTTATGATTGAATTTTTTAATATTGAATAATTAATTTATCGCACAATTAATTTTCAAAATAAATAATCTTCAAAATTTTAAGATATACTCATAAAATAAATCATACATAATATTCTTTTATTTATTTAGCATATTTTATTAATAAATAAAGATATCATGTTAATTATTTTCATTTATTTTTTAATTTTTTTCTAAAAGGTTTAATAATAGTTGATAATTTCAAAATATTGCAAATATTAAAAAATTAAAATTGTTTTCAAGCAAAAACTAATAAATTTAACCAGATTTTAGATGAATTTGAAGCAAAATATTTGAAATATTTTATTCTAAATACAATATAAATGATTTTAACAATAATATTTTGCATTTCAACAATTTCTAGTTAAGTTTTAACAAATTTGATTAAAAATAAAGATTAATGTATAAAATTTATTAGTTTAGAATAATTTTGTAATTTAATATCAATAAGTAAAAGTAAATGTTTTAAACAGTTTTAGTATTTATTTTTCTTATTTTCATAAACATTTTCAAAAATATATTCTTATTTTTTTAATTATTTAAATTTATTTAAATTCTGCTTTAGAGTTATTTTTGTATTTATAAAATTTACTTTAATTTAAAGATATTTTCTTTTCAAAATGTTTCAATAATTGATTTTAATTGAAAATTTATTTTTAAATTTTCTAAATTTTTAAATAAATCCATAATAGTTGTATAATTATTTATATATTCTAATAGAATTTTCAATTTTATTTGAAATTTGTTATTTAATTTAATAAGTTAATTTATTTGAATTCTATCATATTTTTTTAAAATAGAACTATTTTATTTAAGAACAATATAGTTTATTTATAAATTCAGCATTTTTAAAAAAAGTTATTTTAGTTTTTTATTTTTATTTTAAAAATCAATTCCAAAAAAAATTAAAAGAAATAATTAAATTAAAATTCATAGACTTTTTAAATTTTCTATTCTAATAATTTTTAAAACATAGAGTGAAATTTATTATTTTTTCGAAATATAGGAGTAGTTGCTATAATCCTAGATTTATATTAGAGGGTATTATAGAGATATAAATATTTGTGAATAAGATAGGTATTTATATTATTCTAAAAATAGTGAATATAGTAGCTAAGTATTATATAATAATATTTAAAAACTAGAAAGCTTAATTAAGTTATAGATTTATTCAAAAGATTCTATTTCTTAAATAAAAATAATATGCCAATTAATTATTAACTATGAAATAAATTGCATATTTAATAGGTTTCTTATACATTATTTGTGGAAATAATTAAGAAGTAAAGTCATAGTAAATTGACAGTTTTTGTCATGAAGAATTATTATTCCGTACTATTTTTAATTAAATTCAAACATAATATCAAATTGTAATTTGTTTTAAGAAAATTCATACAAATATTTTTATTTTTGTTTTTTTCAAATGATTATAAAGACTGGTTATTTTTTAGAGAATAAATAAAATATAAATTACATTTTAGAGATATGTTAAATGAAATTATGTATTAATTATAATAGATTTTAAATTATTTTAAATTTGTTAAGAAGTTTAAGTTATTATTTAGATTGTTTTTTGTTTATTAATTTAATTATTCTGCTACGAAGGAAGGTCAATATGAGTTTTATAAAATTGAATTTTAATTAAAAGGTAAAGGCATTTTTTTTTATTAGCTCAATCATTTAGGCCAACTCTAGTAACAGGCGATCATAGAAGATATAAGACCAATTTTAGAGTTTGTTTTAGGTGTAATGAATTTTGCATCGATGGAATTGTATGCACACTATATTTGAATTAAAAATAAATATGATAAATAAATTGCCTTTAAATGGATTATAGATTAAAATATGTTTAAAAGTATTGATGTTAATAATTACAATAGCATCAATGATGTATTTGACAACTGAGAGCTTTAAGTTGAAAGCCTTGAAACGGTGGTCTTTATTCTCCTATTTTTAATTATTAAATGGTTTAATAAAATGCTATAAAAAATTCAATAAATTTTGAATAGATTTATTTTGTATTATAGTGATTTATTACTTTGTCAAAAGCCTTGTTATTGAATTGGAAATTATATACTTCTCTAATATAGTAAAACAACCATATCAAGCATTCGATAACATACAATTTATTATTGAGCTATAATGATTTTTATGCAAGCTTTTCATTGCTGAGTAATCCCATCTATTTATTATTATTTAAAATTGAATATATTTAAAATGTCTATTAAAAGATGCTATATTTTAAATTAGATAATAATTTTATTTACGAATGCTAGCCATCCGACTACATCGTTGATATCTGCTACAATCATGAAAATGTAGAAGAATATATCATGGAGTTCTTTGGCCTTGCCAGCAGTTGTTTTAGCTTTCTTGAAGTTTTCAATAATGTTTAGCAAGTTGTTACCAAGATAGAAAGGTCTTGACCATCTCAAAATCTTTTTTATAAGAAAAATTATTTTCTTTAATGCTTTTTTTTCATTGAAAAATTAAATTTTGAATAAGAAATCTTTTTACTCTACGAAAACCACCTAAGTTAAGTGATAAGTTATCAAGCTTTTTTGAAAGGAGATTTAACTTTTCTTTGCAGGATTATTCAGCGAATTGAGCTTTAGAGCAGTAGTGGCTCTTTACGAATTTGGATACGAAGGAAGTAGTACGAGCGATCTAATTGTATTTAAAAATAATTATAAGAAAAATGCCAATAAAAAATTGAATTTATTCAATAAATTTATTAGATTTGATTAAGTGAATTAATTAATTAGGTAGTTACTCTATCCATTCCTGTAGTAGAAGCGCAAAATACGGAGAATTTACGAAGAATTTCTAAATCTTAAGCAAAGCTATCGGCCATTTGAGAATATTAGTTGATTTTATGGGTTTTCCTAGGTTTAAAGTTGAAGATTTTTTGTGCTTTTTGACTTGTATTAATGGCTTTTTTGGATAGTATTATGAAAAAGGAAATATTTAGTTTTTAGCTCTTTTTTGTAGTATTATTGATAGAATAATTAAAATGAATGAATCAATTAATTATAGTTTTTTGTTATGGGAAGGTTATTGATTTATTTGATTCTTTTATTAATATTTTGTTTATTAATTATTTTTGTTAATTTATGGAGGGGGAACATATAAATTCGCAAGTTAATCAGTGGTCAAAGTAAGTAACATAATAAAATATTACGGACAATCACATTTCTAAAGAGAATTAAATCATTCACTATTTTAAATTCTCTTCAGATATAACCCTCTTTATCCAATAATTCATATTATTCTTAATAAGCAACCTTCTAAATTACTTTTTCTATCTTGAATGACGCTCTTCATCTAATTTTAAGCTCAAAAATACGCAATTTAAGACTTCAAGAATATTTCAGACTCTAATAGTTTTTCTAAATTTAGAATATCTCACTTTTATTTAAAATAATTTCTCTTTGAAATAAAGTTAAATTAAAGCAAATTAATTTTAAAATAGTTCTTCTCATTAATTTCAAAACATTAATCAATCCTTATCATCATAAAAAACATCTAACAAAGCTCAAATTTAATCACTAAACCTATCAGAAAAAAATTGAATTATGACTAGATATCTAAATTAATTTACAAATCTACAAATTTGTTGTATATTTTTAACCCTTATAAATAATAGATTAGCAGTCAAAACATCAAACAGATGCAAAAAATTTTTTAGTATTAAATCAATAAAAGAATTTGTAACAGAATTACTTTTTTCATTATAAATTTTCATCTATTTCCTTATAAATTTGAATAGTGTGTTTAATAAAAAGCCTTTTTGATAATTTAAAATAGATAAAAAAATCTCTCTTTAGAACAAATCTCTTTTTAAATCACTGAACACTAGATCCATTACTAGAAATATTTATTGCATTAAAATTTTGGGTCATCATAGAAAAAATTTGATTAATTAATTAGCATTTGTCAAAATCATTTAATAAAAGAATGGAGGGATTTGATCAGTTTTAATTAGAATTAACAAATTGATTAATGAGTCTATCATTCAATATTTATCTTTTGTAATAAGATACCCCCTCCACTCGTTTGGAATATATAAATTGAGCTTTTGAAGAATTTATCTTTTTTATAATTTTATCTTGTAATTGAATAATTAATTATATTCTTCTTAATCTATTCTATTTATTGTATAGTGTAAGACTCTCTTTCAGTTGGATAATGAATTAAATAAAATTCATATTAATTTAAAATTGACTCAAACGCAATTAATTTCATTTAACATTTCAGAATAATTTATTTCAGTATTTTTAAAATTAGCATTTTATTTATTGATCCATTAGCTGATATTTTTATACATCAGTTCAGTAACTTTTTTATAAGTTTGATTATTAACATTACTGCTTAATGAACTTATTTATTTATTGTTAAATATTGATTTTTGTATTTATAGTCAAAATTTATTAATAATTAAATAGATGATATATTTTTTGATTTTATTGCAATTAAATTATGTAAACATAAATTATATTTAAAAATTATTTTTTAATCTTTTTGTTGCTTGAATAATAATATCATAGAGTTTTTTCATAATTTTTTAAATATTAATTTATATAACTCCTATATTTATTTACATCTACTGTATAATAAATAATAATTCTATCTAAATAAAAATTTTAACTCTTCATTTAAAAAATGAATAAATCTATTAAATTTTCAAAAAATTTGATCGTTATTCTATTTTTATATTTTAATATAACCCTAATTAAAAATATCTTCATCAATTTTTTTAAAAATATTTAAAATGAAATTATTTATTGAGTTATCTTATTATAAATTATTTATACAATTTTTTTATTAATAGAAATTAGTTCAGTATCAAATATGCTAATATGCTGATATTATTAATTAAATCCTATTATTGAAATATAAATTAATAATTTTTAATTTGCTATTAAATAATTAATAAAATATTTATTATGTAAATAAATATTATTCAAATTATTGTTCAATAAATTATTATTTGATTGCATTAATTCTAATATCCATACGATTTTTAGTAATTAATTATGGATGAATTAATTGATAGATCCTAAAATAAAAAGAAAAATTAAATTAATAAACCTTAAAAAAAAACTCAAGATCATAAAAACATATAAGCTCAATCTACTATATAATTATTTATCTTAATTCTTTACAATTATAAATCTATTTATATATGCTTATTCAAATTCTTCACTTTTTGTTATTACTTCCGTTGTTGTTATAGTTATTATTGCCATCATTGTTTCCATTATTATCTTAGCTACCATTTCCATTGTTGTCATTGTTGTTATTTTTACTGTTGTTTCCATTATGGCTAAGGTTTCCACTGTTATTGCCATTATTATTATTGTCCTAAGATCCGTTTCCATTATTGTTGTTATCATTGTTTCCATTGTTCTTATTGCTATTGTTTCCGTTATTATTGTTGTTATTGTTGTTGTCGTTATTGTTGTTATTGTTATTATTGTTGCTATTGTTGTTATTATTATTGTTGTTGTTATTGTTATTATTATTGTTGCTATCAATAATAATAGTATTGTTACTATCAATATTCAAACCATTATTGTTATTACTATGAATTTAATTGTTACTGTTGTTGTTATCATTGTAGTTACCTTTATTGTTTCCATTGTTTTTATTATCGCTGCTACCATTGTTGTTGTTATAGCTGCCATTACCATTGTCATCAACTTGTTATTTTTCAGCTGCTGCTTTTTCTTTTTTTTTACCACAATCGTTTTGTTCCTAACCACCATGTAGCATACGCTATTATTAATTGAGATTCAACAGCTTTACTAGGATTTCAGGATCAATATCATTTTCATATGCAAATAAGAAAAGTTAGAGTTAAGCTTAAGTTCTAGAAAGATAGGTAATTTATTCCTTCAATTCAATCAAGCTCTCAAGAAGCATGTTAGTTTAATAGCGGTATCTTTAGCATGATACCACACTAAGGGAGAGTAATAAAGCTATAAAGAAAATTCCTTTGTTCATTTTACTTTGATTGAGTTAGTTAAATCCAGAATTAATTTTTTATTATATTTAATTTTTATAAAAAGAATTAAAGGTAGTTAGTTAGGTAGAATTTAAAAGGCACAATTTTTATTATTTTTTTTGTGGTGATTTAGTGTTGAGCTAATTTTGAATTAAGATTTACAAATTTAATTTATTTTTACAATAAAATCGCCAAATAAAATATCCCTTTTATAAATTAATAAAAGTGAAAATGTGAATAAAATAAATATTATCTTATTAAAATATAAAAAAACATTTAAAAATATTAAATGAATAACAAAAAATAGTTGTTCTAATTAATTTTGTTAATTGAGTAATAATAAAAAAAGAAAATACTCTGAAATAAAAAGTAAATAAATTCTGATTTTCAGAGCTAATTTAACTTAAAAAAACAAAAATCATTTTTATGAATAAATAAAATCTGTATTTTCTAAAAAAAGGTGAATTAAAATTCATAAAAAATACAAATGTACAAAAACAAACTCCCATTTAATATAAAATATATCATAAAAAACATATTTTTTGTAAAATTTAAAAAAAAAAGTAATATACTGGTTACAATATTTGAAATTATAAAATTAATCTGGGAATCTAACGTCATTTGAGAAGAAAGTTTAAAATATATATTTTACCTTGAAAAGTAATAATTTAAAGTTCTAATTACTTCAAATATATAATAAGTTTAATATGTTTAATATAATTAAATATGATTGCTTGAGTAAGTAAGAAAATTAATAACTTAAATTTTTCTTTTTTATTTAATTTTCAAACTTATAATATATCGCTTAATAAATTAGACTATTGAGTGAAGCCAAAAAAAAAAATAAATTGCCATATATAAATGTAATATCTGCTTTTCTTCAAGAATTAGATAAAAATAATTTATTTTGAAATAATAAATTAAAGATATTTAACAAAAATAAAATAATTTTTACACTTCTTAGAAATAAAAGAATTTCTTTGTTATTAATATGTATTATTATAACTTAATTATTCTTTGAAATATTACTATATAATGTATCTTGAGTTTACTAAAATTATAAATTTTATTCTATCAAATTAAGTATTTTTTAAAATAGATTAATTATTTATCAAATAATACTAATTAATCAATTAACAATCAGAATTACATTATTGTTTATATAACTATCAAATTAGATAACGTTAATTTCTATAATAATAATACTATATAAGTGAGTAAGGTCTCAAAAAACATAATTATATCCAAATTTTTAATGATGACCTCTTAATATTTGTTTTTGAATATCCAATTACTAAGCTCTGAATAATTTTCTTGTTCTAAATTAAAAATATTATAAGTGGTAGAAAAGCTCTTTATATTGGCTACTTTTGGCTTAAAAAATGCCGAAGTAATTAAAAATATTTTAATAAATTATACATTAAAATATATTTTAAAATTTTATTATTTCATTTACACATAAAAATGTTAGAATATTTACTAAATAATAAAGATGAAAAAAAATTTTTTTTTTAGAAATTAAAAAATTTTGATTGAAATTTAATTTGTAAGTTAAAAAAAAGTTAAGATAATTTCAATTTATAATAACTAAATGAATTTTAAGTAAAGTCTATTCTTATTTTTATTTTTCCAAATAAATTTTATAAAAAAAAATTTTATTTTAAAAGTTTTAAATGATTTTATTATTTGAACTTCTTATTTATTCATTTGGTTTGACGATATACTTTTTCTTTTAAATTCTCTAAATACTAATATACTTAAGAATATGTTTTCAAAATAAATAAGAAACATATGTCTTTTCTTATTTTTTACATTTAAATAAAGTAGAAATATATATTTATAAATAACTTGATTAATTTTTTTAACTTTATGTATGTATTAATAGATATTTATTTATTTATTAATAAAAAAAGGTAATTGTTTTGAATAGATAACAAAAATTAAAAGTTTTACTTATAAATATTTGATAGTAAATAACTAATATTAGTTGGTAAATAAATTAATTACATAAATTATTGAATATTAAAATAATTATCAATTTTTTATTATCTTCTAGACAAGTCTAATCATCTTTGTTATTTTTTACTTTAAACGGATTATTTCCCCTTTATTATATCTTATATTAATTTTAATGGTGAGATTAAAAACAATAAAGATTTTAAAATACTCAATAATTAGTTGCAAATTTGATATCTTATTGCAATTTCTTAAACCATTTCCTAGAGCAATAAAGCTTTAACTTAAAACCTTGTTTTGACTATTAATTTTCATTAAAAATCTTTTTAATTTATAAAATTGAATTAATTACCTTATATCAATTTTTAGAATTGAAAGATTTTTACATTTAGATAGATTTTCTACCAAATTAGTAATTCCAAATAATCCTATTTAGTTTTAGCTAAAATATTATAAATTTAAATTTAATTTAAATAAACAAATAAATAATTTTCAAATTAAATTTAACCTTAAATCTAAGCTAAGTGAAACTAACTAATCACAAGACACTAAACTTAATGATATAAATGAGATACTTTATGCTCCTAATTTATTGTTGCTAAATTTTATTAATATTAATTGTAATTAAAAATTAAATTAGATATTTTTTTTTGTTTTTTTAATGAATATCATTAAATTTAAACAAGATTTACCTCAAATTGAGTTCTAAAGCTTATAAATTTAAACAACCTAAAAGTTTTTGAGCAATTTATTAAGATGCCTTTTACTCAATAGAATTTCCTCTTTTTATTTAATGCATAAAAAAAATATATTTTAACAAAAATGGTAAAGTTTACCTTAGATGAACCATTATTTTATCATAGCTACTTAATTCAGTTTACTTAAACTTTTTATTATAGAATCAATTAAATTACAATTAAATTGAGAAAAAATAATTTTACTTATTTATAGCTTTTAATAAGCATTCTTTAAATGGATTTATTTTTATCTTACTTAAGATTTTTACTCTGAAAAGATGTTATAAAAATTATTAAAAGTTCAAATCTAAAAAATTTTATATAAATTTAAATATATTACATAAAAAATTGTTAGAAAAATGATTGGATTATTATTGGTGCTTTTTATACTCTCATCCTTTCATCAAAAAAGCAAAAAATATTATTTCAATGGTGAATTTTAAAAATCTTTAGATAAATTATTTATTCATAAATACATCAAAAATAATAATTTACTTACCTAAATATGTTATGGACTGACTACATTTACTTTTACTTGCTGATAGTTATAAAATGAATTTTAAAAATAATTTAGATGATGAATTTTATACTTTAAACAATTATTTTTCAAAATATCTTTAGAGATAAAACAAAAAATCTTTTAAGAATTATTCACTGATTATAATGATAGAAGGTTTATTTTAATTTAGAAAGAACTAATAAATAAATGAGTTAATAAAAAAACAAAATAATTACTTTATATAAAATATAAGCATAATAAATAATATTAGTAGTTTTTAGATTCTCTTCTTTTACATGTAAAGAATTTAGCAAAATATTATTTTGTTTTATTAAATAAAAATGAATTAAACATTTTATATTTTGTTGATAAAATTTATCTATAATAAATAGCAATACTATTATGTTTTATAAGTAAATTTAATCATTGAAACAAGAATAAAAAAAAGTTTAAGTTAATTTCAATTATTTTATTTATCAAAGTAATTTCATCTTAATTTTTTACTATTAAAATATTTTTAAAAATATATTTATTTTAAATAATTATTTTTTATAACTTTTTTAGGAATAATTTACTCAAACTATAATTTGAAAAGTATTTTTATGCTTGAATTTAATTATAATTATTTTTTATTTGATTACTAGTTGATATCATAAAAAATTAAAATCAAATTTCAATTTACATTTTAACATAAAAGATATATATTAGCTTCAATATGGAAATCAATAAAACATTCTTAGAATAGCTTAATCAATAAAAAGTACTTATAATTCCTTTTCATTCATTCATACTTATTTTTTAAATATTTTCATCAAACTAAATAGAAAAATAAAAACACTTTTGAACTGAACGAATCAGATGACGATATCGATAGTTGTCCATTTGATACAGCAAACAATAATTAAAATGCTCAGTAAGTAAAAGAAGTAATTCGATCAGATTCTCTAACCTTTTTAGATGATTTTGAATCTAAAAAATCAAAGGATTCAGTACCAAAAGTATCCTATAAACCAACAGGTAGCTCAGCTAAAAGCTTAATAGTATTAGAAGTAAAGCCTTATAGCGGAGAACTAAACTTAATCTCTTTTTCTGATCAAATTTTCGATAAAGTTAAAATAGAAGGATTGGTGTGGAATAGAGAAGTAAAAATATTACCTATCTCTTTTAGTTTGAAAAAAATATAAGTAAGATGTGTAATTGAAGATGATAAAGTTATTGTAGATGATTTAATAGATTAAATAATAATATTAGAAGACGTATTTGTTGATATCATATCATTTACTAAGGTTTGAAAAGATTGAGCTAAATAAATAAATATATTCTAGCTAGTTAATGCCAAAGTAGAAACTATATAAAATTGATTTTTTTTAAACATTAAAATAAAATAATTACTTAGTATATTAATTATTTTGATTCTACATTTTAATTATTTTCATATTTCATACATTTTATATACAATTAGCACATATTTATGTAATATTTTCATATAATTGTTTTTCTTAGAGTCATTTCTACTTTTGTTTTAAAATACATTCTCAATATCTACTTGAATGATTTATTTTAGTATCCACTTTAGTGATATAATAAAGAAGAATTTATTATTATTATTTTATTAGAAATAAGCAAAAATTTATTATTAATCAACTTAGAGAGTGAGAAGAATTTTTACAAATATTTTATGCACTTTATTACATTTTTTTCTATGTAAAATTTCATATTTTGTTTATAAATTAAAAAATATATAAATAAATAAATACAATTAATTCTTTCATAAATGTCAAACTAGGTCAAAATATTCAAGCAATTATAAATTGTAAAAAAGTTATAATGAGATATAAATTGACTTAATTAACTTTAAAAATAGTTTACAAAATCTAATTTTACTAATCACTTTCATCTCGAATTGATTTTAAGGTCAGCTCAATTTATTTATTTATTTAAATTTTAAAAAATTATTTTAAAAACCTAATTAAATTTCTAATAAATAAAATGTTTCAATTTATTTTAAAAGAGATAGTAAGATTGATGAGTACAAAGCTATTAACTTAGGAGAGGCTTTAGGTAAATGTGTAAATCTAATCACTTTAACTTTGGATTTGAGGTAGATTATTGATACTAATTTTTATTATTATTTAATTTGATCATAAATATAATATAACAATATAAAATTAGTTATAACAAAATTCGTGATGTAGGAATAGCAGGCATAGTTAAAGATATTAAAAATTGTTCAAATCTAACTACTTTGAATATTTATTTAAGGTAATTTTTTAGATATAAGATATGCAATTTATTTTTAAAGAAAATATTATTACACCCTCTTAATATAAAATTTATAAATTATTATTTAATTAATAATTAAAATAATTTTTTAAGTAGGGTGTTTGCTTACATTTTATGTGAATAAGCTATTTTATATAGATAATAATTATTGGTTTAATTTAATCTTTCAGTAATAATAAAAAATATTTTTGAGAATTAATTCAAATAATTCCATCATTATCTTTTTCTTTATTATAATATTATGATGCTTAGAGATACAAACATCATGAAAGAAGGAGCGGCTTTATTGGGTATCGGTTTGGGAAGTTGTAAAACCCTCATTAGCTTGACATTAAATTTAAAGTATTTACAAATTAATTTTAGCAATTTTAACATCAATCAAATTATAAAAGTTTTAAAGCTTTAAATAATCTTAAAATTAATTAAAATTATAATTTAGGAGAAATAATATTTGCAATGAAGGTGCTTAAAATTTGATTAATGGTTTATCTAATTGCTAAAACCTTAAAAGCTTAACTCTTATTTTGATGTCAGTTTATTTTTATAATTTCTATTAATTTAACAAATTATTTATAAAATGCATTCAAAATACATTTAAAATTATAGGGAAAATAATATTTCAGGTTCAGAAGAATTTAACATAGGCTAAGGACTAAGAAAACTAAAAAAGTTATTGGATTTAACATTATTGCTAAAGTAAAATTATATTTTACATAAATGATTTAATTTATTATTGCTTTTAATATTATTAAAAATAAGAAATAATAGTCCTTTAATTTAAATCAATTTTATTTTAGAAGTAATAAAATAGGAAACAAAGGATCAACTGATTTAGCTGAAGAATTAGCAAATTTTTAGCACCTTTAGCATTTAAACCTTTAATTACAGTTAACCAATTTAAATTTGAAGTTGCATTATACAAATTAATATATTTATTTGTGAAAAATTAAATTTATCTTAAAATTCAAAATAACTTCAATATTTTTCATATAAACTAAAGAGAAAACAATATAAATAACCAAGGGTTATCTAGATTAGGATTTGCATTGAAGTTATGTTAAGATTTAAAAACCTTAAACTTAGATTTATCCAAGTAAATTATTTGTAATTCAACATTTTTAAAATATTGATTTATTATCTAAGTTTTTTTTACATAAAAAAATTTTATTCATATAATTTTAGTAATGATAATATTGATGAATCAGGTTCTATTGATTTGGTTTATGGAATTAGAAACTGTTCTAATATTTAATATTTGGCTCTGATATTATCGTATGAAAGAAAATTTTGATATTTTTTATTAATAATAATATGAAATAAAAATAAATTATAATGAATATAATTATTTATTTTAAGAAAGAATTATATAAATAAAATGTAATTTATGAATCATTTTTATTTCATAATTATTTATTAAATAAAATAAAACAGATAGATTTTATTTTTTTACTAATTATTTTATTAAGAAAAAATAAAATAGGAGCAGTAGAAAAAAAGCTTTTAAATAAAAAATTTGATAAAATGACAAGATTAGTAAAAAAAGAATTAAAACTATGATGAAAATGATAAAAGAAACACTAATTTTATAATTAGAAATTTAATATTTTAAGTAAATTTAAGTAAATTTAGGTGTTTCAAATTTTTGTATTTTTAAAATTGGCAAAAAATATTAGATTCATTTACTTTGTTTGTTTGTTTAATCATTATGGCAGGATAAAATTTTTATATTTTAATTAATTTTGGGTTCAGTGTTTGGTATTAGAAATAAAAAATTTATACTTATTTGAGTATTTGAAAATTATTTTACCTTAATTTTACATTAAATATCCTCAATACATACATACATACATACATACATACATACATACATACATACATACATACATACATACATACTCTAAATACTCATTAATTAATTAGGACAAGACAAATAAAATCACTTTTTTTAAATAAATTTGGCCTTTTCTACTTAAAAAAAAAAGTGTTTATTAAACTCAATGTTAATATATGAGGAACTATGGTATTATTTAATTCTAAAAATTTAATATTATAAATTCATTTACCGTCTTTTGAATGTAAAACTTAAAATAAAAAATTTTTTATTTGAAAGATATCAATTTATTGTTTAATAATTTTTTTGTTTTTTTAAAGCTTTTTAATTGCTGGATGGATTTAACTTATTTATGAAGTAATTATTTAAAAATTTATTAAAGAAAATAATCCAACTAAGTTTAATAAAATGGGAAATGAAAAATCAAGACCAACATAAATTGATAATCGTAAAAGCTTATTAAAAGATATTAATTATTTTATCAAAGTATACAAAATAACTATCTTTTTTTTTTAAAAAATTTATTAAATAATATTTTTATTTAACTAATTCTAGAATAAATGGAAGTGAAGCAAAATAAAAATTAATTTTTTTATTAGTAATTTATTTAACAAATTAAAGAGTCTGTAATAGTATAAAAATACGTATTGATAGAGCTAAAAGAATCTGGTGAAGTACAAAATTAATGTTAATAAAATAAACAGAAATAAAAATTGTTAAAAAATATTTTTTAAATAGTTAAAAAACAAGGATTTTAATGATATAAATTTAATTAAGATAGAGCCAAAGTAAATTAATTAATTAACTATCTAACTAACTTAGCCTTTTAATTTATTTATAAAATAATTTTTTAAATATATTAATTAGTTTCCATATTTATTATAAATAACTGAATAACTGTTTTACTAGGTGTTCAAATTTAGTCTACTTGAGATTAAATTTATTGTAAAAAAAATTATGAATTTTAATTTTTAATATTAATTATTAAATAAAATGAAGCAATTAATGCAATAAAGACTAAGATGCTATTGATTTATTCAAATCCTTGAATTAATGTAAAAGTATTACTCATTTTGAACTAAATATTTAGTAAATAATTATTATCAATCAAAAAGTTGTTCATTATTTAATTTGATAATTATTAAAAATTCTTTCTTATTTATTACAATTAGCTTCTTTTTTTAATCTATCGAATCAAAATTAAAATAATTTTTCAAAAAAGGAATAGTAATCCTTATAACGGATGCGTTCAAGACTTTGGCATTTTAAAATTGGCAGAAACTCTATCTTCACTTCAAAATATTTAATTTTTGAACCTAGCCATAAGGTTAATACATCTAAAATGACTATTTAATCTTCTTATATTTCATAAATCTATAAAGTTAATTCATAAAAGGAGCCACAGTAAGCTGTTTAGGAAAAGCAATATTAAAACTAACAAAATTAAAAAATTTAATTTTAGATTTTGGGTAATAAATAAATAAAGTTTTAAATATTTAAATAACTAAAAATAATTATAGACATCATCCATTTGATGATTTAGTTGTAAAATATGATGAATCTGAAGAACACATAAATGGATTTATATTATGCTTCAAAGAAATATTAAAATGTTCATAATTGAAAACAATCGAATTATGTCTTGAGTAAATTTTTTAATTTTATTTACAAAATTAAGATATTACTTATTAAATTAAAATAGCTACCTTAATCCGATAAGTGAAATAAAAAATATAATTTATAAATGTAAATAAATTGCCTCATTGAAATATATAAGTTACGAAGTCCGCATGTACCAAAGCAAATTTTTTTGAGGAATTAATTAAATATTCATGTTGTAAATTTTATTTAGTAACAACTGTAACTTCTCATTGATTAAAACAAAATTACATAAGACCAATTTATGATATTTAAAAACTATAATTTAGGATGTAATTTTTATTTTTTATCGTAAAATATAAAAAAAATAGTAATATGCATTATTATTATTGAAACATTAATAATTTTTTATTTAAAAACTTAGCCTAATTAATATCTAGAGGTTGCCATACCACTATTTTTTAATTAGGCGTTTAGCTATAATTTAACTGACATATTTATTTAACTATTTCTATCTTATTTATTTATTATATTTTATAGTATGGAAAATATTGAAAAAATTTCTAAAAAATGATTGAAATTAAAATAAAAACATACTTTATAATATAAATCAATAAATTTAACAATCAATAATAATTTTTTATTTAAAGAAAATTAAAAAAAAAGCAAAAAATAAGTTTAATCTTTTATTTTATAACTATTTGACAAGTAAGTTTTTTTGTTTTAGTTAGTAGGTTAATCATTTAGTTAGTTAGTTAGTTAGTTAGTTAGTTAGTTAGTTAGTTAGTTAGTTAGTTAGTTAGTTAGTTAGTTAGTTAGTTAGTTAGTTATTTTATTCTGATAAATTGTATATATTATATAAATTCATTTAACACTTAGTTATTAAGAAGAACTTTTGTTGTTTTAATCATTTAATTTTTTAATAGGTCTATTCTTTAGTGTAGAATTCTTTTGAGTTTTTTCCCTCTCATTTATCTCATCATTCTTATTAGAAAAATCATAAATAATTTCTTCGTACGAATTATTTTAACTGTAATTGCCTTAGATATTCCTTAAATCATATTTTTCTTATTCAATAATTATATTTTAAAATTTATCTTTATTTGGATACTACTATAATATTAAATTCAAATTATTGTTACTTGAATAATTTCCTATGGAGCTATTATTAATACTTTATGTATTTGAGGATAAACTTGAGTTAAAATACATATTTGTCTAATAGCTGCTATTGTTTAATGATGAATTTAATATGCTTTATTGAATTTATTGTTATTAATTACTGTTTTAATTGCTTAAAGAGCTGTTTTAGCTTTTATCAGCAGAGGAAATATCAAACCCAAGAGAACTAACACTACTACTATTATTTTAATTAACAACATTATTTTAAGCTAGTTATGCTTAATCTGGGTTAAAAGAAGTTTAATTTAAAATAATTTATGAATTTCTTAATTGCTCTGAACTTATTTGATTTGAATTCTACTATCCTTCTTATGATATAATATTATTTATTTAATTACTATCATTCAGAACAATGTTTTCATAAGACATATCAGGTGTAGATTGATTGATAGTTCTTCTTTGATTAGTGTTATTTGAATTCACGTTGATATCTGAAATCCTACTTTAGTCTATGGGAGTATTTTAATTTTAGTTACTTGAATTTTAATTTGAATACATGAAAGTCAAATCTACTACAAATTAACTATTTTAAGGTTGTTGTTGGCTTTAAGCTAGAATATTCTAAGAAGTTTGGTTTATACTTGCTTAATTATTATTTAATTATGGAGAGTTGGTGGGAAAACTGTATCCTTGAGTTATATCATTTATGTTTGATGCTTAGTTATTATTAAAACCATTTGAATTTGTCAATTAACTAGTACTAACTATAGATTTATAGGTTGATTCATTTTAGCTTACTAAGGAATTCGGTTATTATTATGTAAGCAAAATGGAAATACCTGACTAATCTGTGCCATTTTCATCTTAATTTGCAGTAATAGCTGAAACATTTAGCTCATTAATTTAGTGTATAAGTTATTATGGAATCTGAGATTATTATTATTAACTTTAGATTTGACTTGATAAGAAATTATTCTACAATATCTTACTATTAGATTTATTATTGATTAAATCTTTAATAAGATATCTAATTTCATCTGTGCACTTGTAAGCTTTAATAATTTTTTCAGAAGTTTCTGTTTAAAATTTAATGATAGATCTCTCAGTTTCTTCAATATGGAAGGCTAGCTCTTCAAACACTTTCTATTTGCAATGATATTTGATTAATTTAATAAAAATATTATTCAAAAGATATTAATCATACGATGTAGCTTTTTCGTTTTCTTTGCTATATTCTGAAAATAAATTTACTAAATTCTCAAAATTAAATTTGTATTTTGTTTTTTAAAGTTCTAAAATTTTGAAATTTTTATTAAAAATGCGAACAATAGTCTCACTGAAATGTTAATCATTAACTTAATTTTCATTAATAAAACATTAATTATAAATCTTAAGTATTCCTACTTTTAAATGTTCGTTTTCTAAGCTGTAAATACTTCTATTTTATTATTCTTTATTTAAGAAAAATGCGCTTACATGTGTATCATTCATTATAGAACTAGAGTTTAGTTAAATTTTTGTTTCAATTAACTTATTGCATTCCTCCATCTTTTGTTTATTGATAATAATGTAGAGCAAACTTTCATAGTGCTTCAATATATCGTGAGACTGTAAGGAAATAAGCATCTGAAAAGTAGGGTCATTTTTGAGATTGAGTAAAAGATTTAGATCGAATTCAACATCTAAATTAAACTTCTTTTTTTAAACAGCTCTTTTTATTGTTTTTTTAACTTTTACATAAAAATCTTAATAATGCAAGACATTTTCTCCTTGGATGTTTTGTTTTTGGCAATCATAAAGTAAATTCATGAAAATCTCAAATTTTTACCACATAAAGTATTTAGCTCTTGATTTGATGGTATCAAGCTAGCAATCAACAACAGTTTATATTAAGTTATTAAAATCTCTACTAAACATATCTTTGAGTTCTTTATGTATATTTTTCGAAATGTAGGATGCTTTTTCATCATTGTCTATTTTTTCTCCTCTAGCAAGCTCGTAAATACAGATTATGAATTAAGTTAAATCAGTGTTTTCATTAATAGGCAAGTTTTTAGATTATTGGTAACTTCTGTAAGGTATGGTTCCATTGCTTGATAAGAAGTAGCTAAAGGTTTAATATAATTCTACTATTCCGAAATCAATCAATATCGGTTCATCTGTTTCTCTCCAAACTATATTTAACAATTTTATGTCTTTGTGTAACATATTGTTATCTTTAAGAACTTCAAATATTTATTCTATTCTTAACATGCATATAAATAAGTCTTTTTTTGTAAATTCTTTCGATTATAATTTAATTTAATTTTAAAATTTTGGGACATAACTAATCCTGTCTTTAGAAAATTAAATAGAAGAAGAAAATGAATTAGATAACCAATTCTCATTTTTACTCTCATTATAAGAAATAGATGAAAGTTCTGAACCAGTAGAATTGTTTCTTTGCCTCTAATCATCACTAGAAGTAAAATTAATATCTTATATTCCAAACTATTCAGAAACTCTCCTTTTCTAGTCGAACACATTAAAATTTTCGTCAATCTGATATGATTTTATAGAAGATATAGAACTAGCCTTACTTCTTGTCATCTGCTCATTTTCTTAGATATAATCATGCTTATCTTAACACCTGAAGTGCTCATTTGATAAAATTTATTTGTAAAGAATAGGATAGTATTCAAGGATGAGAAAAATCTAGTTGTCTTATATAAAATGATAAATATATCTATTAAATGAGTGATATCCTATATTTTTCTAAAATGGAAGATACTTTTGATGCTACTTTTTTCTAAAATAAATACAAATAGCAACTTCTTAAACAAATCTGTAATCATTATAATTAAATTCTTTATTTGTTTTAAAATCAAAGCTGTATACTTTTAAATAAACTTATTTATTTTAAATTTTCATTTTTGTAGTAAAGGCCATCTAATTTTCTCTGTTTTATTACTATCTTATATTTTCTTATTATTATTTAAAATTAAAATAATCATGCCCAAAGACTTTATTAAAAATGTCTTTTTTTTGATCAATTGACTGTTGAATTTCAAGAAAAATATTATTCATTATTTTTCTAATAGAAATTATAGGAATGTCTTTTCTGATATTCAGAGGTAATTTCTCAAAACCTTTTTCTTAAAATCTCATTATAAATTATTGATAAGAGAGATGCCAAAACATTTATTTCTCTTAATTTTAACTTTTCAAGTCTTCTTACAATTCTTCAACAAGATTTTAATAGCATTCTTGTTCTTTTGAATTGTCAGTATAAAATTTTTAAAAGATAAATTCCTAAAGCTATTCCAAGTATAACATATAATTTATATAGCAGCTTTCAGGAGAAAGTATAGATAAACACCTCCAAATATTCAAAAATTCTATTGGCTATTAATTATAAATATATATTTCAGCTAATTATTTAAGATATTTTTGTAAATTGCTTGAATTTTTTAAAGGAATTTATAATTTTTTTTCATCAGTTAAATCTATGTATTTTTCATAGATTGTCTCTTTTTTAAATTTATCTGTGAGTTTTTCATTTTTCATTTGTTCTCTTACTGTATATAAACATGTTTTAAAGCACTCCTACCCTTTATCATAAAAATGAAAACATTTATAAATCTGCTATACACCTAAATCAAATTTAGGATTCATCTTATAGATTAATAAACATTATTTTAAAAGATTTTCCAAGATTTCTATATGAGAATTACCTTGTTCCTGTCTAAAAAACAAATACAATAAAAAAAAATTTTCAAAAAAAGATTGTTCAGTTTCTTTCATTTGTTCTTTCTTTTTTGTATCTTTGACTTATTTTTTAATACCACTAGGTCTTTCAACTGTATTCTAAACACAACAAAACATCTTCATAGGTTATGGCATTAAATTACTTAGGTTTTTTTCAGTTTCATTTATTTCTTCTGATATTTTAGGATATTTTTTATAAAGTAGCTTGAAAAAGAAATGCTTGCATTTAATGTAGTCATAGAATTTGTGATTTTCATCAAAATTTGTTTAACTAAAACCCTTATAGTAGTGATAGCTAAGCATTAGCTTATCATAAAATGAATAATCCTTTACAGATTCGGGTAACTCAAGAATTAATTTGTCAAAAGATTTACACATGTCATATGTTAATATGTAAAGATCATTTTGGCATATATTCTTCAGTACAACAACAATTAGTTAAAAATATGTTAAAAAGTGTTTATCCTCTCCTAAATTTTTTAAACTTTGGTTTAGAAGAATTAACGTATTATTCAACAATTCGTAAAGATATGACTCGACATTCAAATAGAAAGCTGAATTTGAAAAAAAGAAATTTGTAATGGATAGTTTGAACTAATTTATTTGCTAACTGAAATTAATTTTTTTAGTAAAAGGTAGAAGTATTTCATTAATGCATTAATTTGAAAGGTATCCTTCTTTTAAATATCCAATGCATTGATTAATTTAATCTACTACAAATTACTAGACTTTCTACAATTTTAATGCTCTCTTTCTAGTGTTTGGTTTCTATTATAATTATTTTAAAAGCAAATTTATAAATTTATTTTATATTTTTATTCTAAAAATTTATTTACATAATTTTTCAACACAATTTTTTAAAGAAAATAAAATTTCTTTCTCTAGTAGAATTTACTTATTTTTTTTATTTTTAAAATGCTAGAAATTGCCAAAATCTTGGTAACTGCTATAACCTTATTTATTGCGTTCATGACTTTTATCTTAATCCCTTTTTGCTTGCTAATTATACCATCCACATACGCTGATAAAGTTTTACTCTGGTTTTTATCTAGAGGCAATGTACAGCAGTATTCTCTTAAGCTTTTTAGATTAGAAGGACTATGCTAATACCTATTCATTATTCTTTCTTGCAACATACTCTACTCATCATCGTTGAATTTTATATTTTTTCGTATTTATTCTCCAAATTTACTGCCTGCTACTATACTTTTATAGCATAATTGCTTGGAAAGAAACATTTTTGAACCCTATTCTTTGTTAAAAATCTCTACTTCTACTTTTATTTTATTGCTTTAAATTTTGTATGTATTATAAAAATATAAAATAAATTAAGTAGAACTAACTTTTTAAAGTAGTTTTTTTATTGAATAAATTTACCATTAAATTTATTTATTATTTATTCTATGTCTAAAATAAATATTAAAGGAAAAAAACTCCCTTTTATAAATTGACAAATTCTAAAAATAGATAGTTATTAATTTTCTTTCAAATTTTATCTCATAAAAAGCTATGTAGCAAATAATAAAATTAGTAATTATAATTAATATATTAACTAATAATTAGAAATTAAAATAATTTATATATATGTTGAAAGAAAAACAAGTTTATATTGGCAACATGAAAATATAGATAGAAAGTTATAATTTTTTTCAAATTTTATCTCATAAAAAGCTATTAAGCAAATAATAAAATTAGCATTTATAATTAATATATTAACTAATAATTCGAAATTAAAATAATTTATATATAGGCAGAAAGAAAAACAAGTTTATATTGGCAACATGAAAATATAGATAGAAAGTTATAATTTTTTTCAAATTTTATCTCATAAAAAGCTATGAAGCAAATAATAAAATTAGTAATTATAATTAATATATTAACTATCAATTAGAAATTAAAATAATTTATATATACACTGAAAGAAAAACAAGTTTATATTGACAACATGTACAGGTAGATAGATAGTCATCAATTTTCTTTCAAATTTGAAATGAATAAAATCTATGTAGAAAATAATAAAAATAAATAACTAATTATAATTAATATACTAATTAATAATATTTAACATATAAAATAATAATATTTATATTAAGTTATTTAAAAATAAAAAATGCTTTAAGAAATTTAAATAATTTATATATATGTTGAAAGAAAAACAAATTTATTTTGGCAAAATATATATAGAGATATACATTAATTTTTCTTTTAAATTCTATTTCAATAAAAGCTATATATCAAATAATAAAATAATAAATAATTAGAATTAATATAGTAAATAAAAGTATTTTATCATACAGAATAATAGTTTTTATATTAAGTCTTAAAAAATAAAAAATGCGAATAGAAATAATAAATTATTAATATTATGACTGAAAGAAAAACTAATTTTAACGTTTTTTGACACTATAAATTAAATGCTATTTGCTACAATAAAATGTAATTAATAATTTATTCAAAGAAGTTTTTATTTGATAAAAGGAAACAAATGTTAATTAAATAAAGGGTAGTTAGAATCAATAAATAAAATTGAAATTTTGAAAGATATAATAGCTATTTATTTTGTATACGTTAAAACTTTATTTATTTTATGATTGATTAGTGAGTTTTTCGTGTATTTATTAAAGAAAACGTAATCTGTAAAAATATAAACAAATATAAATAAAAAGAAAATCAATCTTTATTTTTAGTTTAATGAGGGTTTGATATTTTAAAATGAAAATGTATTCCAAAATATCTTAATAGTAAATAACTTTAATCAATTAACTCTTCAAAAAATAGTTTTAAATATAACCCTACAATATTAAAATATTTATGATAATAGTAAATTCTTTAAGCTTTAAAAATTGCAATGACGCGCAAATATAATATTAAAAAACAGTTATTTGTTCTCTTTATATATATTTTAAATTAATTTTTCTAAAATTGCAGAGAAAAAGAAATAAGAAACAAAAGTTTTGAAAAAAAAATATTGGTTTAAAATGATAACTATTAGAAGCTTAAATGAAGTCAGATTATATACTTGTTTTATCTAATTTATAATTTATTTTTTTGTAAAAAAAGTTAACTTCGACTGACTTAGTTAACTCAAATAATTTATCTGTTAATCTAAAGTAAGTTAAGTTCAGATAAATAAAATTTAATATTATATAATTAATAAAGTAATATGAAAATTGGTAACTAGTAAATAACTGTTATTGCTGATTCCTTAAAATAATGCTAAAATCTTAACAGCCTAACAATAGATTTAAGGTAAATAAATAATTTTAAATTATTAAATCAAAAATATTTAAAATTTCGTATTTCAAAATTAAAAAGCCTTAATCAAATCAATGGATCAGCAGCGATTGATTTAGTTTCTGTATTGAAAGAAAACTCAAATTTGACAAATTTAAGACTATGTTTGGGGTAAAAATAGATATGATATGATGCATCAAACATTTAATTATTTAGCTAAAATTAGGTTTGTGATTAAGGAGCTTCTTTAATTGGGCAGCATATAAAAGAATATCCTAATCTTACTAATTTGATCTTAGGTTTGAAGTAATAAAAATATTTTTATTTATCTTTATTTTATTTAAATTATAAATAGCAACAATAAAATAGGAGACTAAGGAACTTATCATTTAATTTCTAATTTGAAATAATGCGAACGTCTTTCTGCCCTAGAGTTACACCTTTAGTAAAATCAAAAAAATTCTGAATGGATTTCTTTAGAATAATCTAAAACTTATTTATGATTATTAACAAACTTTTTATCAATCATTTTAGATATAACTAATTAGGAGACCAAGCAGTATCATCAATGATGCCTTAATTTAAACAGTGCTAAAATCTCGAAAAACTTAAATTGGTTTTAAAGTATTTTCAATTACATAATTTTTTTGTTTTTTTTTCTCATTTATGAAATATATTTTTTCTTAAAAGCAATAATCAAATAAAGGATTTCAGTGTCAATTATTTAGTTAATTAGTTGAGCCAATCTGATAAGCTCAAAGATTTACAAATATTTTTAGAGTAATTTAATTAATTCTTCATCATTTATTTTTTATAAAAACCATTTATTTGCACCTAAAATAAGTTCTAATTGGATTGGTGACTAATTAGCTTATAAATTTGTGGAGGGAATCAAAATGTGCTAAAATATAACTCACCTTATACTTACTTTAACGTAATTTAATTGAAATTCTTTGTAAGTTACTACCAAATTTTTCTTAATTTTAATGTTAGATACTGTAAGATTGGTAACGATGGAGCTAAATAGTTAGCTAGCTAGCTAAAATTATGTTAGAACCTATGTAATCTCATTCTAAATTTAGAGTAACACTTAATGCAAACTAACTTTAATTAATTTGATATACTTATTTTTATTGTATGTCAAAAACTTTAATTTAATTCATTTAAATTAAAATATTAAAAATTTATTTAAATAAATCGAGATCAAATTAATTATTAATATGCGATAATTTAATTAATTAAATTAATAGATCTTAATTATTTATTTTTAAATTATTTGAACTCAGTAATTGATAAAATAAAATCCTTAGGTACAATTATATTAAAAACGAAGGAGCTTAGTGTTTAGGAATGGAATTGAAATAGCTAAAAAGCTTAACCCATTTTAAGCTAGGAATAAGGTTTTATTTAAACTTATTTTAATATTATTAATAAATTTATCAATTTATAAAGCTCAAACGAAGTCGAATAAGAAGGTGCTATTTAATTGATCACAGAACTTAGGTAGTGCTAAAGCCTTTCCTCATTAGATCTTTACATTTCGTAATTATTTATTATAATTTAGTGGAAATCAATAATATTATTAAAAAGTCATGTAAAAATCAATGATAACTCAGCTGGTGCTATAGCTTAAATTTTAAGATAATACCCTTAACTGAATTCTCTAACTTTAGGATTAGCGTATTATTTATAAGATTATTTATTTTTATTAAATGCATTTAATATATCATTTTAAAGCTACTGTAGCATCAAGTAAGAAGGAGCTCTGGCATTCGCAGCTGAACTTGCTTAATTTTAGCAACTTACTGCTCTTAAATTAGGATTTCTGTAATTTTTTTTGAAGTCTAGAATTTTATAAATATTCAAAATACTTTAAATTTTTTGTATGTTATATTTATATTTAAAATGGGAAATAGTTGTAATCGTATAGGAGATTTAGGTGCAGCAGCAATTTCAAATTCAATAAGAAGTCTTGTCAGATTGAAAATTCTTGAAGTTAATTTTGGGTAAAAAGCAATTATTAAAACAAAAATTTATTTTTATAAAATTACTAAAGAAACAATTTGATGAGCTTAAGTGCCAACTTATCTTTTTACAGGAAGCTTTACAAATTGAAGAGATTGATCTTAGTTTAAGTGAATTGAAGTCAATAATCACAATAGAATATTTTAAGCAGATATTTAGATGTAAATGGAAGATAAAAATACCTATTAAATAATTTGTTTTGAAAGAATTACAAAAATTATTCAAAATAAATTTCATTTTAATCTAAAAAATAGCTAAATAAATTAAAATAATAAAATGATTATTTACTGGTTAACTTATTATATATATTCTAAATAAAAAGAATTATCAATGAAAAAGTTAAAAAATAACAGACAGTAAGCATATTATCACTAATTCATTATTAATATATTTTATATAAACATCAAAGTACTATTTATTTTTTTCATATATAAAAATGAAAATATGAATAATATCTATCTAAAAATAATTTGCTTCAATATTTTTTTATCAATTTTATAAATTAGGCTTCTAAATTTATATTAATTAAATAGAGAGGGGCTAAATATATTATTATTTATTATATTAGTTTATTTTATTGACTTTTTTACATAAAAAATAAATGTTAAATTACTACTGTTTATTTTGTAATATAATTGAAACTAGTTAGAAAATTATAAGATTTTCATTCGAGTTTAACTAAATATCAGATATTTATTTAGCTTTATTAATTTGTTAGTGCTTAAATTTCACTCTTTATAAAAATAAATTTTTTTGCACTCTTAGATTTTATGAATAAATTAATATAGTTAATAAATTGATTCAAGTTTTACTAATCAGATAATTATTAATTAAATCTTTATTGTCTTTTTAATAACATATAGATAGCATCAAGAAGTATAATATAGGAGATAACAGAATGGAAATTTCTTAATAAAGCATAGCCAAATTAATAAGTAAAAATAAAATTATATCAATTAAAATTAAACAATTTGGCTCATTTATTCATATGATAACTATGTTGCAATTAAATAATATTAGAGAATATCTAGAAAGACAAGAATAAATTAGTTTTTAGATAGAAATATCACCCTAAATATATCAATCATTTGAGAAAAACAAATTTACAAAACTCACCTAAAAAAATAAAAAGTAAAAGAAGAGTAAAGAGGCTTATCATAGAAGGCCACAGAGGTGTTGGGATGTTTGAGGCTCATAATAGCATAAGTTCTTTCAATAAATCAATAAGTCTTCATTAAGATTATGTTGAGTTAGATACTTGGTTAACAACAGATGGAATAGTTGTAGTTGTTCATGGTGTAGATGGCAAAATTAAGTAAAATTCAAGCAGATTATTCTAAATATTTTATTTTTTAAAAATAGATTAATTTTTTTAGAATAAATTTAGTTTAAAAATCCAGATTTTATAATAAAAATGATTGAGTTGCATATAATTTATTAAAGATTATTAATTAGTAGAAATAAATAATACTTGCCTCAGTAGTTTGATAAATTAGTTAATAAAGATGATTTTTTTTAGCTTAAAGTATATTAAAATAAATTAGAATTAAATAAATAAAAAATATCTTCTAAAGTAATTAAGTAATTATTTTTGGTATTTAAGTAGAATCAAAATAAATAAATTTGAAATTTCCTAGTTTTATTTTAATTTTCAAATATTTTATAAGTTTAAATAAAAATAGGCCAATTCTAAATTAAATTTATCAAATTAATTAGCAAGTAAAATAAAATAAAATCAATTAATCATGAATATATAATAATTTAATTTTTAAAAATACTTTCTTAACTTTAAAAAATTAAGATATTTTTTAGATATTTTTAAATTAAAAAATTAGCAAATAAGTTAAATTGACAAATAGAAAATAAGTCTTAAAAATTATATTTTGTTTTAACAAAATTTTATTAATATTTCAAAAATATTTTCTTTAGTGGAAAAATTAAATAGAAAAGAATTAACAAAATTTTATGAATTTTCATAATAAATAACTTAAATTGCATTTTTAAAGTAAATAATGAATGATTTATTTATTAACTTGCTATTAAGTTTTAATTTTAAATAATATTTTAATCTTCTAAAACTCCAAAAAAGCAGACAAAAAAATTTAATTAGAAAAATTAAATTCTAAAAGAATGAATAGATAGATATATTTTGATTATTTCATTTTTGTTTTTATAAAACAATAATGTATTAAATTCAAACTGAAATAAAAGCTTAAACAATTTTAAATAATAAATTTTTAATTTAGCAAATTCATATTATTGCTTGTCTGCTTACCTGTTAGAGTGGTTTTTTGTAATTTTTTTTGAAAAAAATATTCCCCATAAAGAATAAATAAAAATTTTTCTCAAGAAATAATTCTGATAAAATATGCAAAATTTCAAAAAACAAGGCAATACAGGAAATTTTATAATAAAATTAACTTCTAAAAATTTGAAAGTTACTCAATAACATTTTTCTAAAATTGTTCTATTTTTTATTCTTGCTTTTAGGATTTTGTTTTTGAATACTAAATTCAAATAATAGAGAAAATCATTGTATATTCATTCATATATTTTAAATATGATAAAGAGATAGAGATGGAAACCTCAAATTGATTGAATCATTTTCAAGCGAAGAAATTACTAACATAGTAATCAATGAGAAGAACGATAAGATTCCTACTTTAGAAGATATATTTTAATTATGCAAAGATAAGATTAAAATCAATATAGAGCTAAAAGGTACTAATTTAAATTTACCAGAAGCCGTAGTAGCTCTTATAAAAAAGCACAGTATGGAAGATTAAGTTTATTTATCAGCTTTTTACCATCCCTTTTACCAGCTATCTTTGGATGCTTAGAAAAAACATGGGATAAATACCTTTATAAAATTTGGTTTCTTGTTTTGCAAAGAGGATTAATTTCCTGATCTTTCAAAAATTCCAGAAGGAAATTAGTTAAATTTTTCATCAGTATTAGCATACAACGAAGAAGCTGTAAAATTTTTGGTATAAGGAAGAGACAAAGGTTTGACTCTTTGTGCATATTTTGGTTTTGATATCTTAGAAACTCACTAACTATATAAAAGACTCATTTAGATAGGTTGCACTTCTCTTATTACTAACCAACCACATACACTCAAAAATTTTAGATTAAAATACTTAAAATATTGATCAAATTAAAGGAAAATATAAACTCATTCAATTAAATATGTCTAAATGTTTTTTTGATATTTTTTTCTGTTTAAGTTAAAGTAAAATTTTAGTAAAATATTTTTAAGGTACACTCCACTCCATTCATTAATTGAAAATTAATATGTTATTTGCATGCTAATTTTTAGAATAAAATACCTCAAAATACTTTTTCATTAGAAAAGTCTTTCTTTATTATAATTTTGATTATATATTATACTTGCATTTTTTAAATAATTGCTAATTGTCATATTTTTGCCTTTATTATAATTTGAACGAATTCAAGAAATTCTATTTTATCTAAGGGAAATTATTTACAATATTTTATAATTTAAATTATTTTATTACACAAATAATATTTTGATAAACTTATTGTATAAAAATATGCTTTAGAAATAAATTTTTCTTAGTTTATTTGTAGTGTTCATCTTTAAGCAGAATAAAAAAACAGAAAAAATTAATGTCTGACAGATTTTTTTCTTGTAGATTATTGCATAAAACAAATACCATATTTTCATCAGATCAAAATACTCTATCTACTATGTGAGAAATTACCAGAAATTAAATTACTTTTTTAATACAAAAATTTGTAAACTTAGAAAACCTTTTGGAGTTGCTATCGATTGGTTCAAAATATAAAAAAATGATTAAGTGGTTAAATTATAGAATTATCAGAAATAATATGATATTGTAGAATAAATTTGTTAATATTGTTATAACATAGAATAAAATTTTGGTCAGGTATTCATTAGCAGGGTTGATTGAGTTTTAAGGCAATTAAAAGAATAGACTACTTCAAGCATAAAATGTTCTAAAGGAAAAAGGAAAATTTAGTTATAAAGTAAAGGCAGTAATTTAATTTTTGGAAGAATTTTTCTAGAATAAATTGAATGTAATTAGATTCAAAAAAGTAATAAACGGAACAAAGTTCTTTTAATAAATTTATAAGTCACAATTTTATAATTATCATTATAAAGTGTGTATTAAATTTGACAACAGAAAGTATTATCTTTACTGCAATTATTTGCTCACTTACAAGTATAAGAAATTATAATTTTTATTAAATGAATTTATGATTTAAAATTTTAAAATAATAAAAAATTTCTAATAAAAACATTTACCAAAATATTTACTAAATTGCTTGATAAAATAATTTATTTTTCTTACATTATTCAATATTTTTCATATTTATTTTTAATGTTTGCAATTTATTTGAATTTAGTATTATTTCTTATTATTTGAGTTGTTAATAGATTTATAAAAAAATTATTTGATATTTTATTTCTACATCACTTTAAGTATTTCAAATTATTTACCGTTTTATAATTCGTCATTATTCGCTTTTGTCAGGTTTTAAATATAATTATAATATAGTTATTTATTTTATAGAAATTTAAAATTTTAAAGAAGTGACTAAATAAAAAAAACAATTATAAATAAATATCTACGTAAATTCTCTATAATTTAGAAAAAAACAAGTATATATCATCATTTACAATTATTTAAAATTTTTTACTTTATTTATACAGCAGTTTATTATTAAAAACCTATTTTTATCAATGCTACTCTCATCAAAAAATAGCTATTTTTAAAAATTTTGTTATATTATTAATTATGGTTGTGATTCAATGAATAAATTATATTTTTTTGAAAATGATTCACTCTAGTACTTTATTATATACCAAATTAATAAATTATGGTAAATCGAAACCATAAAAATGCTAAAAAAACATATTTAGGTATCATAGAAATTATTAGATTTGTTTAGCATGAAAAAAAAGGAATAGATGGATTAAAGCAGTATATTTATTTAATTACATTGATATGTTCAAATTTTTCAGTAATCGAAAGTAAATTAAGACATATGTTTTGTTAGCTGGCAATTTTTTTAAATTAATTCCCTATTTATTATAAATTTTCTACACAGTATTTTTATAAATAAAAAAATATAATGGCTGCGAAAAAAATTATTTATAAAAAATTTATGTGTAAAAGGCATGAATTTTCTCAATTGTTTAGCTAATTTAATTTCATCCCAATTACTAAAAATATAATTTTTTGTTTCACAATTGTTAAGCTGGCAAAATTTTAATTAGTATCATTCCAAAAACCATATGTTTGACTAATAAAATTAAACTATTTGCTTCATTTACTCCAGATTATGAACGAAATTCTGTAAAGCTTAATCAAAAAGAAAAAAATAAATAGTTATAATAAGAATGATGTTTTACTTAAATTTTATAATCAGGTAAAATCTTTTTTAGAATGCGTTTATCCATAAAACTTAATTAAACTAAATAATGGTTTTTATAAAAATTGTAATCCTGATCATAGTTTTTTAAGTAATTAAGAATGAGTAAAGAACTTTGATAACATCAAATATTTGTTGTAGATAGATAGAATAGATCATTTATTAGTTAGTTAATTTGAATTAATCAAAGAGACTGCCGGATAACTACTTGAAAACTTATAGATATAGATACATTAATTGAAAAAGAAAGTGATAGGATCTAATTATTCTTAGAAGAACTTTAGAAATTTAAAAGAAAAATTAAAGAGTGAAAATATAAAAATGTATGTATATATATTCGTCACTAACATTTATTTATTAATTTGATAATTAAAAAAATACAAAAATAAACTAAAAATTAAAAAAGAAAGGTTTAATAATAACTATTACTTAAAATAGTATAAATCAAATCAAACCAAATCACCAAAACAAAAAAGCAGATAAACAAGCAAACAAGCGACTAGTTTGTTTCAAAAGAAAACAAAACAAATAATAAAATCCTCAGCTTTCGCAAACAGCAAATTTAAATTTTAAATATTCAATATAGTTTTAAAAAATAAATAAAGACTAAGACTAAGTTTAATACAAATGGGTTATTTAGGTAATGATGGTAATACACTCACTTTTGAGGAATCTTTGAAATACAAAGATTAAATTAAAAAAGATGGCATAATTTAATTCCTTAATCTATACAAGAAATTCAGAAATATTACTTATAAGGAAACTATAAAAAGTATTGTTAATGAAAAATATTTACCTATACACTGGGGCGATGAAGTAGAAGCTCATATTGTTTTACTAGATAAAGAATCTAAGATTCCTAAAATAGTTCCTGATACACATTATTTATTTTAAAGAGTTTAACAAGACTAGTAAGAAGACTCTGAAGAGGTTGCCTTCAAGCTAGTCCCTGAATACGGCGGTTGGATGATCGAAACTACTCCTTCTAATCCTTACTACTCAATAAATAACCTTTGTGCAGTTCCATCTAGTTTGAGGGAGCGCTCTCTCAAAATCAATAGCTATTTAAATCCTGGGTAGAAAGTTCTCTATACATCAACTTTCCCTATTTTAGGATAAATTGATTAGAAATATTATTATATGCCTTAAGCTTAAACTAACGAACATGTTAATGAAGTAACTTAATCATTATTCATCGATGATAGAATCATTAGTGATCATCCTCGTTTCCCAACTCTCTCTCGCAACATTCGTACAAGAAGACAAGAAAAAGTTAATATTAGAGTTCCTATTTTCAAAGATAAAAGAACAAATGTTCAAGTTTCTCAATACAATCCTGATCCAAATTTTATTTATATGGACGCCATGGCTTTTGGTATGGGTTCAACCTGCATTCAAAGTAAGTTAGTTTTACATTCACACAATTTTTCTTCAAATTGTTGATATTTTCAGATATTTTTTAGTTAAATCCTCTTTAATTTGTTTATTTGTTTGTTAATACGCGCCTTCATTATATTTAAATTACGCTGCTGGATTTTATGATATGAACGATAAATTAAAAAATAAGTAAAAGTGATGATCTACTCATTCATACATAATATTTACTTAAATTGATTGAATTGCCAACAAATATTTTGACTACAAATTTCTTTCTTTTACCAAATTGTAGTAATAAAGTTAAGTGTTTCATAAATGGCTTAACTAATTATTGAATAAATAAATATAATACTCTATCAGAAGAAAAACTAAAATTTGAAAATAAATAGTAAGAACTGTTGTTGTAAAATTTCAAAGTGGTTATGTAGAAAGTTCCTTTAAATAGAAGCAATTAATTGATATTTTTAGAAATAGAAGAAAAATAAGTTATTGATTATTTATACAAGAAAATCATAAGTAAAAAAAGGTCAATTGACTGATTTTCTTCTTTAATTTATTTATTCATTGTGGCAATTCAGGTCTTCAAAAATAAATTAATTATTTCAATTTAGAAAAATTCTTCTGAATACTTCAAGCGTTTTGATTAAATTCAATTCAAGTAGATGAAAGACAAAATTAGCAAAAGTTATACTTACAAATACCTTTCAAATATATTAAGATGATAAGGAAAAGGAAAAAAAAAAGAAAGAAAAGCAAAAATTATTATTAAACAAAATACGCTATATAAATTTGAAAATTAATTACTAAAAATCCTAAAATAGTACGCACAATTATAATAAATAGTTTGGTGCGCTAACTGATTAAAAAAAAAATATAATAAGTGTGATTTATTAATTGATTTATTTTTAAAAAGCAATATTTAAAAATCCAAAACATCAATTAAATTATAGAACATTTCTGGAAAAAACGAAGAAGAAAAACAAATTTCTTTGGAAACCAATAGAAATAGATTTACAGTTAAATAAGCTCTATAAAAAAACTCACAAAATTTAAATAAATAAATTCAATAACTCCTCAATTAAAAAATTTTGCCATTAATAAATAAATTAAAAAATGGATTATATCAAAGCTTAGATTTATGCTATTTTAATAAAATTCACAGTAAAATGAAAAGATTATTTAGGCGCTTTAACAAATAAAACAACTAAAAAATATCGCGAAATTATAAACATAATTTTAGCTTTACTTTTATTTAAATATCTTCGTGATTTAAATATTTACCATTATTTTATTTAAATTAGCTACTTTTAGTGCCAAGAATTTCTCACATGCCCGTAGATTATACGATTAGTTGGCTATTGTTTCACCTTTGTTTTTAGCTATGACTGCCTCATCTCCTATATTCAGAGGTAAACTAGCTGCTGTCGATACAAGATGGGATATTATCGCTGCTTCTGTTGATTGTAGAAGTCGTGAAGAAAGAGATCCTTAGTCATCAAAATACATTCCTAAAAGCAGATATGATTCTATCTCATATTTTATTAGTGATGAGAAAAGAAATCTTCCTCAATACAATGATTTAAAATTCCCTCTCAACGAAGAAATAATGAACTTCGCTCGTTAAAAATCAAAAGAAATGGGATTAGGATTAGAAAATGATGAAAATTACATCAGACACCTTGGTTTCTTATATATCAGAGATCCTCTCGTTCTTTTTGAAAAGAAAATAAATGTTGATAATGAAAAAGAAACTCTCCATTTTGAAAATATTTAATCCACCAACTGGAATTCTGTTCGTCTTAAACCACCACCATCTATGGACTCAAACATTGGCTGGAGAACAGAATTCAGAACTATGGAATGCTAGATTACTAACGATGAGAACGCTGCTTTCATGCTTTTATCTCACATCTTTGTCAGACTCTTCTACCAATCTGATAGTTTAAATTTCTACATCCCCATTACTAAGGTAGACATTAATTTCTAGCGTGCTAAATAAATGGATGCAATCACTACTTAAAAATTCTTCTTCCGTACTAACATTCATGACGATGGCGAGCCCATCATTGAAGAGCTCACTTTACATGAAATATTCTTTGGAAAATCTAATGTTTTCGATGGTCTTTATAAATATGCCAGCTAGATCTGGGAAAGTATGTTGAAAGAAGTTTTTGGATAAAATTATAGCATTAAAGACACAGAATTTGAAAAAGTTTGGAACTTCATTCGTGAACGTACTTCAGGTGAAAAAGTCACTGTTGCTAGATGGATTCGTAACTTCGTTAACAACCATCCTGAATATTAATAAGATAGTGAAATCACAAATTCAATTGCTTTTGATTTAATAGAAGCTATTACTTCCATCTCTGATGGCACACTTTAAGATGCAAACTTTACAACCATCTTTTGAATTTCTTGATTCTCTAAAAAAACAAACTGATTCCATAGTTTATTATAATTAAACAGTATAAAAATTAAGCTATAAAACCACTTTTAATTAATATATAAAGCTCATCCAAAATTCTTACTTTTGGGCTCACTCACTCACTCACTAACTCATCCACTAACTAACTAATAATAAATAGATAAATATTCAAATTAAAAAGATTGAACTTCATTGATTACCTAATTTAAAAGGTGGTCAAATTTTATTTAGTCATTGCTTCTTTAAAGAAAAGCTAAAATTTAAATAAAAATACAAACAACAATTATAATTTATTTATATAGAAAAATATACATTAACGTATTTTATATTAGATTATTTTAATAACTTACTTCAAATTAATAACAAAAAATTGGTTGTTGCATAAAATTAATTAAATAGTGAGCTAGATAAACAAAAGAAAAGAAAGATCAAGTTTTTATAAAAGTCAGCAATTGTATTTTAAATCACCTTTATATATTCGTATTTTATAATTTTATCTTATTTTCCTAATATTTGCTTTATTAAAATAATTAAAATTCCTAATTGCTTTTATAATATTCATTCATTTATTTAAGTTATTTAAACTAAAACAAACAAGTCTTTTTATCATTCAAATTCAAATTTATGCATTTTCTATTTAGTTTTTGAATAACGAAAAAATAATGTAAAAAATAAATAAAATAATTTATCATTTATAAAAAAGAAAGTTTTAAGATAGATAAAATGGATTGTAAAAACCTTTATAAGCTCAAAATAAGTTAATTAGTTTTCAATTTTTATATCATATTTCTAAATTAAAAAAACACTAATTCAATAATAATAAATTTTTATCTACAATCAAGATTAACATTTTTATTGATTTTTAAATAATTGAAAAATTTTTTTGATTAAATTATGAAACATTTTAACTTTATTTTATTTTTCAAAGTTTACAAATAAATAATATCAAAATTACTATAAATGATTTAATTAAAATATAAATAAAGACTAAAAATTATATTTAAAAAAATAGTTGCTTTAGAATTAATTTAAATTTAAATAATTATTTTTAATAAAAAATATTTAAATTTTTAATTATTTTTGAAATTCATTTTAAAACTTATTTGTAAGAATTATTATTTTTGTTAAAATAAACATTAAAAAATTGTCGAGAATATGATTTAAGTTTTAAATTGCAATATATTTTAATATATACCGTGCATTCTCATTAATTAAGGCCAACTTATATTAAGGCCATTTTAAGAGAATTTTTAAATAAGGCCAATTTTTGAGAAAAAACATTTTTTGTCAACTGGCCTTAATTAATGAGAATGCACGGTATAATCAAATAAACTGATTAAAAATTTCTAATTTTAATAAAAGATAATTTTTTAAAATATAATTTATATAATTTAACAAATTAAATTATAAAAATAAAATGAGTTTTTAATTAATTTTGAATATTTATTCAATTCAAGCCTAAATAAATCTAAATAAAATTTATTTATTGGAAAAGCTTGATGATTATTAAATATATTAAGATTCTATTGCTTATTTATATACTAAATAACTTTTATTAACATGAATAAAGATCGTTCAAAATATAACAGAACAAACTTTCAATTCATATCATAATTGAAAATAAATATTATATAAAGTAGTTGCTATTTTATTTTTTGATTCTCACAATCAATAATTTTTAAAAAGGTTTATTTCGTTTTACAAAAAGAAAGAAAGAAACACAAGTAATAAATAGCACTCAAATTTTAATAAAATGATTAATAACAGTGTAGTTAATTCCCAAGTTTACGTACCTTTGCAATATAGCTAAACTATTCCTTAAAAGGTCATCTTTCAATAGCCTCCTCCACCTCCACCTCGTTAATTAATTTCCTCCACCGCTATTCTTTAACAACCCGCAAAGCAAATTGTATAAACTCAAGTGGTAATATATCATTTTTAATTTGCTGCAATAAAATCATCCAAAATATGTTTTATATTGATTCCATATTTCGAAATACATTTTTAAATAATTTTAAATATGATTTTTGATGTTTTATTTATAAATTAGTTCCCTCAACCTATTGAAAAACCTATTGTCATTTTAAATAGTGATGTAGCTGGAAAATTCAACTACAAGGTAAATGAATTACCTCCAATCCAAGATAATACAGATTAGTATTTACTGGAAAGCTTAAATTTAAAGATTGATAGATTAATAAGAATGGAAAATGTGTTAAATGGCTCTATTAGTTAACTTAGTAGCACTGCTAATGCTAAAGAAGTCCTTATTAGCTAAATTAGAGAATAAAGATAAAAATTAGAAGAAATAGTCAGTAAATATTTTTGTGCTTTTTCACATAAAATCTTACAATTACCAAATATTAGTTTATGATATATGTTGTATTATAAAAATAATAGGATTATAAACTATTAGAGTTGATGAACTTAAAGCTTAGCTTCAACGTGCAAGAAGTGATTTAGACCAAACTGCTCAAATTGCTACTGAAACTGAAAAGGAAGTGCATAATTTAAAGTATGTATTAAATGAAAAATAAAATGTAGTAAACTAATGGAAAGCTAGAGGTTCAGAAGTAGAGAGATTAAATAGCGATGTTAATCTTTTGCAATCTCAATTAAATTAACTCTAAGCATAGAATTAGGTTCTCCGTAATAACATCAAGTTAGATCCTTCATATAATTACTTAATTATCTGATTAGAAATTAATAACTATTAGCTATTTCATGTATATAAAGTTATAATATTCAAAACATTTTGGATTAAATTATATGCGAATTAATTAATTATTAACAAAAATAATTATTTTTTTAAAGTGATAATTTACTCAAATTGTGTTTTTAACCATTTAAATAAAAGAAGAAATAATTATTTTAATTTGAAAGGATTTTGAATTAAAAAAATAATTGAAGAAAAATTTAGATAAACTAATATCAAATTTATAAATTTACATAAAATTTCTTTCTTTTTTTTTTAGATTTTAATGGTAAATTAGTTTAAAAATGATTTTTATAAAAAATAAATATATAAAAATATATTGATAAGATATAAATATTTAAGTATTTAATTTAAAATATTTATTTAAATAAGTAAGTCTTCATTAAAAATACTTTAATAAAATAATATCATCGAACTATTTAGATAAATCTATTAGATTTATTTAGTATTAAGGATAATTTTCAAACTTTTTTAAATAATATATTTGATTTTATTAATAATATATTCAAATTGTTTTGAATGCAAAAGATTTTGGCAGTGAAATCACTTAAATGATATAAAAATACAAGAAAAATCAATTAATTATCTTAAAATATAAAATCAATCAATTTTATTGTAGATAATAATTAAGTTTTATTTGAAATTAACCTAATTATTTTTAAAATAAAATGCAAAGTAAAAAAAAAATTCTTTCTACTCATAAACTAAATGGTGAAGCAAAGAAGTATTTTTTTTTATAACAAAGTAAAATATTAAATTAGTTTTCAGATTTTTTGAAAGGAAAATCAATGAATCACTTAATTTGAATAACCAAAGAAGTTATTACTTACTTGTTGTATATAATTAATTTACTTAAATAATAAATATAATTTTAAATTCTAATTTTATTATTTACTTACTATGCTTTGAGCTAGAAACATAAAAGAGATTGATAATATTGCAACGTGAAGAGAAAAATAAAAAGAAATTAATCAATAAACTATAATTTTATGAATAATAAAAAATTATTTATTTATATTAGTTGATTCATCAGTCTGTTTAAATACAAAATTTTCAATTCTTATATTTCTCATAAATAAAGAGATAGATTGATATATAGATAGATAGATACATAGAAAAGAGTGTATATTTTGGTTTAATCAGTTTAAAAATAGATTAAATAGTAGCCAATTAGGAAATAACTTATAGCCTTAGCACATTTGATTAGAAGATAGTTTTCAATAATATAAAATTAAACGCAAAAGACATATTATATCATTTAATTAATTGTTATTTACTAGAAATTAAATCTTGATAGCAAAAGCTGATTGTTGTAACACAAATAAATTTTAATAAGAAGAATAAAACTAAAAATGTCGGAGAGGTTATCTAATAGTATGAATAATGACTTAGGTTAGGGTTATTTAAATGAAAGCTTTGCAAGTATGTAAAGTGTTTATACTTACAGCAATTAAAATTTATCATCATTAGTTAATATGCCTTAAACCAAAACATCTTAAATGTTGGAAGGCTTTCGCAGTATGATAACAAGCACTAAAATATACAAGCAAATAGAGGATAAAGGTAGCAAAATATTTACTGGAAGAGGTAGTATATCATCTGGTAGTACACCAGTAAGTGAAGAAACATTAAACAAAATAAATATTGACATATCGGAGTTCAACGATTATAAAGAAAGAATTTAAAATGAACTCTTTAGATATATGAACCAAAAAAGATAAGACCAAGAAAGTATGGATATATTGCAAACTATTAATCTCAATGAAGTTCTTTTGAGGTGCTATAAAAATGTACCTTCAATTTACTTCTATAGTGATTTTCACTTTGATTTCAAAGCACATCTTTCTAGAGATGTTAATTAAATGAATGAAACATAAGATTCAATTTCGGAATATCTCGAAGAAGTTGATATCAATTTATTTTACTAGATTCAAACAAGATTCAATCAGTTTTTATCAATTATTCTTGACTTAAATGAAATGTAATCCCTCATAGATGATAGTTTAAAAAAGATTTACTATGTTCGTTAATGCAATCTTGTTCTTAAGCAAAAGCTTGTTCAGAAAGGTAGTTAAATTGTTACGATGAAAAAAAGAATTGATAGATGTCAGTCTGTTCTAGCTTATTTATAACTAGTTTAAACTCTACATAAATCCCTCCCTTCAATTACTACTCTGATAAATGCTGGAAAATTTGATTTTGCAGTCACACTTTTACACTAGAGCGAAGCAGAGTACAACAAGAAATTTTAGAAAATGATCGCTTTAAACCAATTCAGAGATTAAATATTTCTTAATAGGCAAAAACTTGAAAAGAATATTTCAATGTCCTTTTAAGACAAATCGTTAGACTATGTAATATCTGAACTAAACTTTACCAAAGAACCTACCCTATCAGTCTAACATCAAAAAAGTGATATATCTTCTGCAGATAACTCCTTTGATGATAGCTATTATATGAACTCAACATTAATGAATGAAACATTTGAAAATAATTAATTAAATTTAAATCTTACATAAATGATGAACGAAGCTTCCAAAAATCCATAACTGAAATGGCAACACACTACATACAGAAGGTATTTAATCCAATTTATTTTTTTAAATATGCTTTAAAAATTGATTGAGTTTATTTTAAATAAAATCAAAACTTTTACAAAAAATACAATTTAAAAATTTATTAAAAAAATATATTTAAGATTGATTAATAAAAAATATAAATATGTAGGGATATAGATTTAGAAGAATAAATTTCAAAAATAGTTAATTAGAGCTATGATTTAGATAAATTCAATAACTAGGCATATAGGAGAAAGTTGATAGAAATGCTTAAAGGGTTTAAGGATGGATTTATTAGTGATATGCAAGATTTTTAGAATGAGATAAGTAATACACCAGGCAGTAATAAATAAATATTAGGGGACATGAATGGAGATATGAATAAGAATGAAAATTAGAAAATGATGTTTGAAAATATGAGCTTAGATTTATTTGTTAAATTTGTTTTGTTTTACTTTGAAATTTTAAAGAGAGTCGCTCTAAAGCAAATTGGCCTAAATCACACTATTTTGAATTCTTTAGTGACTCATGTAATAACAAATTTGCTAAAAACGGGTAAAGACCTTGACGATAACATAAATGCTTTTTCTAAATTAACTAGCTGCGTGGACGACATTTATTAGAATGTGATTTAAGTTTTTAACTATATTAATGGGTGGATTGACGATTTAATCAAATAGAAAAAATTAGACAATGAAGTTAATTTTTTAAGTTTTAGGAAGGTGAGCAAAATATTTACATTTTGGGATGATTTCTTAGCAAATGATGTGCCTAAATACTTTTAGATTTCTTAAACTCCTTTTGAAAATAATTAAAATTGTAAAGATTCTAAGGAATTTCGTAAATTTTTTAGAAAGTTTAATGAATATCATACAAAAGTACAACTAAAATCTCTTGAAAATGCACGTGGAGAGCTCGAAAAGAAATTCTTAGATTAATTCCATAAGAAATAGTTGAAAGATTTAAAAGAAATTTTAAATAATGAAAAATGGAATCCTGTTGATATTAATTTTGAATTCTACGATATCATTTCATACATAGTCTAGAATCCAAAACAAGAGTCCGAATAAGTTAGAACTGCAAAGAGTAGCTTTGAAGAAGACGAAGAGGAAAGTAAGCATTTGCATGATGAAGTAGTAGAGAATAATTAAGACGACAGTAATATAAATGATTTAACTTCTGCACGTATCACTAAAGAATAATTTAAGCGAACACTCATTCAAATAAAAATTATAAAAAACTAAATAACTTATAAGAATTAAACATATAAACTTACTTCTGCATTCTTGCAAATTTTAAAGATGATTTATGAATATTTGCATTTAATAGATTACTTTAAATCGATGAGAGAGACCTCATCAAAGAAGCTAATTGAGTTATTAAAATTCTATAATTCCTATGCTAATGAATTGCTTATAGGAGGAGGAGCATTTTAACTTGGTGTTCAAGTATCAGCAGTTAACTTAGCTTTAAGTTCTGTGTGTTTGCAATTTGCTTTGAAAATATTTCCATAAATGACTGAGAGAATAATAGGACTTTACAAAGAAGATAGAGATTTAGCAGAGAATATTGAAGATCAATTTTCTAGACTGAGTGATGAATACAACAACCATAATATTAACATATAAAAAACAATATCTGATATTCTTATTAAATTAGTTACTTCTGTAAAGGAATAAATAGTAAAATTGTAATGGAATTAAGTGAATGATCTCAAGATTCCTACAGATCCAACAAATAACATTCTCAAATCCTATAGACAAATGTATTCCGTGCTATCTAATTTTTATGACAAAGATTAGATTATAAAAATATATGCAGCTCCCTTTAATCAACTAATTAATACTTACCTCCCTATATTTAATTCAATCTAAATTACCAACAGACTGGGCGCTTAAAGAGTCAAAGAAGAGCTGGACTACGCTGTAGAAAACATCAAAAGTCAAGATTATATGAAACTAAACAGTAATATTTATAGTAAATTTGAAGAAATGGCAGAGGATATTATACATGAGAGATGTATTCCATTTTTGCAAGGTAATTAAGGAGAAAATGAGTGAGTGAGCGATGTATTAAATAAATTTAAAAAAAAAGAATAATAAAAATAAAAAGATATTTTAATATTTATAGCGCATTTTTAATTTATTGAGTATCTATAATAAAATTATTCAATTCATTTAAAATTATTTATAGCAGTTAAAGTTTAATTAGTTACTGTCATAAAATAAATAAATAAGTAAGTAATTTATTTTTAATGCTTTGATGTAGATTAAAGCATTTATATATATATATATTTCAAAGCTATTTATAGACAAAGAGATTGTATAAAAGAATATATTTACACGTATATTTATTTATTTATTCACATTTTTTGTAAAAGTGAGGAAGTAAAGATAATACATATTTTAGCTTAACTTTCTTTCACTAGTGTGCTAAGATAAAATCAAATTTGTTCTGATATCAATCAGCATTTTTTAAATTTTTTGGTGTTTTTAAATTTCTTAAGCAAATATTTTTTTAAAAGAAAATAATTTGAATTGTAATAGGCGCTTATTTTGTCTGATAATTTCAATTAATTGCTATGATTAATACTTATTTATTTTTTTATTTAAAAAATCTATCAGTATTTTTAAGCTTTAATTCAAAAGTAAATTTATTCAAATTCAATATAATTAAAAAGGAGAAAATTATCACTAAATATTATGAAGCAAAATACTTTTGCAATAGAATCACCCAACCAATTAGTTATAAGTTCAAAAAAATCAATTCAGAAATTTCTAAAAACTATTGTGAATTGCATATTTTTCACTTGAACATAGATAAATATTTCTTAAAAAATTCAATTAATTTTTGAAAGTGTGAGAAGAAAAAAAATTGATAAGAGAAAACTTATAAATAAATTTATATATTTTGAATTAGTCAAAGGAGTATTTTCGTTAATACTTATTAATAACATAGATAATTTTATTTGCTTAAATAAAAGCAAGCGAATTAAATTTAAACTATGAAAAAACAATTTGTTAGGTTAGATTTAAAATTTTTAAATTGCTGCGGAAAAATTAAAAATTAAGATAAAAATTATTATGCAATTAGAAACTTTATCTTTTGAGAAATGACGGAATGTACTTTTTTTAATAGGAAGAAGGAAGCAAAAAGATATATTGCTAATTAAAAAAAACGATAAATAAAAAAATAAATTAGATTTGTTTAAATGAATTTTTTGTTTATTAAAGAAAGATTGATTATAATTTAATGAATTAATTAATAAATTAATTAATTAGCTTTTTTTTTTGTTTGCCTATATTTTACTTGATAATTAGGCAAAGAAAAGTAGTAAATAAATAAATAACTAACTAAATAGAGGCAGGTATTTTTCAACCAAAACAAATTTAGCACGGAAAATGAATAAAAATAAGAAATATGAATTTATTTGTTCCCAGAAAATTATGCGATCGATTTTTTTGAATAATTCTATGGAAAATAAAAATTTTGTCTAGAATACTATAAGAAAATAACAAAAGCGAAGCAAAAACATTCTCAAAGAAAAAGAACATTACCTTAAAAATCTCATAAACTAGAATTTTTGATTTTAATTTTTATCATATTTATAAAAAAGAGCAAAAAAGCACAATGTTTTTTAATAGAATCAAAAATATTTATCATTTAATTAAAGCTAAGATAAATTATTGCTTTTTTATTTGCAGTAATTATAAATTTCAATAAATAACTCTCTTTGAATACAATATTTTTATTGTTTAATTGCGCTGTCAATAATATTATATGGACAATATATTAAACTGATTTAAATATTTAACACTGAATTTCGGCAATTCTAAAGTCAAGCAAGCCATTCTAAAAAAATTTTTGCCTGAATATCAATAACTATAATAATTTAATCATTTTGTTTTTACCTCCATTCAAAAATAAATATGTATTTATGTGTGTGTGTGTGAGTCAAGTTTTTCTTCCGCGTATTTCAATTAATTTCTTTTGACGGTTTGCATCCTGTAATACTTTGTATATGGAATAATAATATTGATCGACAATGAAAAATAATTAATGAAAGAAGGTAACCTACATATGAATATTTAGTTTATCAAAAACTATAATAATCATAATAAGCGGCTTCATTACAGAAAGGATCGATCAAGAAAATTTCTTTGTAAAATCTGCAAAAACAAAAAAAGAAAAAAATTAATAAGAAAAAAATTGAAATAAATATCAAAGTATAAGGCCACAAAAAAAAGGAATATACATACATACAAACAAACAAAACTTAAAAAAAAAGAATATCTAAAAGACTATTCATTCAGAATTTAAAGATAGTGAGAACAGTCAAACAGGAAAATAACTCTCATACTGATAAAGTAGAGAAAGACGAAGAAAATATTTAGAACAACCAGCAGCAAAAAGTGAATAGAAAGGCAGTCGAAAAAAAGAAAGGAAGGAAGGAAAAACAAATGGCTTCTTCTTCTTCTAAAAACGAAAACAATGCAAGCGCTAATGCTGCAAAGTTAAGCTTGTTCCATCCAAAGAGTACTGATTAACAAACTAATTCACAAAGTGTGATTCCGCCTTCTCCTGGCAAGCCGAACAAGCAAACTTCCTCAGCTGAAGATGAAGGAAACAATGACAACAGCAATAGTCAAAGCAACAATGAAAAAGTTAGCAATAAAACATCCGGTAGATGGACAAAAGACGAACATAAAAAATTCATTGAAGGAATCTAGAAATATGGTAGGAATTGGAAGAAAGTTGAAGAACATATCGGTACAAGAACAGGAGCATAAATAAGGTCTCATGCACAGAAATTTTTCAATCGTTTGGAAAAAGAGGCTCAAAATAGCGCCAAAGTTTCCGATTAATCCCGTTAATTATTAGAAATTATGAATAACTCCTCTCACCATCACAACTCTTCTTCTAATTAAAATACTTCATCTGCATCTTCTTCTGCAAAATAAGCAGCAAATTAAACTGCCTCAACTTCAAATAGCAGTAATGAAAAAGCACCTTAATAGGAAAAGGAAAAGAAACCTAATTAAAATTCTATTAACAGTAGCAGCAGCAACAACAACAACAGTAGTATTATCAATAATAACAATACAAATAATATAAGCGCATCTCATATCCATAACAATATCACTGACAGTCCTAATTCAATTCATGCTGCATCTTCAGCTTAACAAAATCTATTGAATTAATCTTCTATTTCTTTGGGAAATAATGATAACTTCACCACAAGCTCCAATAATTACAAAAAAATTCCAGGTACATCATTACAACTCATCTTAAACAATATTTTCAACGCTTCTAGCAAACTCTTCCATAAAATTTATCATAAATCTTCTTTAAAAAACTTGCTTTTTTTCATTCTTCAGCTTATCATAAAAACTCAAGTATATTTTGATAATAGGTTTTTTATAAAAGATATTACTTTTTATTTATCAGCATCAAAGCCATTCAATTCATCTATTAAAGATATTTTTCTTTCCTCACATATATAAAAATAAATTTTCTACCATTTTTAGAATTTTTCTATATTTTTCTTCTAATTATTGCTATTTTCCTAAATATATTATGAATCAGCTCACACAAAAATAGCTTATTTTATTTTCCTTTTCTAATTTCTTTCGATTTGTTTTTTTTTCAGAGCCATTAACCCCTTGCAAATGGCATGAGAATATAAAATTTTATATTTAGTTAGGTTTTAAATGCACAAACAAACATTTAGCATTTAGTTAGCAAAAAATTAGCATTCAAACAAACTAGTTCTCTTTGAACAACATTTGATTTTTCTTAGGCTAAAGAATATTTTAGACACTATTGAATTAGGATTAGCGGACCATTTATTAAAAATATAAATAAAATGCAAATATATCATGAAAAAGAAGTATATTGTATTAGGTAAATTAGTGTATTGCTTATCCTAAAGCTGAAAGAGCTATAAAATTACTTTCATTAAAGTAGAATTATATATTTGAGCGTTTATTACTAAAAATATCACCATTATTTTATGAATTTGATTAATATTATAATAGCGCAATAAAAGTAAATTAATGGCAAAATATTTGGCATAAAACCAACATTTTTAGATTATTAACATGGAAGATTTTGATAAAATTAAGAATGATATCATATTAATAAACATATTAATGCCCTTTTATATAAAATTACAGACAGCCAAGACATAATGAAGTAATTGATGACAAGTAATAATAGTAATAAATACTAATCATTAGATGATTATACAATTCATGACTATTTAAAAGGTAATAAAAACTAATTCTTTTATTAAAATCATAAATTTCTAATTTTCTTAATTTTTTAACTCAAAACGAACGCAAATAAATAATAATTTATCTATATCAACCTGAATAAAAGCTAGCAATTTACTAGATGCCAACTCTAACTAAATAATAGTTATAATTATTATAATCAGTATAATATCCCCATAATAATTTACTTTTGAATTTTAACAACAATTTAATATATTTAATTATTAAACATTTAAATTAAAATAATTTTAGATGATAGCAATGAAACATTAGACTATAATGGAAACGCTTCTTTAAGCAACAACTAACTAAAAATACTTTATGAGTAAGCTATTAAAATCCCTTCATATAATCAAAGCTCATCATACTAATCATATTTCCCCTCTAAATTCAGCAATAATAATTCCCATGTTAACTTATCTTCAAGTTATAACAATAACAGCAATCACAGCAGTCACAATAATAGTCATAATAGCCATAACAGCCACGGAAGCCCAATCCCATATAGCAATTACAATAATCACTATAACAACTACAACTCTAACTATGGATACAATTAAAGTAACAATATGAATGGATATGGATCTAATAATCACTACTCATACTAACAAATGAAGAGCATCTATGATGAAAGAGACAGTAATTTAATCAAAAACCTCATTATTATTCAAGCTATAATTATTTTCAATCAATAAAATTGAAATGTCTCATTTTAACTTTCTTACAAAAGGTGAAGAAATAATGGAAAAGTACACAAGACAAATTCAAGAGAATAGTGCTCAAGAAAACTCCTTTTTCATTGAGCATCATTTGTAATTGTTTGAGATTTTTTATTTTGATTTTGCATCATTTATTCATTTTTTTTTAATTAATTAATACCAATAGAGCTGACATTGAAAAGCCAAGATTATATGATTTGTGTGCATTAGGATAACAAGACCTTTGCTCAAGCTAATAGAATTATTAAAGTGAAATTTATGTTCCTAATTTTAAGAAGGGAAGATCTAGATTTGGTAGTTTCAAGCTCCACGATGAAGATAATGAATCGTCCAACTAGAAATATCAAAATTTTAGAAAAGCATCAATTGATGATTAAGAATTAAAAAAGAAATTAAAATTAAATGACGGTACATCTGGGTTTGTTACTAATAGTAACAAATTATCTCCTGATAGCCAAGTCTTGAACTGAATTTGAAAAGATCTGTCTTTAAAAAAAAATTAATAAACATTAATCATATCAAAAACATCATCAATAAGTTATGAAAAACTTGATTGGATAACAAACGAATTAAAAAAATGCTTTATTTATTCACTGAAAATAAATACAAACAACATCATATCAGCTCATTAATTCAATACAAACATTAATTATTAACGAATATAAAATAAAACAATCTTAATATTTAATAACTAATTTAATTAATTTAGGTTTTTATTGATATTACATTATTATTATTATACCTTCTTACCAACCTACCAATCAATCAATCTATCAATCTACTGCACAATAAATCCATCCATCATTTATTAAAAAATCCACTTACCTAAAAAATAAAATTATATATTTCATTATCATCAAAATATAAATCTATTTATCTATCTATCTATAAATCAATAAATAAATGGATTGTGTAATTAGTCACTCAAAACAAGCAAACAAGTAATTAAGTGCTTTCATTCTTAGAGAATAAATGCAAAAAACAAACTTCTATCAAACATAAAAATTATTTAACTAGAACAAATAATGAATTTGAAAAATTTTTTTTGAGTGAGTAGTACAAATAATTACATAAATGTTTATGAGTTAAATAATTTAGTTTTTCTCAGAATATTCTTATGTATTGTTTGTTGTCGATCGATTCATGCACTATAATTAATTAGTTCAAGAGCCTCTAAAAATTAAAAACTTAAAAGATAATTGTATTATATACTGAGATAGTGAAGTAATTATTACTAAAATATAAAAATCTGATAGATATTAAAGTGTATCTTCCACAAATAATCTTTTCATTCTTCCATCAGTCATAGTTTTATAACAACAGTTACTACTATTACTTCATGCATATTAGTAATATAATGTTGAAATTAGTTTAATATTACTTTATTCTTTTTAGTTCAATTCAATTTTAATTAATTAATCATTTTCCTATTATTTTTATTTGTTTTATTTTGAAAAAAATTATTTATTTCAATAAAAGCATACATTTTTGTTTATTATAAATTAAAAAGTAAAATTTCATTTTTAACATGAAAGTTGTATGAAGAAATAACTTAAATTTTTATTTATAATAAATAAATTATTAAAAATCTCATTAAATAAAAAATTCTAATTTTTTTTACTTAATTAACGACTAAATAAGATATTAATTTTGGTTTTCATAACAAATAATTGTTTTTATATGATGATGATTATATATATAATTAATGTGTGAATGAATCTTTTAAAGGTTTTAATATACTTAATGATACTAATCTCTCTTATATAGATTTTGAAATAATTATTAAATATTTTTATATGTTCTTGCCTGCTGTTACTTATGAGATTATAATTATTATGTAATTTTTGATCTGTTTTAGTTTTATTTATACTAACAAAAAATTTGATATCATCATCAATCGAATCTGTTAATAATTAAGTGTAGATTCAGAAAAATTTAGTAGATTATTGAGATTTGTCCTATTTTTACTATAATTTATTTGTTTAGTGAGAGAAGTTTCAACAAAAATAATAAAATCTATATTAAATATAAAAAATTAATTTTTTAACTTAAACAAATATAAAATTGTGACATTTTGGTATATCCTTCATAGACATATAATAGTTTTAAGGGGGGTCTACTGTCAAGAAATATAAATAAATCTATTATACTTTTATTTACTTGAAAATCTTTTAAAAAATAAGAAGTGCGAATCTGAAACAAATAAATAAAAACAGATGCTCACAATTTATATTTTGGAAGTAAAATATAAATAACTCACCTTCAGTATTTCTTATAAATTTTGATACAAAATTAATTATATACTCCTTTCCCTTTTTTGAGAATAGCAAAAATTCAATTAGCAGAAGTGCTTTTTTTGAACCCTGCACTTCCTTAGTAAGTCTAGCATTAAAATATTAAATATTATAAAAATGAAGTTAATTTTCTGAAAATATTATATTCATTAAAAAAATAAAAAGTACTTATTTGAGTTTTTTTACTTAATTAAAAATAAATAAGCATTATAAATTAAAATTAAGATGTTTATTTTTTAAATTTTTTGGAATGAAAGAATAATTTCATTAGTTTTAAATTGATTTCAAGGTTAATGTAATATGAATGAATTTTGGTTTTTTATAAAATTTGAAAGATAAAAATACAAACCTCCCTTTTTTTGTAATTATGGGGAAGTTTTTTGGCATTTTTTTGTTTTAATCTTAATTATCTCACACTAAATAAAATAATTTATATTCTATACTTTTTGTATTTATTATTTTTAGAGCCTCATCAAAGCAAGCATGAACACAAAATTTGGCCAGAGTTTGGCTCAATAATTTTCTGATGAAAATTTTATAACTAGATAGCAAAACTTTTTTATATTTCTTACAATTATAAATTTATCTAAGTTTACTACAAATTATAAGTATATAAAATCAGACAGCATTTAATAAATATTTAATAATATAATTAATTAATTTCTTTATAGTCATATCAAATTACATAATAATATTATTACTTCAAAACAACAAATTTGTAAAATTTTCTCATTTCTTATTATTTTTCTTCTTTCTTAAATTATTTCTCAAAACAAAATTAACAAACACATTTTGTGTTCCTTCTATATGGCTTTTAATTATGAATATACACTACTTATTTCCCTTTTTCTTTGTAGTTATTATAAAATTTTTTTCTGCTTAGCTCTTTAATATCCATAATAAAATTTTTTAAATATAATTATTATCAAAGTTTAGAATAATTAATTTAATTTGATGAATTAAATTTTCTAATATCCACTTTAAATAAAGATACACTTCTTCAGGTAAATTAACAATTAACTCAAATTTTATATATATATATATATATATATATAATTGCATTAAATTATTTTATAACCATTTATTTCATTCTTAAGATATCATATTATATCCTAAAATAGAATAATAAGTAAGTTAAAATGCTATTTACTTTTCTTATATATGTTGTTTATTTAAATATTTATTTTTAACAAATAATATAAGTGTTATTTTTATTATTTAAAATAAATATTTATTTAACAATTAAAAATATTAAGATCAAATAAAATGTGCTTTCTAATGTCTACTTTAATATATTAGACACTTCATCAGTTAAAATATAAATTTTCTCAAATTTTTCTAAAAAATTTAATTGATTGATTTTATAACCATTTATTTCTTTCAATGCTTCTATATTATTTTAAATTTTTAGAATAGAATAAATAAATATTATGTAAGTTTTTAAATTCTTTACTTTTTTAAAAATGTTACATTTAAAATATTCATTTTATAGCCAACAAAAAATAAAGTTTTATTATTGTTTAAAATATTCTTACAACCGACAATAAATAATATTAAGATCAAATAAAAATGTGTCCTTTTTAAATAATTTATTGCAGCAATTATGAGTTTTTAAAAAAAATTTTCAAGAATTTTTTTACTTATTTTTCTTTAACTTGGAGTTTATAATAGCAATTAATAATTTATAATATTTTAAAAGAAAATTATTGGAATACAAGTTCTATGTAACAAATAAATTATATTTTATAAGAAAGATTTCATATTATTTTGTAGAAATTAATATACAAAAAAGAATAAGTAAATCAATAGTTGTTATTTGGCTAGAAGCTATCGTTGCTTTAATATACAAACTAGGGAGATAGCTATTGCTAAAAACTTTTTTTTCTAGAAGAAAATTAATTTTCTTTATCGCTAAAGCTGTGGTTAACTCTAAAGGATTCACTATTTGCACTAGCATATAGATCATCATTATTATCAAATATTCTTTATTCACCACTGTTGAAGATATTAACTTCACTTTTACTGCAATTAATATAAGATTTTGTAGAAGGATTTGATTTATGATCATTTTGTATGGTGAGAGCGGTATTCATTTTAGAGTAAGCTGACACTTAAGTTTCAGAATTTTAAAAATTGATATCTTGAAGTGAAGTGTTTTAATTATTTTAGCTTTTTACATCTTGTGCATTCTATTAATATCTGTTAACAGAACCTCCAGCACACTTTACTTAAAATTCTGAGAGAGGTGATTAAGGAGATTATTGATTTTGATTATATTGTAAGATATTAGCTTTTTAGTTTGCACTAATCTTTTTAATGTTCTAGAATTCATAATTGAATTTATTCTTACTACCTGATTCTTGCTTCATCAACTCATTTTCTTTTATAATTGATACTTCTCTAGCATGCACTTTTTCTTATAGTTTTTGTAATTATTATTTTTATTTTTCAGCTAGTTTCTGCATCTCAGATTGATACTATTTGGTTGTTATTTCTAAATTAGAAAAATTATAGTTATCATCTCTAGTAGCCTAGCAGTTTAAATCACCAAGGGTTTTGTTATTATAATTTTCATCATTCTTTTATTGTTTTAAAAATTAATGCTAAGATTTTTGCTATTGTACCTATTTTTGAGTATTCAAAAATTTCTCTGAATATTTATCACTATTCGGAGATTTACTCATATTATTTAGCTTAAAATCATTCTTTAGTTATGAAACAGGAATAATCCCTGATTGATTTTGTGATTCACTTTATTTTGAAGATTCAGCAACAGAATTTATAAAATTTTCTTTAATTTATTATTTAGTAGTATTTGAATTACTATTGAAGCTCTAACTCTTTAGTTAAAATGATTAGCTGTAGTTGTATTCAATTGTTTTAACTGACTGGCTAGGATTGTTTATTTAAGGATATCTTTCTCCTGCATAATTAATGGCTTTTTCTATTATTTCTTTTGCATAAGAATTGCTAGAAGTTGATGATTTTTAATCTTACGAAGAATCATTTTTCTTGAAAGTTTTATTCTAATCTGAATGATATCTGTATTCAGATCCCTCTTATTTACTTTATTAGTCTAGCGATGAATTTTAATGTTGATTATTAAATAAATGCTTATTATTATTTGAGTTGTTCATAGTCTTTGGAGAGCCTTATTAAAAATTAAAATTGACTTGATATTGTTAATTTGATGGCTGCAAATTAGTGCTACTTTTAGGTGTTAGTTAATTTGTTTACTGATGATAAAATATATTGTTACCATCTAAAAACTGATAAAGTTGTTTCTACTAAGTAACACTTGATTTTGTGTTGTACTCCTAATCTAAAATCTTGTTAGGCAAATTGACAGGTAAAGTAGATTTTTCCTATTCATATTTCTGGAGCATAATACCTCTCATATCTTCTTTACTGTCATACGATTATAGCTACTTTTGCAAGTTCCAGCTTTAAACTTTTGATTCTGTTAATTCTTTCTCTAATTTAGCACATCTAGTAGACAGACTAGTAATCTTCCACTTTATTTTCTCCTTTAGTGACATCTTTTCTACATTAAAAAAATATTTATCTCAATATTAAAATATATTCATTTATTAAATAATTTCTTTCACTAAAATGAATCAATTTTATAGAAGCAGATAAAAATTTAAAATGATTAATTTAGAATTTTTACTTAGAAAAATATTTAATTGGTCAATGAAATTAATTTAAATATTTAATTTATTTATGTAATTTATAAATTAAATAACGAATCTGTATTTAATATTTAAAAGAAATAAATTTATATTTTATTAATTTGAATTATGTTTTTTACTACTTATTAACTAACCATTTTATTTATGATTTTTATATGAATAAATGAATAAATTACTGTAGTATTCTTCTGTGTTTATTTATTGTTTACGAAGTTCCTCTTCTTCTTATTCGTCAAGCACAAAACTTGAGTCTGAAAAAACTTCATCACTACTTCCACTTAGTCTCATCTGCTATTTAAGTATTTAGTTTTCTTCTATCAGTTTTTATATTTATTAGTGCAAATCTTCCACTCTATTCATTTTCTTTAAATTCTCTAAAGAACTTATTTGCTTTACAATATGCTAAAAATTGTAATCCTTATTTGACTTTTTGTTCTTACTGCTCTTTTTCTTGATTTATTCAGTTGAGTCTTCTGTATATCCTTAATTTTCACTGGCTTAAGAATCTTCAGGAATGTCTTGTTCGCTCTAATTAAAAGATAGTTTTTATTTTTTGGCTTTTTTGTAGTTTTTCGCGTCTTGGTGATCTGATGACTAGCATGAGTCTTCTAATTTTTCATTAGTATCATTCATACTATTTAAAATTGAATTTTATTTGTATCAATTTTAAGTTAGTTAAATTTACTTTGTGGCTTCATCATTTAGTAAAAGATTTTAAGAATAGGTTTTAACCATAAGCTTTCTTTATTCTAATTCTTGCTCCAAAATTTATTTTCTCATGTTGCATAATTCAAACCTATTTATAAAAAAGAATATTTACTTATTAGTTTACATTTCTTTAAATTAAAAAAAAACATTTATTTTATCATGACATAACAATAATTTTGAGCGAAAATGACAAAATAATTACTTTTATCTCCAAGATAATGCTTCCTAAATGAGTTTCTCATTAAGAGATAGCAGTCTTTGAATTTCTTGGCTTAAGTCATTTACTTTTCCACCTAGAGCAAAAACCATTTAATCATTCTACTAAGTAGACTAAACTTAAAATTAGTTTTATAATTTCATTGTCTGCTTCTAAAGTGGGATATTTTATTAAATTTGCTATCCTTTTAAAAGCTAAATACCAGGATTTTATTGGACTTGCTGCTAATTTATCTAGTTGTTGTTTATTTATAAGGGTTAAAGAGGTACTTAAGCAGGAGAAAATGTGCCAGATTTATTTACATTATTTTATAATTATTATTACTATTATTGGATCTATATAGCTTTCTTTTAATTTTAATTCTACTAATTATTTTAAGAAGAGTAGAAACTGTTTGAAGTCGAAGATAAAGGGGAGTGGATCATATTTTGAATAGAATCATTAAAAAACACCATATTAACTTAATTAGAAGTCTGTGATTAATTACAAGGTGATAAAGAGCGATGCTTATTATTCTATCCTGGTGCTGCAACAACTTAATTTACACTGACTGCATTATTCTATTTCAATTAAGCATATCCTGTACTATTAATGTACTAAATTGGAGAAACATGCTAGACCTACTCAGGCGAATTCTACTTTATTGTTCTGATAAACTCAGAGGAGCTTGATCTATTTGGAATATAGAATGTATCAGATGAAGTTTTAAGTTATTTTATTAGAGGATTTTATATGTCTTAAGTAGGGTTTATCTTCACTTGTCTTATCATTCTTTCTTTAAGTGGTAAAAATAATAAGCTTTTCTATTTGTTTTTTAATTTTTGAATTATGGAATGTATTCAAATGACTAATTAATTAATCTATTTTTTAATTTATTAAAATATATAATCTCTTTCTTTAATAAATGGATATCTATCTATCTATTCATTTTTTTTAATGACATAAAATTTTAACGTTATAAATCAAATATGCATAATAAAATCCATAAGAATCTTTTATTTAAATGAAATTTAAATCCAAAGCAGGCAAATTTCAACTCTTCATAAATACAAAATCTATATATTTATCATTTTGAATGAAATATGCATGCAAAATGCAATACATAATTCTTAACTTAAAAAAGAAAATAAGGATTGAGTTCAAATTAATATGCTCATTAACTTAAATCAATTTTAAAATATAATTTTTCAATAAATTTTAAACATTTTATTTTGATTTCATATTTATTTTATTATGAACAAAAGTGTTTCTAAAATTGGTTTACTAAATTTTCCAATGTAATTAATATTTTATTAAAATAATATATGCAAAAATTAATTTTATGAGCGAATTTTAATCTGAAAGTTGTACTTTATGAAAAAAAAACAAAACAAATTAATTTTAAATTAAATTTAGCAGAAAAATCTAATTTTATTGTTAATAATTTAAACATTCAGCTAGTGATAAAATATTAAAAATTTAAAAAAATTATTAACTATTTTTTCATCACTGGACCAAGTACTTAACTTATTTCTTAGGATTTTTTCCTAAAACAACCACATTAAATAAGTCATGGCAAGGTTAATAATTTAACCCCTCTTAGATACAAGTAATGTCTTATATTAAATTTAATCCATCTTCTTCAAGAGCAGCACCACAAGCATTAGCAACATTTGCTACATAAATACCACAATTCAAAAGGTCTGGTAAATCTGATTTAATCCTTCCAGCAATCATTACAACACCATTTTTAGTTTTTTCAAACCATAATTTAACTTTATCAGGAATCTAGTCAACAATACTCTTAAATTCATCCTTAGACTCCTCAAAAGCAACTCTAAACTCATCTTAAGCTTTACTTATAACAGCTTTAAAATTATCACCAAAGTCTTCAAATCCGTTTTTCACATCATTACCAAATTCTACAAATGCATCTTTAACATCACCACCAAAATCTTCAGATTTATCTTTAACTTCTTTTCCAATATCTACAAAAGTATCTTTAACATCGTCTCCAAAATCTTCAGCTGTATCTTTGACTACTTTTCCAATATCTTCAAATGTATCCTTGACATTTCCACCAAAATCTTCAAAGCCATGCTTAACATCGTTTCCAAGGTCATCAAAACCATTTTTCACTGAATCCCCAACATCTTCGAAAGTATTTTTAATGTCATCAAAGATATTTCCTAAATCCTTTAATTAATTCTATCTATGAACTAAATAAATAGTTAAAGATGTAAAAAGTGTAATAAAAATTAAGGGAATGACTAAAAGAGTTTTCATTTTTATTTTTTTATTTATTTAATATTAATTTAATTTTATTAATAATAATATTTTTGGTTTCAATTTTCAGTATATAAAGCAGAAAATAGCTTAATTTAATATTTATTTAAAAAAAATTAGTAAGAGGAAAAAATAAAAGTGTTTTACATTAAATATTACTAACTTTTAATAAACAAATGGTTCTATTTTTCAATATTATTTATTAAATTTCTCCATGCTTTATTTTATCAGCTTACTTTGGAAAAATGATATAATTCTACTTAAAGGGCTTTTTGAATAATTTGGTAGTATGTAAGTAAATTGAATATATTTTTTTTAATTTTCAAAAATTGTTATAATATTGATTATTACTATAGGCAAGGCACTTTATCTTCAGCATAATTTGAATATTAAAGAATAAAAAATCATAATTTTATCACTTTTTTGAGCCTCATTTTTTGCTAATTTTACATAATTTGTGAAAAAAGTTTGTTATTTGTTAATAAATATAAAAGCATAAGATAAACCTTAATTATTTTGTAAAAATTTATTTATACTTCCTGATTTGTTAAGAGAATTAATTATCCACTCTAATTTGGAGGTCTATTTTATGGTCTTAGATTGGAAACTTCAAAAATTTTTAAATTTCAAAATATAATAAAAATATTTTCATTCATTTTTCACTAATTCTCCCCCTCCCCCGTTTTTTCTTTAAAAAAATTTTATTTTATTTTTTCACTGATTTTTTTTATCTTTAATAAATAAAAGGATTTATTTTATGAACGAATAATTAAGGTCTGTGATGATAATCATAAAAATACAAAATATTATGTATATTTTAACATATTTTTAAGTATTATTGTACTAATAGATTGAATTATAACAATTGTTGTGGTAAATAGATAAATATTATTAATTTATTTAAAAAAGAGAAAATGAAAATAAGTATGTAATTCATCTGTGAAAAATATACATAAGTTGTTATTAATCTTTGTCTATGAAATATAAGAGTTTTGTGTTGACAGATTTGCTTAGATTATAATAATGTATGATATATAGCATATAAAATAATATGTTTAATAAGTCTACTTTATTTTATAAAATTTACAGATTTATTTTTAATATATTTTTATATCATAAATATGATTTCATTTATTTCTATTTTGTTTTGTGATTTATTTTATCAAAATAGTTTTTTCTAGTAGTTGTGATTTTATTGTGCGCCTGGTAAGGTAATTGTTCTAGCTATTGTAGGGCTTGACAAGCGTTTAGACTAGGTAGTATTTACGGCAGAAGATATATAATAGTTACTATTAGGAGTTGCCAATACAGAGATAGGGGAAATACTTCCAATTTCAACAATACTATTGCTCTACTTTTATATAGGGTCATTGAATATTACTTGACTTTATTATATATTCAGTGAATTATTCAAATCACTAATTGTTTTATTTTGCTATGTTAAAGATTTATTAGGATCTAGATAATTGCTATTGTTGTTGTTAATTTACATTTTTTAGAGTTATGTTGCAAATGTATTAGTTGATGATGGTGCATTGTCTTAGCTAGAGGATGTTATTTGGTTGTCTCTGATTAATGTCTGATAGAAAATATTTGTATTTAATTGATTTGTATTAATTTTGTCAATTAGCTCTAAATACTTCAAGCTATTTGGGGATTTGCAGGTTGACCTTCCTTTACTTACTCCATTTTGTGAATTTTGAGAGTTTCTTGAAGGTGATGTCTGCTTTAATAGTGTACTTTGTTTATAAGTGTCAAGATTAATAATGTCAATACTTTCTTTACTAATGTTATTTATTAGCCCATATTCGTTCTAGGAATTTACAAGGTGAGCATTAATGCTGGGAAGCTGAGTAGAATCTTATTTAATTGAGCCAAAATTTTAGATTTGAGAATCTATCATTTAATTTGATCCAAATTAATTTGAATTATATTAATTAGATGATACTGAGTTGAATTAGTTTGAGTTACGCTAGTGAGATGATGAACAAATTTAATTAGATAATGAATTGTTATTATTTGCTTCTTCTTCTTTGATAATAAATATTCCTTTTTCATTATCCTTTGATTCTTCTTTCAAAAGTTTTTGAATTTTTAGTTTTGTTTACTCTGAGGGTTTTGCAAAGCCTTGTATATCATCATCTGAGCTTTATTTATTACTTGACAGATTCAGTGAAACCATAGGAATAGGTTCTTGATTTTGCTCATCATTAAGAGTCTCAATGTGGTTTGCAAGGTCGTTCTAGAAGATATTTTTATTATTGAATGACACATAAACTTGGTTTTCTCTTGTATTTTATCTGTTATTTTATTCTTTATTGCTTTGGATTGTTTTATCATTATTCCTAGGTGTATCTTCATGAGTAATATCACCATATGTTTATTCTTATTTGCTCTAAGGAGTGTGCTGTCTTTATTTAATATCTTCATTCAGCTTTTCATCGTTATTAACAAACGATTATCTTTCTTTTTTGTTTGTTGTTTATAAATTTTAAGGAAAAATGCTTTGCAAATGTTGAGTAAGATTGAAATTTAATATCTCTGATTTTGTTTCTAATTAAAATGGATTATTTTATTTATTTGTTAGAAGGCTGATGTAAGTCGAAATACTACTTGGTTTTAGTATCTGGTAACTTAAATAAGACATATCTACTTTATTAATACTTTCTTAAAACTGCTCTAGTTTATCGTTGTATTTGTTGTAAATCACCTTGAAAGGCTTTAGATCAAGATTATTAAAAATATTGCTAATATTATCTTTGATATCACATCTTATGTTTTTCATATCTTTCATTTACTGCTTAAGATTTTACTCGATTCCATTCAACTCCAGCATGCCATTTCCTTTTTATTATTCAATGTTCTGTAAGCTGACTTATTTCTCTTGCTCAATCATTGTTATTAATTCAAGCATTTTTTCTAAAATTATTTGTTTTTAGCACTCGTAGAATTCATGCAACTGTAACTTTTTGTTCTCTATTTTATCTAGCTTTTATTAAGATAAAACTCTAACATTATCTAACTTATTCATCAGATCTTCTAAGTACTCTTTTACTTTTAATTTATCCCCTTACAAATCCTTTATTTTGTTTTTAACTAAAATTTTATCAAAAGACTCTTCGAAATCTTCATCATTCTAATTTAATGCATTAAGAGTAGGTGTTTATTATTAAGAATTTAAATGATGATTATTAACTTCCTAAGTACTGGAGAAAGGTTCAAATATACTGACAGAAGCAGTAGATGTTTATTATCTTGGTGTTAGCAAAGTACTGCTAGGAGTGACTAACTGTGAGCTAGGTGAATTAGTTACATTAGAAATATTTCTTTGCTAGTTAGATTTTTAATTATTAACCTAATTAAAATTCAAATTAATCATTTTGTGCTACCCAAGACTCAATTTCATAGGAGTAGAGGTTGGATTAAAGCTATTCTATTGAATATTGTTAATATTGACTTATTGTAAAGGCTTTTTTTAACTTTACTATGAGTTCAATATTTCATGAAGTTTCAAGCCTTTTTTTACTAAGTTTACAGAACATTAAGTACAAAAGTAACTAACTACTCTATTCTCTATTACATAATAATGTGCCTTTGTTATAAAAAATATTATTAAAAATTTATTTCAAAACAAAGAAAAATTTTTATAATTATGATAATTTTATATAAAAATATAAATAAATGCAGAGTAATTTCTTGAATATTATTTTATGTCAAATTAAAATTTTTTTAATAAAACTTTAAAGAAAGACAAAATTTTAAATATGGTTTAATTAACATTTGTTTTATAAGAACAATTTTTTTTAGAAATTAGTTATTTAATAAGTTAAATAAAAATAGATTGATATTTTATTTAACTTAATAAATAAAGATGTCCTGTTAAAAGTATTTATTTATAAATAATAAAATTCTTTTTATATTGAAATACTAAAAAAATTTTATTAAATTTAAAGCCAGAAAATAATAAAACAATTAATTTAATAAACTTTTTATCATTTTTATTTTCTAAATTTCGAAAGAATTTTTTATTTAACTTAATATAATTTATATGGCTATATAAATTATATTAAAATTGCATTAACAATAAGTATGCAGTAATTGTAAAAATTATTTCACTTTGTAGTTTATTTTAAAAATTTTTATTGAAAGAGTAATTATCGAAAATGCAGTTAAATTAAATTTATGTTCTTGCTTTTGCTTTCGAGTGAAATTAAATCAGACAGTAATTAACTGATTTTCTTCTTTAAATTTGTATTCAATTTTAAAATTAGTAAATATTAATTAATTTGTTATTATTTTTATTTACCTAGACTGTGGTATGATTTTTACAGTTAATTTTGGAAAGACTTTTTTGGCATTAAATTTTCTCTTTTGAAGAGGAAGAAGTTGATGAGTTTAATCTTGAGAGTGAAGTTGGGGAAATGACTTGAGATAATTTTAAGTCTCCTTTCGACATATCAAGAAAATCTAAGGGCTATATGTTTAGCTGTTAAACTTAACTATTATTCAGTTACTGCTACTATATAAGCTTTTGCTCAAATTAATGTGTAGTAACTCTTGAAGAGTATAGCTTTTAACCACTGTTGTTTAAGATTTAATTTTAAGCATTTTATATTTGGATTTGAGAGCCTTTGCTATTTTGTTAAAGTTAACTTGTTCTATTTTATGATGGAACAGAGCTGAATTGAGCAATAATATTAATATTTTCTTTTTCTTTGGAAGAATTTTAATTTTAATTGTAATTGTTATGTGTTGTTCTCTTTGAGTTTTATACTAATCTGTGTGATATGCTTGTAGGTTCTATACTATTTCTTTTAGCGTTAAGCTAAAAGGGCTATGTCTAGTTTAAAGTAAAGCTATTGTTCGAGTAATTCTTAGGAGAGCACTCAGTTCGAAGTGGTTTTTATATCATATTAATGGCTTTACCTTTAGAATTTAATTAGCTTGCATTATTAATTTAGCTATTCATAGCTATGTTGATGTTGTTTTGGCTATAAGATTTCATTCTATCAAATCAAGTTGAAGGAAACTGCAATTATTTAATAATAGATTTCTTTAGTAAAAGAATTTAATTATTTATTTATTTTTCTTTCAGTTTTGAAATGAATCAACAATACTTATCAGTCTTTTTGCTATTAGTCAATCTTTCCCTTTACTTATTATTAACTATTAAAATATTAAAAAATGTTCTCTATTTAATTATTAATTAACCCTTTTTCTTGTTATTTCTAATAATAAATTAATAACAAAAATTTACTTGCAAATTCATTTCATTTAATTTTTTGTTAAACTGCAAAATTTTATGAATTTATATTAAAAAATATATTGATTGAATGTCATACATAGCTAATGAATTTATAGTTTTAAGCATATTATTTAATTGATTAATTATCTTTAAAAATAGGAGTGTTTATTTCTGCAAATATTTCAAATATTTAAATTCAAAATCAGATTTACTAAATGATTGACTAAACAAAGAGCAACTACATATTATCAAAATTAAATTAACTTTTAATTTCGTCTAAGGATTTTAATTAAATAAATAAATATCAAAAAGTAACTAAAATATTTATAGTTAATTTTAAATTTATTTTTTATAAAATAATTCTTTTAATAATTATTTAAAGTAAAATAATATTTTAAATATAAAAAAAAATAAAGAATTAATAAATAAATAAAAAAATTCAAAGAATTTGTATAATTTAATTAACTTTTACAAAAATCTAACATTTTTTATCATAAAATAATTTTTATAAAACTTAAAACAAATATTTTTTAAATAATATTAAGGTAACAAATATTTTGAAACAAAGGCTTTTATCTTTAATTATAACTTACTCTTTTTATCAATATATTTTTAACAACCAACAAAACCAAGTATTTAAAACATAGCCAAATTAAGTATTTCAATTTTAAATTAAAATCAAATAAAAATTCTTAAAATAAATTAATTTTTATTTTATTCATAAATAAGTTTCAAATTTAAGTCTAATTAGATTAATTTTTTTTTAATTTCCAATAAATTCTATTCAAATTTTGAATGGCTAAAATTATGTTTATTTAAAATATTTTGTAATTTTAATTTATCATTTTCATGTACTAAAAATAGAAAATATATTTACATTTAAATATCTTGGTAGAATTTTTTTCTAGAACTAACGGATAAATAATATTTAAATAGTCAGCAGTAAAACTAATGGTAAATGAACCTTTCATTTTTTTGGTTAATCTTTTATATTACAGATTAATAACTTTGATTTAATTTAGATTATAAACTAAATTTTATGAATATTAATACATGGGAAAGAGATTTTGTGTTGAGAAATACTTATTTGTCCATAGTAATTTTATATAAGTTGAACAGTGGTAGAAGCGTATGGTATTATATATAGACAATAAATTCGAATTAAAGGATTTAAATAATAAAGAAACATAATTTTTTCATTAATTAATAAAATGACGAATTATGTACCAGGTTCAATAAAATAATAGATAAATACAAAACTTAATTTAACAGAGTAGAGTATTTAGATATTTGGGGCATGCAAGTCTATTGTAGTTCGAAAATCTAGGAGGGATACGAAACATTAAATTTTTAACTGATATTAGAGTGTGAATATAGCAATAAATATATTATTAGATTTACTTTAAGATGCAATTAATATCAGATTTTTATAAATAATGATTATATTATAAAAGAAATATTATTTATATTAGTAGGAAGCAAGCATGTTTCAATAGATTGTTTGTTTGTTGACGCTTATTTAAATTTATGCATTGATTTATTTTGAAAGTAATATTTATAATTTCTCCCAGATGTAAGATAAATTTCTATAATAATTGATTGACTTATATTGATTTTTACAGATTTAAGGAACAAATACTTTTTGATTGACACACTAATGCGATACTGTATTAATAATCGTATTATTCATAAGATATTGCGAATTAAAATAATCTTTTAAAAACTTTATTTGTTTATCTTTAATTTTGTCGAATCGTAAAAATTAATACCTAATAGAATGAATATATTTATATATCCGTTTTAAAGATTTGCTTTGATTTTTCGGAAAATAAAATTTGAATGTTTTTATTATTTGTTTATTTGATTACTTATTTATTTAATTAATAGAAGCCACATTAATTTTTTGAAGTATATACTTTTTGCATTTGAAATTAAAAGTGGAAATAATTTGAAAATAAGTATACTGACTCACAAAATACTTTGATATAATTTAATAAATAGCAATTATTTTAGTAGATTTATTATTAGCATAATCACATGGAGAAAGTCTGAGATTCATTTGTAATTGGAAATTTAAGGAAATTAAATAAATACGTTATAAATAGTAAGTTTAAATATATATTATTATATAAATATGGTGAATTGAAGGTAAAATATTTTATAAATTAAACTAATATTAAATTATAACTGGTTATTTTTATCTAATTATTAGATTATAAATAGATTTATTTATTTATTTATTTTTTATTAGTATTTGTTATGTATGTATGGTATCTATATAATAGTAGCATATAAATAATCAATTGGTAAGTGAGTGAGTAAGTGTTAGTTTTTCTCCCTAATCTTCTTCTTTCTTATTTAATTTTAAATTTTATTTTTACAGAGTACGTTTGAATATTTTTTAGCAGTAAATATTTTTGGCTGCGTTTTCTTTTAAAGAATCTAATGCATAATTTTAGTTAATTAATCCTATAGAACTAACTAAACAGAGGATAAGAAGATGAGAAACAAAATTATATATTCATTCAGTAAAGCAAATTATGCTGGTTGCAAGTAAGAAAGTTGTAAGGCTATTCAATAATTAGAGTGTTGTCTTTATTTTATATATTTTTATATATATTGTATTACTTATTATTTGATAGCTTTTTTATTTTTCAACTTTAGTAGCTTTGAATGAAGTCTTTGAAGTTCCCAGTGAATTTGCACATCTTATTCAAAATGTTTTAGAACTTTTGGAGTTCCCTGTCATTCTTATCTGAGAAGAAGTCTTTAATTTTGAAAGCATTTTCTATGTTGTTACTAACGCAAGCTTAATTATTATCGATCATTACAGTACGGTTGAGGTCTAAGCCTAATGTTTTAAGGCTCTTCAAATACTATTTGCCATCATAAAAGCATGAAGAGCGATCGTAAACTTTCTTTATCACTGATCTAGGGTCAATTATTTTAACTACCTCCTCAGCATAGTCTCTTGTAGATGCAGTGTAAATATATATATTGAAATTAAGAGCACATTGTTCTAGGAATTCTTGCAAATACCCTCTTTGGTGCAAGTAATAGTTTTTTTACTGGTTTTAGAATTACACAGTGATAATAGAGGAATCATCGTTGAGACTCTTTTCATTGCAGTGAATTAATGTCTCATCTAAGTCTAATACAAGATTATTTGGATGTTCTTCATACATTTTTAAATAGGATAAAGTTGAATTTGTTGACATATTTAATTATTAATCATAATTGAAAGATAGTAAGGGGTTTTCGTTTAAGAAATTATTCATGGAGTTTTCCATTTTGTCTAGATTTGAAATTGTGTTATCAGAAATAATTGAGGTAGAATAAGTGGAAGAAGAAGAAGGAGAAGATAAAGCTTGGGACATTTGAGCCTTGTTAATAAGGTTCTTCCTTTCAAGCAATCTGCGTTTTTGAGTATCTGCGTCAGTTCTAAGGATGAAACAAATTAGTTTACAGCAGAAGAGGTAATCATAAACGAATTTCATGAAGTGAATAAAGGATTCAAACGCATCAAAAAATCTAGCTTTCAAAAACCTATTGAAGGAGAAATTTCGTTTATACTTATAAGTATGTTCCTTTTCTTCGTCAATTTTTTTCTATTCGTAGTCATCGTAATCTCCGTACATCTTCAGCTTACGAGTAACAGTTTTCTTTTTCACATGCTTTACCTGCTTAGCTTAGTAAGAATTTTACTGTTCATAAAGAGAGACAGGAGAAGATGATTATGATTGCAATTACTGTATTGAAGTATCTTCATAATTAGATAAATGGATTGGTTGGTGGTAGATAACACTTGAAGGTGCTTGCATTGTTTCAACAAGAAGAAATAGTATTAAGAAAGGAGGGCAGATTTGTTTTAAGATGAGCTATTTCAATCACTTATAAATGTGAGTTAAGTTAGCGAGCTTTCTGAAGCAGCTAGGAATATTTCCTATAGCAAGCAAAAGAAATTAATAAATAAGTATTTTTAGTTAAGAATAAATATTCTTTAAAATGAGATGTCTTTTAATTCTTATAACAATATTATTAATTACTTAATTTGATTACTTGCTTTTTTTACTTTTTGTCAAGCGTATTCTTTTAATAGTTTTTATGTATGTATGTATCTCTATTAAGAAATATAGACTGACTGATTTAATTAGCTTGAGAAAAAATAGATAGATAGATAGATACTATTGATTATTGAATTATTTATTTATTTATTGATTTATTTACTCTTTCAATAAATAAAGAAAGCTTAATTTATATTTATTCCTGCTGATCAATAACAGTGTATTTATTTATTTATTTTATAATGATAATGTGGGGGAGTATTTGAATGGAGGTTAATGTTTCAAGGTGAGTTAAATGAAAATTCTTTAAATAGGACTATTTACTTTTGGATTCTAATATTATTTGCTATTGATCCACCTTAGAAATTCTTGTAATTTATTAGGTGGGCAGTCAATTAATGAATGAATGAATATATATTTAAATTATAAAGTCGAACTCTTTGTCTGATGCACTACTTCTGATAAATTAATTGGTATTTGTTTTACTTTTTCATGCTATTTTCAATGTAGGCAAATTTATGAAAGAAAAAAAAATTGAGCTGTTTGATTTTTTTTTGTTTTTTAATTGCATACTAAAGAAAATTTGCTTGCTTATTTATTTGTAAATTATTTGGTAAAGAATTAGTTTTGCTTTCCATAATTTTTGACAATAAACAGAGTTTTTTTTCATGAATAACATAATGAAACTTTAAATTTTCATTTTAGTTGATTGATGCTCATAAAAACTTTTATTAATTAAAAGAACTTTTCTTTTTATTCATAGTTTTTTTACACGAATTTCTATTACGCTGCTATTTTATTTAATACCAAAATAGTATTAATAATTATATACAAAAATATAGACATTTGAGATGCGTCTTTTGTTTGCTTTTTTTTATTTCTGGACGCCTATGAAAAAAGATATTAATTTTTTTTTTTTGCATTCTTTGATTTAAAATCTATCCATATAATATTACATATTTTTTAAATTGGTAATCCTTCAAGTAATAATAAATATATTATAATAATTCGATTTTTTAACTTGCAATAAATCGTAACGCAATTTTTTTTTCTCCTTTAATATTAAATTTCGTCACTTTTGACCACTCCTTAAATTTGAGAGCTAGCACTCGCTTTTTAAGAAACTATCAATTGAATCCCATTTAAATATGTTTTAGAATAATCATTAAAGATTTATTTAATTCAAATTATCAGTAAGCATATCAAGCCAACAAAAAAAAATAGATGAATTTATTTTGTATGAATACTTGAGAAACAAGTCAAATTTACAAATGACGCAATAAATATAAATTTTTTAAATAATTTAAAATTTGACACATACTACTTCAAAAAAAGAATATTTCTATTGCTTTCTATCAGATATTCTATTCAAATTATATTCCTATTAATGCATATTTTAGAAGTATAATCCCATATAATTAAATTTAGACCATAAAACAACACCATCCGTTTATCCTTCACACGTTCCTGCAAAACAATTTTAGATATCTCTAGTTAATACTCTTTTTAAATACACAAATTGTCAATCAGAATTCTAATGAAAGAAAAACAAATTCAGCATTTAAAATGCAGTAATTACATGTAACGCCACCTAAAAAAATCTAAAATATCGACATTAAGTATCAAAAAATAACTATTTATTAAATTTTAGGTGAATATTTGATAACCACCTAATAAATTAAAAGATAATATACCTGTAAATTAGCTAAAGAGAGTTTCTAAGTTATAAGGAAAAAGTAAACAATAAAATTTATTGTAATAACAAAAAAAGAATAAATAAATAAATAAATGACGGATTAGTTATAAACAAAAAATAATAGATTAAATTTCATCTAATAAACATTAAATTTATCCTATTTATTTTATTAAATTACATTATTTTTATTTTTAGCAATATTCTAATTATTATTTTTATATTTTATTACTATTCATTCCTTAGCCTAACTAAAACTAATATAAACAAAAAATAGATATCATCGCAAACCAATTAAAGAATTCTTGTTAATAAAAATTAAGCAAATCAATTAACAAATAAACTATTAATTTTTCTGGAATAAATTAAAATTTATAGAGCATCTATATAAAAATTTTCTATCAATTATATTTATTTAAAATAATTTCGTTTAAAATTATAAATAAAATAAAAAATAAATCTGAATTAATTTGTAAAATTTAAATTGATTTAAAATAAAAAATTAATTTTAATTTATAAATTTAATACCCAAATTATTTATAAAATAAATAAAAAATTCATTTAAAAAACAAAAAATATTTAAATTATGCTTTTAAAAATTAATAATTAATTTAAATCTATTTTCAAATTGACTAATTTGAAATGAGATAGATTAGAAAACGTCTTTATTTTTAAATTAGATATTAAATTGAAGCTATTTTGGATAAAGAGATCATATGTATTATTCTTATTTTAAATAAAAAATCATATTACTACACAAACTAAATTAAAATAAAAAATTTAATTAATTTTAAAAATATTTAATTACCTTTAACCTTCATTTTAATGATTATTAAATATTTAAAAATGAACAAAAATTGTTAAAAAAACTAAAAATTGGTTAATTTTCACCTAATAGCCCTATTATTAATTTTCTCTCTTTTCAGAATATATATCTATTTATAATATAATTTTAGTAGCAATAATAAAAAGAGCTTATTTACTTAGAATATTAATTTAATTGTTTTTATAATTTCCCGCTTTTTAAATAGTCTAAGAATTTAACAAAATGTCAAAAATTTTGTTTATATTTAGTTAGTAATGATTATAAGGTTTAAATTAAATTTACCGCTTAAAATATTTAAAGAATTTAACATATTTCATCAAACTAAATACCTTTATAAACACATAGATGATTTATACAAATATTTTATTTATAAAAAATTTTTTAAACTATAAAAAATTTAATTAATATATGTTGACAATAATTGATCAGCTTCTTGAAAAGGGAAAATCAGCTGTATTTAAGTTAGAGGATGAAATACTTCAAATTTAAACTTAAGACACTTATTCCTAAATAATAAGAATTCCTATTTTACAGATTGAATATCAATAAATAGCTTAAAAGCTTGCTTAAATTTATAAACAACTAAATTAGAATTCTTATAAAGAAATAATTTCAATAGTTAACTAAATGAATTTATTTAATCTTGAAAATGAAATAAATAACAAATTAATTAGTAGCTATTAGGAGGAGGAAGAAGATGAAGAAATTGGCAGTGATGAAGAAGATAACCAATCTGAGGAGTAAGAAGAATAAGAAAGTTCATTTTAAGAGGAAGAAGAAGAAGAAGAAAGAGAAATAAATATGGAAATTGAAAATAATATTTAAGAAATAACAATTGAATAACTATAACAAAATAAAAAAAATTAAGAATAAGAAGAAGATGATGATGATTATGATGAAATACATGATATTTTGCTTTTAATTTAAAAAGATAGTATAGATATAGTTAAAAGAAATTAAAAAATCCTTGAAGAAAAATTATATTCTACTAAAAAAGCTTAAAATAGGCATTTCAAAAAAAAAGAAAAGAAATTTGAGGACCTATTTGAATAAGAATATTACACCAGATTTCTTAAAAATAAAAATATGAATAAACATTTCTAGAAAATATTAAAATAAAAATCTAACAAAAATTAAAAGTTACTTAAAGTTAACTCTTATTAAGATGAGTTCAAAAATTTGAATGAGCTAATTATCAACATGATATCTAAAGATAGTAATTTTGAAATTGAAATAAACTTCAGCTTAATAAGGAATTGTTTATTTGAACAGGAATTAGAAATCTAAAATCTCTAATTTGTTAATATACAAAGACTCTACCATACAAATCAACAAAAATATAGAAATGTTGATCATTCTAATTTTTATTCTGATTTAATTGAATTGTTAGATGAGAAAAACTAAGTTTTAAAAGTTGAAAACCTAGATTTCTTTATTGAAGATCAAAACATAATAACTCATGACCAAAACCAAAGCATTGATCATTGTATGTGTTGTTATAATGTAGTAAGCAATTGTGGTAATTATGGGTTTTAACAAAGGATATTTAATTTAAAAAATATTGTAGCACAAAGCATACAAATTGAATTATAGTAAAATGATCCAGTTTTTCATGACATAATTCTTCATAATAAAGTGAAATAAATTACATTTACAGGAGAATATGGATTTGGTGTTAATTTTATTTTTAAGAATGGTGCCTATATCAATTAAGTTAATTGGAATATTAAAAAGTTTTCTCTTCCTTTTACTATTTGGGTTTTTGAGAAATTTTTTATCGGAAAAATAGGACACTTATGTTTTTAAAATTTAACCAATCAATGCTATTATGATAGTTTAGTTAACCCAAGCATATTTACATCACCTATCTCATACTCTTTTAACAAATATCATAGAGAATATGACAAATATGGTAATAATTAATAAATAGTAAAAGATCTTTAAGTAAAACTTAACGAAAGATTCATATTCTAAATGCAAAGTATAATTCTTTATAAGCTATCAGATTTATACTTTAATCTGAGTCCTTTTAAAATTGTTTAAGATTTATACTTTTGATAACAAAAAATTCAAACCAAGTAAAATGCTAGCCATAAAATAATATCATCATTCAATAGTTTGTATGTAAAATATTTTACAATTCATTTCTTATAAGTTAATCAATTAGTTTGATTTAAATTAATATATTTTATTTAATTTCATTTCAAACAAAATAATTTTATAAAAAAAAATTTAATTTAGAAATAATTAAATATTTTAATTGTCAAAAAACATTTATTTTTATATTAATTATAAAGTGATAAAACAAGAGAAAAAAAATCTAATTAATCTTTTTAATCTTGAAAAATTAATATTTAGTTAAATCTAATAAAAATTTTATTAATTAAATAATTATTTGCTCTTCAATATAAAATACTTCAAATTAATTTATGATTAACTTAATTCATTTTAAATTTTTTATGTAGCTTTTTTAATTTTTGAATATGGTATAAATTTAAAGATTTTTATTGCTTAAAAAACATATTTTTCAAACAATAAAATCAATTTATTATTAAATTATTTAATAGATACTTTTTTAATTGATATTGCTAAAGTAAAAGGAAACAAATTTTTTTGATTATTTGTATTGGAATGGATAATTTTTGTAACTGAATAGAAATGAAATAAAATTTATACAAATTGTAATAAAAATTAAATGTAAGTTTATTAGTCACTTCATCATTTATAAGAAAAACCAACATTTTTACTATATAACTGTTTTATTTATTATTGAATTTATATATTTGCTTGTTTCTTTATCAATTAGTAAATAAAGATGTATTAATTAATTTAATTTAGTTTGTTAGTTAGTTATTTATTTATTTAGTTATTCTGTTAGTAAGTAAGATACAGACTAACATTTTAGGTAGGTAATTAGGTTTAGATTAATAATTTAACACTTTATTTATATGATTTATAACGTATAGAATAAGAAGTTGTATACTATAAATACAAAGAAGAAATTATGGATAGATAATAACTACTATTTTTTCATATCTACTTGCTAATTTTTAGTTTGTTTGTTTGTTAGTTATTATTTTATTTATTTTTAGCTAGTCAGTTATGTGTTTATTTATTTATTGGAAATAAATTTGGAGATACTTAAAAGAAACATTGAATTACTACAATCTAATACTTCTAATTCTTCTAGTAGCTTTTTTTATTGATTAATTGATATATAGTTAAATAGCTACAGAAAAATAATGCCGAATTTTATATTATTCAGCAAACAATTTTTTTGGTTTAATATTTTTGCAGTTAATTATGTCTTTCAATTTATTTTATTATTTAAAACAAACTAAATTTTAAAATAATATTTTAAGCAAAAATGCAATTTATCTATTAAATTTGTTTGCTTTTTGAAGAAGTATTTTGATAATTATCTTAATTAATTTTTTAAGCATATCTAACTGAATTATAATCTAGCTAATATAAGTAATTTGATGATCTATAGTGAAGTGTAATATAAACTAGTGAGTGATTAAGTCTTAATTGATAGTTTTTAGTTTATTTATTTATGTAATTAGTGTTGGTTGAGTTTATTTGTTAATAAATTGGAATTAATTCTATTTATATTTGAAAAAACAATATTAAATTTTATTTTGAGTTAATTTTGTGAAGAAGTGAGTAATTGAGTGAGTGAGTAAGTGATGAGATTATATTAAAAGCTTTATTTATTATAAATTTTCTCTTTAGCAAGAGTTATAAGTTTCAACTATAAATTTTATTTAAATTATTATGGCTTATAATTTTGAAAACGGAGTAAACATCGCAGCGAGTACCTAACAAGCTACTAACTTTTTTTTCTTTCATTTTGCTTATATCCTTGAACGTAAAAAATTGAAAAACCTATTAGAATTATTTTGAAATAATAAATAAAATTATAAAAATATTCAGCTTAGCTTATTAAATGTACTTAGGCTGTGTTGTATTGTGATTCAATTTCATTATTTTATCTTCTAAACTTAAATCATCACCATATGCATCAAGTTAAAATTTGCTAGAATCTTATTTTATTTAAAAAAATTTTAATCTTTTTTTAAAAAGCTTAAATAAAAAATATAAGTTTGCTTACAAGCATCTACAGACTCTTTTTCCTCTATTGTAAATTGCTTTGTGGTGAAAAATGTAGATTTTTTAGTTTTTGCTCTTGTATTATTCCTCATCAAAGAAGGTTTTTTAGAACCACTTCTACTAAAAGATCCTTGAGTCTGGAGTATGCCACCATTTGTCATCATTGTTTAATGGCTTATCATTGTTCCGAATCTATCACCTCTTCTATTTGGGTTATTGCCAAAGTTTATCACATTATGAGATGCTGTTTTATGAAGTAAGTTTTGTTATGCTGCACCGCCTCCTGCGTTTACCGAACCTTATCTCTATGCCAAGACTGTATCTTGTTATCTTCCTCCTCCTTCTCTAAAGCCTCCAGCAGAGTTTTAAATTATAACTGTATTATTTCTCTGTTTAATAAAATTAGTAGTTTAGTTATTAATTATATCAGATATTTTTAATAAATAAGAGTGTGTTCTAAAAGTTATCTTGAACAAATTTAGTTAAGTATTTATTATGCTCATAATATCAAAAAAAATTATTTATCTTAAATTTATATACTCTGTTTGACTTATTTTAAAATGTTATTTCTTTAGATATATTTTTCTCAAAATAACTGCAATTATTTTAATAGAAAAATTTAGTTTTATATAAATTATTTATATTTTATCTTTGCTAAGCTTCATCTAACTAACATGATTGAAAAATTTTATAAATTAGTTTTTATATTTTGAAATATTTTAATGAGTTTGTAAATCAAAAAAATTTTTTATTTTTATTTTGAATTTTTTACTGATTTCTTTTAATTACTGGTTTTTTTAAATTAATCATACAAAATTTTTAGAATTTTATAGATCTAGTTTGGAGAAAATAAATTATTGGATAAAAGCTTCTATTGAAATATTATTTTAGTTTAATAATGGATTTAAAATCTAAATGAGATAAAACCAAATGTGAGTAAATATAGCCCATTTAGAAAATTTATTGAGTAATTAAATGACCAAATTGGCTTATAAATAATAGTTTAGCTTATTATGTACAAAATTATCTGTAAAGTAAAAATATTGATTGATTGGTAGTGTTTTATCGATTAATAAAAGTAGGAAGGATTTTGTGGTAAAATCAAGAATATTTGGGTTTAATATAGAATAAATTAATTTTGCTATAAAATTCTTTCTTTAGTCTATAATACTTAAAAGGTTCCAATAAATTAAATATAGGAAGTATTTTAATTTGCAAATAATTCTTTTAATTATCATAATTTTTAAATTATTTTTAAGCTTGCCTACACTTGAATTGAATTCTACCATTTGGACTTATTAAATTTATTTATTTATTACCACTTGCTTTTTTTACTTGCAGTTCTTATTTGCTTATTCGTTCAAGTAAAGGGAATTAAAAAGTAAAAATTAGTTGTTTATTTATTTAATTGCAAATATTGTTTGTTTCAAACTATCAAAATTCAATTATTATTAATACATACCAAGCAAAATTGAATTCTTTTTGCATAGCTACAAAATTTATTAATAAAATAATGTTTTTTGTTTGCTTTTTTTATTTATTTATTTATTAAATTAACAATAATTAATAATAAGAACACATCTTTTTTGGGTTTGTTTTTGCTAATAAGTATTTTTGTAGTAGTACTAAAGCTTTTTTTAGATGCTTGATGAATTTTATTAGATAACTTGAATATTTATTGAAAAAAACTTACATTTTTTTGTTAATTCCTGCGCATTTTTTATATTTTCCAATCAAACATTCCATCTTGCTGATAGTTGAGAAACTTCATCGTGTTTTTGAACTAAGTAATTAGGTTCTTATAATCGGGCCTATCCTTAAAACCCAAAGATTTTACATATTTCATATATTCGAGAAAGATAGAAGGCAGGCCTTTAGTAAGCTCTTCTAATTTAATTGTTTGTTTCATATTTTATACATATTCTTTACGAGTTGAATTTATTCCCTACCAAGGCAATTTCCCTTTTGCGAAATAAATTAAAATATAGCCTAAAGATTCAAGATCGTCTTTTCTACTCTGCTCGTTGCCGTGATGAGCAGTGATCGCACAATACCTATATGTTCCTACAAATTATCTCAAAGCCTTTGGCTCAATATGTTCCTTCGTTTACATATTTATGTACGCCTTCGACATTCCAAAATCCACAACGTAAAGTCGCTCATCCTTTCCTTTTCCCATCATCATATTTTCAGGCTTAAGATCACGATGAATGTACCCAGCGTCGTGAATTTGCTCCATTATAGTAAGTAAGTCGATTGAGAGCATAAGAACTGTTTTTACACTGAATCTTTTCTGGCAAAATGCAAAGTAGAATCCTAAATCTTTATCCAAAAGAGTCATTGCGACATACTAATAACTTGAATTGTTTCCATAACTAATAATTTTTGGCACTCCTTCAATATTAGATAAGTCCTTCAAAATACGAATTTCATCTTCCAACATCATTAATGTATCTTTATCTGGATTTTTTAACACCTTGACTGCTACTTCCATTTTAAGATTCTTCTCGATTGCCTGAAAAACTGTTCCAAATGAACCACTATTTATAATGTTCATAATTCTAAATTGTTATGGTACTATACCATTATTGGAATCCTGCTGTTTCCCTTTCTAAGAAGCTCTATCTCCTTTATCGCTCATTCAATAAATGTATTTATCCTTTTTTTACTAATATCTCCTATAAGTAGTTATTCTCACTATCTTATATTTGCTTTCTATAAATAAAATAGTTTGCTGTTAACCCTCCTTATTTTTACTTAAATAACGTTCTCCTTTATATTTTTAATAATCTGTGAGACTCCTAAATTTTCTTTATTTCTTAATTTATCACAATTAGAGCTATTTATTCAACCAAACACAAAATTTAATTAAAAGCAAGTAAAAAATAATCAATCATTTAATCAATCAACCAAAGACAAGCAAACAACCATAGATAGATGACCTTTAAATCATTCATTCATTCAACCATCCCTTCTGAATTTATTTTATCGCTAACTAAGCTCATTATTTTATTATATTTTGCATTCATATAGCTTTACTTACTTACTTACCACTATTAAAACATTGCTTTAGTCATTTATTATTTGTTTTTCGCACATTTTTTATTTTCAACTTTATTTATTCATTAAAAAAGTAATGTAAAATTAATAAAATTTTTTATTCAATTAAGCTATTTTTTTTTATTTGGCCATTTCTATATAAACTTAGTATAATACTTCATCAATCAATATATACTTAATACAAACATTTATACATATAAATATAATTTACATATTATATCATTCAAAAGTCAGTCAATTTTCAATTTCATTTATATATTTTAGTTTTAATCATTCTTGATAAATTTAACATATTATTAACTTTTTAAATTAGCTTGCAATTTAATCATATGCATTTATTTTCATAACTGCAACAAATAAAATTTTTTAATTTACCTTATGAATATTAAAATAAAAATGGTAATTAATTGATCGATCACTAGCTAGGTAAACTTAGCACTAAAGAAATAAATCCAAAATATAAACTCTTTATTTATTTTTTATTTCCTTAATAAGGATTTTGGTATTTTTTGTTTTGTATTTTATTGAATTACAAATAAATTTAATTTTTATGTTATTGAAAACAAAAAAAATTCATTCAAATTAAATATATTTTTTTTACAATAAATTTCCTTTGAAACTATGATAAAAATTTAATTTAATTAAATTAAAGGAAATAAATGTTTTGTTTAAAATAAATGTTGTAAAATTTCTCATCAAACCGTTTAATTTTTTTATCATTTGCGATGAATTCCTAAAACTATTGGAAGGTATTATTAAAATAAAAAATGATGATGCATTTGTAGTAAAAATATATAGAATAATGGCAAGCAATCTACTATATTTAAAAATTACTCTAAAAAATAATATTAAAGAAATATTTTTTTAATTAAAGGAATTAGACTAATAAATATACTAAGTTAATTATTTTTCTTAAATTAATATTTTAGAAGACATACAATCGAAATTTATCAAAGATTCTGATCAGTTTTTCTAAAGATTTTTCAACCACAGTATATTTTATGAATGTAAAGTATTTATATTTAAAATATTCTAAAGATATTAAATATGATACTACAAATAATTTGAGAGAAGTTTTATTACAAACTTACTAATAATTTTCTTTTTTTATAGGGTTAGTTTAAGCTATTATTTAGGGATGTATTCTATAGTTATTTTCACAATTCAATTTAGATAAAATACAATCCTTTTTATGAATTAATTTAACTATCTAATAAGTAATAAGTTAGTTTTTAATGATTTGTTAATTTATTTTGCAAAAATATTTAAAAATCTTCATATTTAATTTAAAATATTTTTTTAATTTTGTATTTAATTTTTTTTAAGTTTTCAAAAATCATTGTGCATTTTTAGAACTATTTCTAAAAAATTGGAAGTAAATAATTTAAAAAGTTATACTTGTAAACACAATTAATGTGAAGGAAGCTATTTAAATACATAGGAAAAAATTTTAATTTATTCAATGGTTTTTGGATATTTTATACTATCTTAAATGTAAAAATTTGAATTTATTTTTAAACAACATGCTAAATTTTACTTTTTTACTATGTTTTTTAATATTAAATTATAAGTTAAATTTGAATTGAGATCTATAAATAGATTTCATTTAGCATTATTTTAAACAAATAATGCTTTCAAAAGCCTAAATAGACTAAGTTTTCTATTAATTTTCAATATTTTACTAACTTAAAATATTATTTTATATTTCTCTTAAATCAAATCTTCTAGAAAAACAAACAAATAGTAGGTAATATTTTACAAATTTATCAAGGTTTAAATTTGTTTTTTTATTCTTTTTGAACTAAAAAATTTATTTAAAGATTAACATTTGTTTAAGATATTAGTTAAATCTATTAGAAATAATCAAAAAGTCTTTATCTAAGATATTTTTATTTGTTTAATAATGAAATTTTGTTTACTTAAATTTGATAATTAATTCAATTTCTTTCGGTATTTAAAATATTTTATGAAGACAAAATAAAAATAATTATCAGATTAATGAAAACTAAGTCATATTTTTATACCATTTCAATGTTTTTATATATCTTTTAGTCTATGCCTTAATTTAATAAAATTATACCTAATTATTCTGATGAAAATGCCAAGGTAGTGTCAGTAATTAATTATATGAACTATTTTTGCTTTTTTTATGATCAAAAATATTCTAAAATAAATAGATACTCAAGCAAATAGTTAGCAGTTAATTGCCTGAATTATATTAATGAAAAATGCTAAATAAAGCAAGCTAACTGAGTATAAATTAAATTTAAAATTAAAAAATACATTAAGATTATAAAATTTCAATATCTACTTCTGGTACAAAATAGGGAAAATAAAAAAATTTTAATGAGGATGTAATAGATCCAATATATAAAATATTAGCGAAAGATATGAAATTTTTTAACACTTTTGTTTCTTTAGCTTTTTAAAAGCATGAAATAATTTAAGAAGGAGTGAGTGAGGACGTACCAATTTTTTAAATTAAAAAAAAAACAATGCATAATTTGTCGAAATGATAGGGTAAATAAATAATCAAATAAACAAAGAATGACCTACCTACCTACCTATCTTGAATGAGCAATTAAAAAGTGAGAGATTTAACATTCAATTATCAAAACGATCTTTATTAAACTTATAATTAATATTTTCAAGATATAATTAGTAAATAAATAGATAACTAACATTCACTTAAGCAAATTATTAAGATCTTTAAAAACCAAGAAGTTTTTGGCAAGTGTGAAAAACATAAAATAAACAAACACATTCAATTTCCAATAAAAGAAGCAAAGATAGATAGAAAGAGTTAAAGATACCAACAGCAATTCAATCAAATGGAAGAAGAATAGTTATAGGAAGACCAAGATTACAATGAAGTTTACAAATACAAGTTTTCAGATTAGCAGGACGATGATTAAACAAAAGGGAGAATGTTTTTAAGTGGCAAGGAAGTTGCTTTTGACATTAATTTTATTCACAACAACTATATTAAGGCCGTTTTGACTTTAACATCCTCATCTAACCCAGAATACAAGGAGGAGGATAATATATAACACATGATGATTGATATTGAAGATAACACTGCTTATGATATAGGAAAGGATTTCGAGTCTACCTTCGAATTCATCGATACCAATTTATAAAAAGGCAATGTGCTCATTCACTGTGAGAAGGGAGTATCCAGAAGTCCGACTATTGCAATAGCTTATATCATGAGAAAGGAGAGAAAAATCTTGTCGTATGTTCTTGCCAAAATGAAAGAAAAACGTAAAGTAGTTTAACCTAACGGTGGGTTTATATACCATTTAGAAACATACAACAAACACCTAATTAAAACTTATTAAGAAGATTACGATAAGCACAATTAGAAGAAGCCAACACATTAACACAGTTAAAATTGTAGTAAAATTCTAGCAAATCATTCTCATTCTATGCAGCTTTCCTCAAATTAAACAACTGATAAATAATAATAATAGTTACAGGACAACAGTTCATAAGTGTCCGAAACTCTTGAAAACCCAAAGCAAATGTGACTGTCATTATATTGATCTTAACTAATCAGCTACTTAATCTTATTCCTTCAAATATACTTAAAAAAATAAACAAATAATGTCTGATAAATATGTTGATACATATCAATAATTACTGGTTTCTTGTTTAATCATTAAGCAGATGACCGTAAAATGAATTTAATAAACTTGCCTCTAAAATGTTATATGAAAAACAATATAAAAGAATTTAAAATAAGATAAAAATAGACATTAAGCAAAAGGAAAACATTAAAGCTGAAGGGGGATCAATAAATCTCATGCATTCTAAACAATTCAATAAATAAACAATCTTAATTAGATTTTATCTAATTAGTAACTAACTATAGGCTTTTTATATGCAATCAATCTTTTTAAACGAACTATAGTCAATCAGATAATAAGTAAGTAAGTAAATAAATAAGAAATTAAGCATGAAGGAATTTCCTGTTAGAAGAAACAAAAAACAATGTTTTCTAGCAAAAAACAATCAAAAATATTAATTATAAATAAAAAATAAAACCAATCAACCTTATAACCATTTGTACTTAAGAAAACTCTTGAATATTCTTTATTTCTTCTGCTTTATTACCAATGATTAAAGATACATTTTCTGTGAATAATAAATTAATAATTGTTCATTTTCTTAATAAAATAATAATAATACTCATCCAAGCTAAATTTTATATTTAAAATAAAAATATTTATAAACTAATAAAACATAAAACAAAAACAAAAACAAAAACAAACAAACCATAATACATACCTGACAAGTAAGTCAATAAATATTTTGTTTATACAGAGATATAATTAAATAAATAAATATAAAATAGAAAGATAGATTTTAAACTATAATAAATGTATAGGCATAAAAGGACTCATATTTTTGTATTGTAAAGGCATATTAAAAAGCTAAATAAGTTCGTTAATTCATTAAACATAAAAATGCAAATATTTCTTTCATAAAAAATTCATCATAAAAATTATATTGTTTTATAAAATCTTTACTTACCATTATTTTAGTTCGTTTTAAAATAATTTCTATTATTTATTTTATCTTATTAAAGTTAAAATCGATTTTTTAAGTTTTTTAGTTTTTTTATCATAAACATTAAAATTATCTACAGATTTCATTAATTTTACTAATATAATTAATTTGTTTTGCTTTTCTAAATTTAAAAAATACAAGAATCTACTACATCAAAAACACCTTAAAAAATTTTTAAATAAATCTTCAAAATATTTTTTTTCGTAAAATTGATAACTAAAATTAAGTGATCAATATTCTAATTATTTAGGCTTTTCCATTAAGATAATTTAGATATTTGCATAAATAAATAAGTAATTAGCTTTCGGACCGAATTGTTAAGAATCGAGAGGATATTTCAGAATATAGAGATAGCATTGAAAAAATAATAAAAACTCTCTCTGATTGAAAAGAATGTATTAAAAAATTCAGTATTATTTGATATTAAATTGAATTGAAGAGTGTTTTTTGTTTTCTTGTTGCTTGATATATATATATTTTTTCTACTTTTAACATCTACCCTTAAAAGTATCTATAAATATATATAGTTTTAATTAGGTTTATTGCAAATAAACAAAAAATAAATAAAATTCAAAAACAATAATTTTTTGCACAATCTGTTCAGTTTATATCATTCATTGTTAAGAGAATACGATTATTCTTTATTTTTTATATAATAACTTAAATCAACTAGAAATATCAGAAAAATCCAAATTAAAAATCTTAGCATAGATACAATAAGATTAGAATTTATTTAAAAAGATAAATACGAGACTAAAATAGTTATGTCCAACCTCATTCATGAAGAGCAAATTCTTGTTTAAGATATATTCTTAATCAAGACATAAGTTAATTCGCCCAGCATCAAAAACGGGTAAAACTTTTGACACTAATATTTTCAGATTTTCTATTTAATTATTAGCATTAACCTTAAATTAGACGACATAATTTGGTTTAACATTCTTTTAAAATAATCTATAAATCAACAGCCAAGAAGTTATTTTCTTGAAAGATTTCTCAAGTGATATACAGTCATAAGGATGTAATTAATTTTAGAATATAAAAAGTTTATTTCGAAGAATTAAGTTAGTTTCTATAAGTAAATTAATAATATTATTAATTTAAACAGAAGGATTCTCATTAATTAAGAATGAATCTATGTTTGATTCAATGCTTATGGAAAGGGCTAGCATTCCGTAATATAAATTTTATTGCTTTGAATTATTAATTTAATTTAATGATTTATTTAGAAACACCAATACTTTAGAGTACTTTTGTAGCTGCTACAATAGAGCATTAGATTAGAAAGATAAGCCATGGAATGTTAACAATTAGCATAGTTAAGATTTCATTAAATATAGTCTTAAGGTAAAACAATAAATAACTTTTGCTCTTATAGCATTAACAATTATCATCTTTAAATTTGGGATAATTAATTTTTGTTTTTTATAATTATACTAAAAATAGATTACAGCTTCATTTGCATATCTTACTTTAACTTCTCCTGAATTATTTGATAGTTAGTGGGTAGATCCAGCATGGAATCTATATAGAAAGAGTAAACAATTCATATATTCATGTTGTAAAGTAAAAGAAAATATATTGTTTGTTTATTAATTTTATAGATGAAGATTTGATGGCTGCAAAGTTGGTTACATTCTTTGAAAAAGTAGGCTTTTGTTATGATTTCTTTGAAGAAATAGACAAGCAAATATAATAGGAAGATTTTAAAGATGATTTCAATGACTCCCTTTTAACAATAATCATAGACCATCAAAGAAAGGTGATAGAAAGATAAAAAATATTTTATAAACTAAATTAATGATTATTATTAAATAGATGAATATTTTAGATGGTAGACATTCCTTATATATTTCAGTCCTTCTTAACTTATTATCTTTTGAGCACTACAAAAGAAAATTCATAAGCCTTAAAAGATATCCATTGTAATTTATTAATAAATAGTTTTAAATAATTAATAGTATTTATAACTATTTTATTCTTAATTAGCATTCCAAATTCCAAAGGAGTTAACATCACTAGCGATAAAGAATTAGATCAAGTTAGAGGTATTGATCTTGAGTTGAGATCTGCACTAGGTCCTTTCTTAAGAATTTCTACTGTTGATTTCTTGATAGTTCATGAAGATGATAGGAAAAGTGTTTAAGAAATGAGAAACAAGGTTTTCTTAGAATTTAACAATATAAGATCAAATCAATAATACAATTTACAAATTAAGGTAAAAAACAATTTATTTTATTATTTTATAAAAATACTTTGAAAATTTTTTAATTCATTTCATTAAAGTTTTTGTTAATAGCAATTAAAAATAAAATATTTAAATTTATTGTAAATATGTTGAGTTTATATATTATTAGTTAAATGAAAATATTAATAATATCAATTTTTTTAAAATTTAGATAAATTAAATTTTATTATTTAATAAATAAAGTATTATAGCGAGTTGAATTAAAACTATACTAAATTGTTGGTTGAGTTATTTAAAATGCTTTTAAAGAAGACAGGAAATTATAATTATGCTAATGAAACTTTGAGATTTGTAGCAGCTTGCATTATTGGTAATAAAGATAGAGCTAAATTATATCGTAGATTAGAATAACAAAACAAGCAACCAATTACATCAAGCGACGCTTTTATGGCTAACATTTTAGATGTGATGCTTGAAATTGCAAAAATTATTTTCAATAAAAATGATAATAAATGGGAAAAAATAAGACCCGAATTTTTCTCTTAGTCTTAACGTTTAACTTACTTAAAAGAAGAACCATTTTACTCCAAAGAAAAAATAAGTGATTCAGTAATGTAAGAGGAAATTAGCGAATTTGGTACAATCACAGAATACTTTTTCTTGTGCTAATAACTCGCTCATTACAGTATAATTCCTATGTTTGCTGACTTTAAGGAGAATGCTGAATAGCTTTAAAGAACTGAAAAGGAAGTTAAAAGAATGCCCTAAAGTCATCCTTTATGTAAATAAATAAATAAAACTATTAGCTTTATAATTTATAAATATCTTTAATTAATAGATAAAATGGCTGAGCAAAAGGTGAATGAAATGAAGGCTTATTACTTTTAATATAACGCCTTCTTGTAAATGGATTCTCGTTTATATGTTTAGAGAGACATGTACGATTTATTATTCTTCCTTCTTCCAAGATGGCTTAGATTAGATATCTCTAAATTGCATAATAATATAATTCCAGATTACAAGGTAAATATTTATAAGTTAAGTGAGTAAGTAATTAAGCAAGCCATGTTTAATTTATTTATTTAATATATTATACAAATTCAAAAAGACAAAGTTAAATCACATAAATTAAAAATTGCTTATTATAATTTAAATGTTTATAATAAATAATATTTTTAAAAAAAAAAATGATAAATTTTAATTTGCATTTAATCATTGAACTATTCAAAAATTATAATTGTTAAATTTATTTTAACTAAAAAAGCCTTGTTCTCTTCTTAACTCATTACCTGAAAACATGATCACTGATGTATTTGATTACCACTTCTTCTACACTAACTTTAGAAGAGATTATGTAAAAACTTCTCTCACTGAATAATATATAAACTCTTTCTTAGAAATGACAGTTTTATTCTTGTCTAATTGCTAAATATCATCTAACCCTTACTTAAAGGCTAAACTAGTAGAAATTCTTTATTTCTTCTACCACTCAGATAAATCAAAAGTTCATTCAATCTTATCAAAGAATTTATATGCTAAAAGAAATATCACAGCTTGTAATTTAAATAAATTAATTTTATTTATAAAATAACAATCTTTTAAAAAGCTTTGATGAAGTTCTACATCGATATAGAATTCACAGGAGACTCACATTAATTTTACTCAAAATTTAATTACAGACACTACGTCAATTACCTTTACACTAAGCTTTGGGTTGAAGAAACTTATCAGAATGAGATGAAAAAACTTATAAATGAACCACTTTTTGAAAGATTTATTAATATGCTTATTAATGATGCCACTTATTGTACAGATGAAGGTATTTCTAACATGCAAAAGATTTTAGATACTAGGTCTAAACAAGATGTAAACACTCTTTCTCCTCAAGAATATCAACTATATGATAGAATGATTGGTTCATCATCTCATTTCAATAAATAATCTAGAGAAACTATTGGTCTTATATCTAATCTCAGTATTTGGGCTCCTCAGCCTTTCCTTTCTGATAGTAATATTTTTTTATGAATTAATTAGCTTTTTGAATTATGTTTATTGAAAAAAAATAAACTTAGTAAGAAAATTAATAACTGAAAAATATTTTAAATCAATAAATACTTAAAATTTGTTATAGAAAAAATTCTTCAAAAAAATTTTAAAAATAAACTCAAACAATTTATAAACATTTTAATAAAATAATTTTTTGAAAAAAAATTTATATTAATAACTATTAAAATGTTTAACAAAAGCTTTCCTTGATGTCATTACTGGTATGTTAAATAATTTCTTGTAAAAAATGATGGACCCTACTTTGAATCAATACACCACTGATAAGGAATTCGATTTTAACTCTTCTGTGATTGTCAAAGATCTAATTATTATTTACAGTAGCTTGGGAGTAATTGACATTATTTCAATTTTACAATTAATTAATTATCGTTTCAAAATAAAAGCATGACAAGTCTTTCAGATAAAAAGTTACTGCTGATAGTAGATCTTTTGACTAGAAGTTATTTGAAACTGCTTTAAAGAGAGTTAGAAAGGAGTAATAAATTGGGTAATAAATTATTGAAAAGTTCTAAGATTTCCTCAACAATCTTGTCTAAGCAGATATTGAAGAAGAATATGAAAACTTCCCAGAAGAATTCCAATGTGCTATCTCTTTAGATGTAAACTATTTAAATTACATAACACAATAAAATTTATATAAATTTTTAAAAGATTTTAAAAGACCCTGTCATGCTTCCTTCCTCAAAGTGTGTTGTTGAAAGATCTATAATCAAAAAAGCCTTATTGGATAATGAAATTGATCCCTTCAATAGATCTCCTTTGAAAATAGATTAATTAATTGAAATGCCTGACCTCAAAAGAAAAATTTAAGATTGGAAGTAGGCTCAATAAGGAAAA